CAAGGTAACAAACATATCTATCACCTCCAAAGTTTCTTCCTATTCCTTTGTTTCTTGGGGGTTTTGCAGGGGCATTGTGGGGGAGAGTAAAGAACATCTAACACAAGATCTACCCTCTTAGCAAAACTGTAAGTGTACAATAGTGTTGTCAACTACAGGTACTATGTTACACAACAGAGTTCTAGAACTGAATCATCTTAAATGTCTGAAACTTTATACCTGTCGAATATCACTCATGGTACATTTCTGGCAAAATGTGAAACTAATCATGCTGTACAAATCAGTCAGCTTCAGAATGTGGGACATTTTTACAAGACAACAGGATTTCAAGACTCCCCGTCCTCCCCCCCCCCCAAAATTGAGGAAATTTTTCTAGATTAAAGGAAACTAAAAGAGATGTGACAACCAAATGTATATAAGTGAAATTTGATTGAACTCTAGATTTTGGTTTACAAAGCTGTAAAGAGAAAATTGGGGAAAGGATAGCATAGTTTTATCTGATTGAATTTGAATGATTTACTCCACGATAATAACTGGCTTGGGGTGAGACTGGCATTGTGGTCTTGTAGAGGATGCTTTTAGGGGATACATGCTTAAATATTGAAGGGGAAGCATCATGATGTCTGCAATTCTTTTTTTCCTCAGAAACATGATTTTTTTCTTTTAATATATTTTACTGATTATGCTATTACAGTTGTCCCATTTCTCCCCCTTTACTCCCCTCCCCACTGCATACCCCCTCCCGCCTGAATTACCCCACCCTTTATTTAGTTCATGTCCATGTTTCATACATATAAGTTCTTTGGCTTCTACATTTCCTATACTATTCTTACCTCCCCCTATTTTCTACCTACCATTTATGCTACTTATTCCCTATACCTTTCACCCCATCTCCCTGTCCCCCTCTCCACTGATAATTTTCCTGTCTATGATTCTGTTCCTGTTCTAGTTGTTTCCTTTTTTTTTAGGTTTGGTTGTTAATAGCTGTGAGTTTGTTGTCATTTTACTGTTCATATTTTTTTTATCTTCTTCAATTTCTTAGATAAGTCCCTTTAATGCTTCATACAATAAGGGCTTGGTGATGATGAACTCCTTGAACTTGACCTTATCTGAGAAGCACTTTATCTGCCCTTCCATTCTAAGTTATAGCTTTGCTGGATAAAATAATCTTGGATGTAGGTCCTTGCCTTTCATGACTTCAAATACTTCTTTCCAGCCCCTTCTTGCCTGCAAGGTTTCTTTTGAGAAATCAGCTGATAGTCTAATGGGAACTCCTTTGTAGGTAACTGTCTCCTTTCTTTTTGCTGCTTTTAAGATTCTCTCCTTATCTTTGGTCTTGAGTAATGTAATTATGATGTGCCTTGATGTGTTCCTCCTTGGGTCCAACTTCTTTAGAACTCTCTGAGCTTCCTGGACTTCTTGAAAATCTATTTCCTTTGCCAGATTGGGGAAGTTCTCCATTATTGTTTCAAATAAGTTTTCAATTTCTTGCTCTTCCTCTTCTCCTTCTGGCACCCCTATAATTTGGATGTTGGAACATTTAAAGAAGTCCTGGAGGTTCCTAAGCCTGTCCTCATTTTTTTGTTTTTGAACTCTTGTTTCTTTATTCTTTTCTGGTTGGATGTTTCTTTCTTCCTTCTGGTCCACACCATTGATTTGAGTTCTGGATTCCTTCTCTTCACTGTTGGTTCCCTGTACATTTTTCCTTATTTCACTTTTCATAGGCTTCATTTTTTCCTCTAATTTGAGACCATATCCAACCAATTCTGTGAGCATCCTGAGCGCTGGTGTTTTGAACTGTGCATCTGATAGGTTGGCTATTGCTTCATTGCTCAGTTGCATTTTTTCTGGAGCTTTGATTGGTTCTTTCATTTGGGCTTTTTTTTTTTTTTTGTCTCCACACACCTGTCACATAGTAAGAGGCAGAGCTTTAGGAGTTCACCAGGGTGGACTGTGTTGTGATGCTATATGTGGAGGAGGGGTCCTAGAGGGAACAATGTCACTTGCTCTGCTCTCTGCCAGTTTCCAGTCACTTCCCCCACTACCCACAATCAAATTGGGTCCCTCTGATGATGATTCCTGGGTGGGTAGATTTGTGTATATTCTAGGACTCCTACAAACTCTCCTATGAGGCTGGGAGTTTCTCCCACTGTGGCAACCCCCATAGGTGTTTCCAGTCGGAGGCTTTGAGGCTTTATTTCACAATGCTGAAGCCCTGGCTTGCACGATCTGTCTCACTCCCCAGTTGCTCTTCCCAATTTATCTGCATGCCAGTGTGTGATAAACACTCGCCACCAGCTGCCACCTCACCTCAAGTTCTTTCCGCCCAACTGCCAAGTCTCCACCCCTTCTACCAGTCTGGGTGAGTGCTTTGTCTTTAACTCCTTGGTTGTTGCACTTCCATACAGTTTGATTTCCTGTCAGTTCTGGTTGTTTCTGGTTTTTCAATTTGTTGTTGTCCTTCTTTTAGTTGTGCTAGGAGGCACAGTGTGTCTACCTATGCCTCCATCTTGGCTGGAAGTCTGCAATTCTTTTCCAAATGGTTTAGCAAAATGAACAAATGTTTTTTTGTTCCTCGATTTACAGTGGAGTTGTGTCCTGATAAATCCATCATAAATTTAAAATGTCTTAAGTCAAAAATGCACTTAATACACCACATCTACCTAATGTCACAGCTCAGCCCAGACCATCGTGACATGCTCAGAACACTTACATTAGCCTCTGGTGGGCAAAACCCTCTTCCTGCTCCTGCCTAGCACGGGAGAGTATCTGACCACATGTTGCTAGCCCAGGACAAGATCAAAATTCAAAATTTGAAATATGGGTATCCCATTTGTACCACTGTAATGTCAAAAATCATAAGTTGAACCATCAAAATTGGAAGCCATCTGTGTATATTTGTATAAATATATTTGTATATACATAGATGTACAGTACAGAATGCTAAAAACAAGTGTGGCTAGGTGAAGGGTATATGAGTGTTTATTATACTATTCTTGTAACTTCTTTGTAGCTTTTAAATTTTTCAAAATAAAGAGGTGGGAAAAACAAACCACTCTCACTCCTCCACATATGTTTCTCAAGCTGTTACCATTTCACATACTACTCACAGCAAAGACCCCTGGAAGGAGTCTATGCACACTCCATGTGCTGATGAAATGTTTAATAACTGGCCCTCAAAACAAACCAAAAAGCCCTGTCAATTTCTGTGGTGTAAATACTCCCACCATGGCCAATTTCAAACTACTAATGTGGCACCATTAGACACAGAATTGGTAAGCAGTGCATGTAGCAGTATAACATCATACAGTGTTTCCAGCCTACAGATGTGATATATGTAAATAACCTCAGCAGTGTATATAGTAACATGTAGTAAAATAATTAGGTAGTGTTGAGTTTTGATTACCTTTGTTTTAATATAATTCATTTGACCATAGTTTATACAATCAAATTTTTTTTAATATTTATTTATTTATCTTTAGATGGGAAGGAGAGAGGGAGAGAAACATCAATGTATGGTTGCCTCTAGTGCATCCCCTGCTGGGAACTGGCCTGCAGGGAACTGGCTTGCAACCCAGGCATGTGCCCTGACTGGGAATTGAACTGCGATCGTCTGGTTCTCAGACCTGCGCTCAATCCACTGAGCTATACCAGCCAGGGCTATACAATCAATTTTTAAATAATGACTGTGTTTAGCAACTGGTTCCAAAATTTCTAAAAATTTGACAGTTGTTTCTCACCAGCCAGTACATACTGGCTCCAACACATCCCTGTAAAAACAAAAACCAAAAACAAAAACTCAGCCACTGAAACCTTGGCTTCCACAGCACTTTTCAACAGAACCCTCTTGCTCACCCCACCAAGGACCTCCATATTGTAAATTTCAAAGGATGATGGATACAGCTCTGCCTGACCTCAGCATTCACCACTGTTTACCCCATCTACCTTCTTCGGGGCCCTCCTGGTTTTTTCCTACCTGTTGACAAGTTCTGCCTTGTCTCCTTTAAGGGCTCTTCTTCCCCCACGGTACCTTTGACCCTTTGATATGCCAGTTTGACACATTCTTCATGGGTGCCGTTGTCCAGCTCCATGGTCCCAACTACAACTAAGAAGTCCAGACCTTCTCAGCTAGTTTGCTCCTCTTGGAATAAAGACATTTCAAAGCCAGAGTGGAGTTTGCACCCCTTGCTCCCACCACAAGGAGGAGCTCTGGAGGGACAGTGAACGCGGAGGAGTGTCTGTCCACTTACTTTCAAGTCCCTTATCACAATTTAATAATGCAAAAGGCTTCAATAGGGCAAACGCAACATACACGAACTCCCCCAAGTAGTAGCTGGGTGCTGACGGGACACAGGCCTAAGCTTCTTTAGTGCAAGGTGTGTCACTTCACACTGAACCGATGGAGGGAGGAATGACCTACAACCAGCCTGGTCTCAGCTTCCTTTTCCTCTTTCGACCAAAACCATCAGGAGCTTTCCCAAAGTGCTGTATACTAAAGTGGGCTCATTCACTCATGTTCTTGGAGCACCTCAATTACCCGTCTGGCAGTCACTGTCAGTCAGCCAGTCCTTGGAGTAGATCACTATCGGGCTGGTTCACTGGCGGGCCAGTCACAATTCGATTGAATCCGTTCTTGCGGTGGGTAGTTCGGTCTACCCGCTCCTTCCGCCAGGGGAACCCTGCACACGCTGCAGCGAAATCTCTGCTCTTACAAAATCCAAGCCCTCAGGCCCCGCCCCTTCGTAGTCTTACCCAATCATAGGTCTCTGCCTCACAGGAGTTCCCGCCCTCCGGATCACCTCCAGTTACAGGCCTAACTCTCCAAATCCTGTACTATCAGACGCCTAGCTCTCCAGGAATTCTTGGCCTCCATTAGGCATAGTCCCTATTGGAGACCTCTCTCCAAGCCCGCCTTTGTTGGGAGTTCTACCAAATCTGAGAGCTTTTCTCCTCTCAACACCTCCCCCAGGGCCTCCAGCTTTTTTCAGGCCTCCTGCGTTCCCGGCAGACGCGAAGGATGACGCCATCAAATCGCGCTGGGAGGTCACACGGTATCCTCCAATATGGCGGCGGCGGCGCTGAGGAGAGGCTGGTGCTGCTGCCCGCGGGTGAGTGGATCCGTGAGGGCGGGGGTGGGGAAGGAGGCACGCCTTCGGGAGCTCTCGGCCCACGATCTCTAGGTTCTCCTTCTTCTCAGGCCTTTGGTCCCGTCGGCCCTTTCCTGGTCTTGGAGAGACGCTTGGGGTCATCTCGTTTGGTCAGCGGAGGCCAGGACAGGGGCTCGGAGCGAGGCCTGAACACGGGCTCTGAGCGTGACGGGCTGGGGCGGCGTTGCGCGCGACTGTGCTGGAGCGGATCCCTGCGCCTCGCCTTCTATTCAGATCTCATTGGGTTGACGCCTAGTAGAGAAAAAGTAGCGAGAAGACAAAATCCGTGACAGTTACGGCTCGCGTTTATATGCCAGATCCTCTACCGAGAGCATTACCTGTATTGCCTCCCCTGTTGGCCCGTGGAGGTAACTTTTGACTTAGTTAACAACTGTTTCAGTTTTGCGATGGGGATTAGGCGTGTAAAATTCACTTAAAAATAGTACTTTATGTTGTTGCTTATCAACCAGGTTAATCAGCCTGCCCACAGTCTCGGAGCTAGTGGGGTGGCAGACCCCCATCCAAAGCCAGGGTGTCTTTGTGACTCCAGAGGAAGTCTGGAGGAGGGTAAATAATTCATTGGCATCTGAGTGCTGGGAGAAAGACGTTGTTTTTGACCCTGGACTGATTTTTTTTTTTTAACTGTTGCCTTGAGTCAGCGTTTAGAGGTTGAATTTGCATATGTTTGAGGGAACCGTCTTCAGGTTTAGTCTGTTATGGGATTTATGTCCCAAGTTAGACAGTCATCATCTTCTGTTTCAGACTGCTGGAGTCAGTGGCTCCAGGATCCATGAGTGAGGGCACATAGAGAAGTCCAACAAGTTATTTAAACTCCCGTGCGTTAACTCTAGAACAGCTATAGGAGATCGTGGCATCTGTTTAAGTTTGGGTTGTTGCCTAGGGTGTGAAACACGGAGAGGAAAGGCCCAGGGAATGTGGAATTGGAAGGCTGGTTCTATCAGGTCATTGACCATTCATGTGCCTGGCTCCATGCTGGGTGCTGACATGTAGCATTGAACAGGACCGGCACAGTCCCGTCTCTCATGGAGAGAGAAGAAATGCCTTAATCATTTGGTAAGAGAAGAAATGCCTTACACATGAGGTTAGCAGCATCTTTGCCCAAGTTGCCCTGCTTGAAGCCTGACCCTGGATGAGGACATTGTAGGTTTATTCCAGGGTTGTACTTCGTACATGAAGTTATCAGTGTTTGCCTCTCAATGCCCAGGTCTCTGGTCTTACAAAGCCAGCAGAACTGGGGTGGGCTTATGAGAAAAGACTGCTTGCCACCTGTATTGAGGCTCAGCCTCCCTCAATAGTTTTCAGACTAAGGGATTAAATTGGGGATTTATCCTTGTTCCACCATAGGTTGCATTTTCTGGGACCCATCTGTTTCCCCCTGTTCAGAGGCTGGAGGGAAGATACGGGCCCTAGAGGTGGAGATCCAGTGTTTTCTCTTTCCACCAGATTCCGCTGGCTTCTCAGAATTTGGGAAAGCTGTAAAGTGTTCGGCAAGCTATAGGCATATGGTAAAAATCGGCAAATGAGTCTCAGGTGACTCCTGTTTTTTAGCGTGGCCTACTTACTTCCTAGCCATCCTCTTATCTGAATGGAGCTTTCTCGTTTCTCCCCCAATTAGAGATGCCTTGTCAGTGGAGTCCAGTTTCTATCCAGCCACAACCTTGTGCCAGTACCCCGTGGTACCTATCAGGTACGCCGGCCAGATGGAGAGCTGCCCCTGGTGAGTAACTCAGGAAAGGAGCAAACAGAAGGGAGAAGCCTAAAAAATTAGAACCAGCTGAGAAGAGAGGGCTCCAGGATGTTGCCCATGCTGCCATTAGAATCTGATTGGCAGGCATTCCATGTCCAAGGCCTTTGCAGTTACAGAGCCTGGTGTGCCTGGTCCTTTCTGTATCCCCAGAAGTGCTGGGCATGGCTCAAGGTAGGAATCTTGCGTCATAGAGTAGCACATTGTAAGGCATCCCTTGTGTCTTCCACCAGTGGGGCCTTTACAGAGCAAGGCTGTTCCCTTTTCTAGGTAACTTCCCTGTGAGTGCTTAAGCAGAGTGACCCAACATAGCCTGGGGCTCAGCTTCCCAGGCTGCCTCTTCCCAACCTTTATGTTGTTCCTGACAGGTAGCATTTTCTAGAGCTTTTGCCCTCCCCATTACCTCTCTTTAACCACACTTCTGTGGGTACCTTGCCACCACAAGAGGAAAGCCCACCACCTGCTACTCTTCTCCAATCTGCAGCTGGGGGCCCACACTCCCTTTCCAGCCTCATCTCAGCTGTGTCTGTGTAGGCAGCTAGGACCTGGGCCTGCCTGTCTCACTCAGGCTTCATCTTTCAGATCCTTTTCTGGGGCCAATCCAGGCATGGAGTAGGCTCTGTGGCCCACCCTGTAACTGCCCAGTCCCATTTGTCTACCTACAGTTTGTAGTACCTGAATGAGTGGCAGGGCTGCTGTAAGGTGGCATGGTCCCTAATAGTCTTAGAGCTCGGAGTCCCCTGGAGAGAAATTTGGGTCAGGGTGCATCTAGAAAAGAGGGCAGCCTGCTGGCAGCAGGCCTGGATGCCCCTCTTGTGGAATAGATCCTGGGCCTATTGAAACTTTCCTTGGGGCTTGATGGGTGGGGAGGCAGCAGCTCTTGAAACCAGTAAAGTAGACCTGCAACTATGGCTGCGCGTCCAGCACAGTGTAGGGAGTAATGAGAGCAGCTGAACGCACACAGCCACTTCACTGTGACTTGACTCTCTCATGGTCACTCTTGACTCATTCTCTTGCTCTTAGTTATATAGGTGCCAAAGCAGGGATCTAAAACAGGCTCTGGCTGACCTCAAAACCTGTGTCTTTTTTTTTTTTTTAATTGATTTTAGAGAAAGAAAAGGGAGGGGGAGAGATAAAGAGAAAGAAATACTGATTCATTGTTCAACTTACTTATGATGTTTGCTGACTGGAGAATGAAACCTGCAACCTCTGTAGCCTTGGCATATCAGGACGATGTTTTAATTAACTGAATTATCTGGCTGAAGCCTGTGTCTTGAGCAGTGTATGGCACTGGTACTTGTGCCTGGAGCAGGGCCTCTTCTGGCCTTCCTGACCTCTGGTCTCTGGCTTTTGGGTATGTTGGGTTTTCTGGTGAAGGGGAACTCGGAGCTTGAGCTCTTGGTGATCCTGTGGGCTGAGAGAGGGAGGTTTGGACCAGTCCCCGGGCCCCTGAGAGACATATAAGTCCCGAATGGGGACTTGGTAGTGGCTCCCAAAGAAGTTACCTGGCCCCAAAATCCCAGAGAGCAGGACCCTATGCCAGCTTCTTTGAGATGAGGGGCCACTGAGTCTTTTCAACTCCAGTCCTGGGGCAAGGGCCCCTTTGGTATTGACTTTGGCCTTGGGTGAGCATGTTGGAGTTCTCATGATGATTCTACACTGTACCTGTTTCTTGTCGAATGTTTCCTGTGTTGGTAAAGGAGCCTGGCATTTTGTTATGTTTTTAATAGAACTTTTTTTCAAGTTTTAGATTTGCAGAAAATACAGAGTTGCCATATACCTCCTCTCTCCATCAGCACACAGTTTCCCTGTTACTCATGTCTTGCATTAGAGTAGGATATTTGTTGCAACTGATAAGCCAGTATGGATACATTATTATTAACTTAAGTCCATAGAGCACACATTAGGCTCATTCTCTGTGTTGTACATTTTGTGAGTTTTACAAATATAATGATGTGTATCCACCAGTATACACAGAATAGTTCCATTGCCCTAGTAATCCTGTGATCTGCCTCTTTATCCCAAATCCTAAACTCTGGCAACCATTGATCCTTTTATTGCCTCCATAGTTTTGCCTTTTTCAGAATTTCATAGAATTGAAATCAGATTGGCCCCTTTCACTCAGTGACGTACTTTTAAGGTTTCTCCATGTCTTGTCATGGGTTGGTAGCTCATTTCTTTTTATTGCTGAATAATGTGTACTTTGTTGTCTGGGTGCCTCACAGTTTATCAGCTGTTGCCTTTTACATTTGTCTTCATTGTTAAACCTGTAGAAACAGAAAGGAGAAAATTAAAAATTCTTTATTGCTTTTACATCTTTTCAGTCCAAATCCTATTCTTCTGGAAACAGAAAAGGCTTTCTCTCAGGCTTGCTAGATAATATCAAGCAAGAATTAGCCAAAAACAAAGAAATGAAAGAAAGTATAAAAAAATTCCGAGACGAGGCCCGGAAGTTGGAAGAGTCAGATGCGCTCCAGGAAGCCAGAAGGAAATATGTGAGTCCCTTTGCTTTGAGTCTCCCTTGCTGGGACACTTGCCTTCAGAGTTGGGATCTTGCTGGTCCCAGACAGTATGGAGCTCAGTGCTGGTGTGAAGTGGGGCAACAGCTTGTGAGGAGGTGAGGTCACTCACTGAGGATAGCTGCCTGGGCCCAGCTCTCCAGTTCGGTCGTGTGACAGGATGGCACCCTCTGTGCCCCATCTGCGCTGGCCTCTGGATGCCTATGAGGAATACAGGGCCTCAGAGCCCACTCAGCCTGCAGAGTCAGAATCTGAGTCCCCACTGGCCCCTGTGACCCCTCAAGCACTGGGTTCAAGGTGAGCTGCTCCTGAAAGCCTCCTAATTGTGGTCCTCTGGGCCAAATGGGTACTAGTGTAGTTACTAACTGCCACTTCTTATCAAGTAGCTGCCAAGTGCCCACCACTGTGCCTGGGGGCGCACGCACTGGCCAGGTCCCTCGGTGTTTGTTCTCTTGGCTTCCCTCCCAGGCTGAGTGCAAGCCCTGTTCCCTCGTGAGTGTCCCTAAGCCTCTCACGTGGTTATAACCACCTGTGAGGGGATTCCACCCAGTGAAACATCACCCTTCATTTTCATTAAGGAGGGCATGGGCTGGGAGTCCTTTGGGGACAGCATGCTGAGGTTGGGTGAAGTGGCTAGGGTGTGGGAGATGCCACAGGAGCTGGTGGCTGGGTGGAGGGTAGGGTGGGGCAGGAGAGTGCTAGGGTGGAACTGGTAGGCAAGACCACCCCCTGCTGATCAGAGAAATGCTGGGCCAGGGTGCCTGTGCTTCGGAGTTTTGGTCGTCCTTCAGCTGCTGAGACCCACAGGCCAGGTAGTGGGGCAATAAGGGGCCCTTGGGATGGGGAAGAGGGAGGCAGCATGGGGGGAGTTTGAGGAGGAAGGAGCTGCTGAGAAAATGCTTCTTTGGCCCTTTGGATGTCCCATAACTACTGTGTGGTAATAAAAGGAACCAACATCCTTCATTGTAGAAAACCATTGAATCCGAAACCGTGCGGACGAGTGAGGCAATCAAGAAGAAGTTGGGGGCAATCACTGGCACTGTGAAGGAGGTAATGGCCTCTGGGTCCCCTCAGTTTTCTGGCAACAGCTCCCGGGCCCATCTGTGCCTCACCTCTGAAGAGGACAGTGGTGCTGGCAGCCCTGGATGAGCAGGCATGGGCTTGGGGCTGGGTGGCTAACAAGGGAAGAGCCAGCCAGGCCTGGAAGCTTCCAGAGTTCAAATACTCAACCCCTGAGAAAGGAGGGGAAGTCAGACTTGCCCACCTGCAGGGCAGTAACACTGGGATAAAATGAGGTTTTTTTCCACTTGCCTAAAAATAGAAGGGGTGAGGACGGCTCTCCCCGAGGAGAGGGTGGATATGGGAGTGAGACCCCCTGGATGCTGTGAGAGCTTTTCTTCTTGTTGCTTCTGTTGTTCGTGTGGGCAGGAGAAGAGGGGCAGGTCTTTGCAGAATCTGGGCGCACCTCACCTTTCTTATGCCTGCTCCCGGGCTGCTATCCCTGTAGCATCCTGTGAAGACTCCCAGCTCCTTCCCATTCTGGGAAAGGACAGTTGACCAGGGTCCAGCACACCAGAAATTGTAGGCAGTGTTCTTGAACGTGCATGCCTGAGCCTTGGGGCCTCAGGAGCCAGATGAGTTCAGAGTGCTGGTTCTCGCCCACCCTTAGAGGCCAAGGACTGGCCTTAGTTCCAGGGATGCTCCTGTGGTTCCCTGAGAGAGCCTGTGCTGACATCCTCACCCTTTTCTGTCTCAGTAGAGTCTGGATGAAGTCAGTAAAAGCGACCTTGGCCGGAAAATCAAGGAGGGTATGGAGGAAGCAGCCAAGACGGCCAAGCAGTCAGCCGAGTCCGTGTCCAAGGGTGGGGCCTTCAAAGCCCTCTCCCAGGTGAGTTAGATGCTGGGGCCTGTGGCTGAGGACAGTCTGGGCTCTGGCCCTCTTTGAAGCTCAGAGCAGAGTTCCCCCCCTTGGAGTTCAATCCCAGAGAGCACTGGCTGCACTGAGGGGGTATAGTGGGGCTGTGAGGAAGGTCCACTCAAGGGGCCAGGTCATGCTCCCTTCTGGTTGGGTGGCCTTGGGCAAGTCACAGCCCCTGGGGGCGGGGGGGGCGGCTGCAGTTTGATACGCTGAGAGCCTCTTGCCCACTCTCAGCTGCCAACACCCTGAGCTTAGATCCATAGCTCCATAGCCCAGAGGTCCATCATGCCAAGGGTGACTCGAGGTTCTGAACTCATTCCAGTAACACTTGTTGGACCTTAGCACACAGCAGGCCCTCTGTTGGCCATGGGAGCCACAGGAGTAAAAATCCCAAGTTTCTGCTGTCAAAGGGTTTTAGGACAGGGAAGGGGACAGGAAGTTCCTGAGTGACATGTGACAGGCTCACACAGGGAAGGGGCTGCAGGCAGAGGGAGCAGACCTGCAAGCACCACCAGCCTGGGGTACGCCCTGCAGCCTGGCACAGCTGGCACGACCTCAGGGGTCAGAGGGAGGCTGAGACAAAGTAGGGACTGTTGGCCTGGCCCTGTAGGCCAACTCAGAGGACCTCTGGTTTTCTCCCAAAAGTGACAAGGAGCTGAAGAAAGGATACAGGCAGAGCTTGGAGATACTGTAGGCTCAGCTCCAGACCATTGCACTAAAGCGAGAACCACAGTAAATCACTGAAATGTGGTTTCCCAGGGCGTATAAAAGTTATGTTGCCCTGTGCTGCAGTCTGTAAGCATGAAATAGTATTGTGTCTAAAGCACACAGTGTACACGATTTAAAATGCTTGAGCCCTGGAGGTTGTAGGTCAGTGGGTTAAGCACTGTGAATCTAAAGGTTGCTGGTTTAATTCCTAGTCGGGGCAGTTGCCTGGGTTGCAGGCCAGGTCCCCAGCCCTAGCTCAGGGCATGTGAGAAGCAACCATCTATATATATCTCCTTGTCTTTCTCCCTTCCCTTCTCTCTAAAAGTAAATAAACCTGCCTTGGCTCGTGTAGCTCAGTGGATTGAGTGCAGGCCTGTGAACCAGACAAGCACGGTTCGATTCCCAATCAGGGCACATGCCTGGGTTGCAGACCGGTTCCCTGCAGGCCAGTTCCCAGCAGGGGGCGCACGAAAGGCAACCATACATTGATGTTTCTCTCCCTCTCTCCTTCCCTTCCCCTCTAAAGATAAACAAATAAAATCTTTAAATAAATAAATAAAAGTAAATAAACCTAAACAAACTAAAAATAGTTCTCTGCTAACAAAAAATGTTGACGATCCTCTGAGCCCTTAACAAGTTGTAATTTTTTTACTGGCAGAGGGTCTCACCTTCAAGTTGTAAAAAAGCAGTGCCTGTGACTGCAGTAAAATTAGGAACGCCTGTACTGGGTGTGGGAGAGGCACAGCCATCCCATCTGGGCTCTGGCGGTGGCACAGAGGAGGCCTGAGAATGTCTTGGGAGGCCCTAATGCAGCTGCCCTTGGCAGGGAGTGGGGAGGATGCGGGGGTGGGTTCCAGAGATTTGGGAAGGGTGGCCCACAGACTCGGCTCTAACGGGAGTGTGAGGCATTGGTAGAACCTAGGATGTGTTGGGTTTCCAGGGAGAGGGAGATGTTGATCTTGAATCTGAGAGTCACCTGAGGGCAGGGGAGGTATGTCTGCTGCTCCTGGATTGGCGGGGGGTGGAAGTCAGGCAGAACTGGAACCTCCCAGAGGGCTTGCCCTGCTGTTGCCCTGCACCAGGCCAGGTGAGGGCTCTGGGCAAGACAAGGCCCTAGAGTGTCATCAGGCCCAAGGTCGGGGTTCACAACAGGCAACCCTACCTCCAGGCACAGTTGCATCAGCTGATACTGGCCTGGGGGTATCATGAAGGCCCCTGGTACCCACCCTGAGCTTTATTCTCCTCCAGGGGGTGGAGTCAGTGAAAAAGGAGATTGACGAAAGTGTGCTGGGCCAGATTGGACCCTACCGCAGGCCTGAACGGCTCAGGAAAAGGAAGGAGTTTGCTGGAGAGAAGTTCAAGGAAGAGAAAGTGTTTGAGCCCAATGAGTAGGTACCAGGCCAAGTGGGGCTCCCTTCACTGCCTCCTTCTCAGGCTCCCAAAAGTCCCACCCAAGTCAGTTATCAAGTTTGTTTCCTGCTTCAGGTTCCCTGGCTCTCCTGAGAGAATTTGGGGGAGAGTCAGTGGTGGGAATGGCAATAGAGAAGGCAGGAAGCTGAGAGACAAGGGCAGGGTCACCTCAGCCCCTGAGCTTGGGCCATCCTGCTGTCCCCTCCCTGCAGCAGGGGGCCTAGACCCAGTGGCTCCCCAGCTGCTGCTCACTGGCCACTCCATCTTCCCCAGGGAGGCCCTGGGGGTCGTGTTGCACAAGGACTCTAAGTGGTATCAGCAGTGGAAGGACTTCAGGGACAACAACGTGGTGTTCAACCGTGAGTGTTCACATTGCCGACACTTAGTCACAGCAAGGCCGTGACAGGGGACACTGAGCACTCCTAGGGCTCTGGGCACAAGCCACAGGCCCGTTTTACAGAGGAGGAGACTGGGGTGAGAGAGGACCACTCATTTCTGCATGGTTACCCAGTGAGTGGCCAGTGGGTGGGCACATTGCTCTCGGGGCTGGTGGCCACAGCAGGGTGGCCTGGTGCAGTGGCTGTGCATTCCAGAAGATGCTCCCTCATCAGGGAGAACAGGACAGGAACCCTGGTGCTTGCAGAGCTAGAGCCTGCCCAGGCCTTGGAGTTCTCTGATCTTTCTGGGGTGGGGGCCTTCCCAGATGCTGACAGAGGGTGGGGCTGCACCACCTAGAGGCCTGAGTTTCATAGTTTGCACTTTCCCTGAGGCTCACAGTTGAGCAGCTTCTGCAGCCCCTGAGGCCAGTTGGCCTCCAACTCTGTGTCCAGCTGAGGAAGCTGGCTCAGGTCCTCTCACTTACCCAGCCTCTTTCTGGAGCAGCCATGCAGGGGCCACAAGGCACTCACAGAAGTCAGGGATGAGGGGTATGTGTCCAGAAGGGAACCCTACCCCTGCTTCTCTCCTACAGGGTTTTTTGAGATGAAGATGAAGTATGACGAGAGTGACAACACATTCATCCGAGCCTCCCGAGCACTGACAGACAAGGTCACAGACTTGCTGGGTGAGTGGGTGGCTCCAGGACCATCCCGCCCCACACCTGCATCCCTGGGCTGGCAACAGGGATGGGGTTCCTGCCCCCCTGCCCACTCCCGCCTTGGCTGCCCTCAGGGGGCCTGTTCTCGAAGACAGAGATGTCAGAGGTGCTCACGGAGATCCTGCGCGTGGACCCCGCCTTTGACAAGGAGCGGTTCCTGCAGCAGTGTGAGAGTGACATCATCCCCAATGTCCTGGAGGTGGGTGCCAGACCCTGCAGGCCACTCCTTGGGGCCCTCACTGCCCTGCTTCTGGGGCACCACCAACCTTGAGAGCAGACCAGAACAGAAGTTCCTCCGGGGATGTTTGGCCAAGGGGGGTATTTTCTCAGCAGAGGTAAAGCTTCAGTCTTCATAGCCTGAGCACCCAAACTCCTGGGCCCTGTCCATCAAGTACCTCTGAGAAGGCACCTGTTGCCTGTGACCTCTCTGGTCCCAGTGGTGGTAGCTCCGGCCCATGCTGTGGGTCTGCTTCTGGGACTGAGTCTCTCTTCCCGCCTCTTGTTTCCCCCACATTCTCTGCCTGGAGCTGTTCTCTCGTGGCTGCCAGCGCTCAGGTACTTGTCTTCCAGGTATCAGAGCCTTTCAGGAGTCAGGCAGAGGCTGGCTGCTGGCCCTTGGGGAGAGCCATGAGGAGGCCTGTGGGGGTGCACAGAGCTCAGGCTGGACCCTCAGGCAGTGGGGCAGGACCCGGGCCACTATCACAGTAGGGGCTTTTTGCCCTCTTCCCTCACAAGCCTCTATGGGAGCCCTGAATCCTATTTTCTGGGCCCCTGACCCCTTCATTTGGCTCAGGAATGAGGAGAGGGCCACTTACTCAAGGTCCCACTTCCTTGAAGCCCCTTCCTAAAGCTGCCTTTTGTCTGTCCTACCACAGCCCCCAAGACATGGTGGCCAAAGCCTAGGCAACCTCTAGCCCAGCCAGCCCAGGGCTTCAGGGGCCTCTAGTAGGACAAGAGCAAAGCTCTCGACCCCAGGTGGATGCCAGCCCCCTTCCTTCCGCCAGCCTCCATGTGGTTCCCTCTCCATCCTGACTGCCTGGGTCTGTCTTGCCACCTTGGGCAGAGGTGGGAGTGGGGCAGTTCCTGAGAGCAGGAGCCTAGGCTTTGGCATTGCCCTTTGGGGTGAGGGTAGCCTAGCACCCAGCCTGTCTGTAGTTTCCCACAGGCACCTGGCCCTCCTCCCCTCTCTGGGCTCCTCCTAGATGCTCCCCAGACCCAGCCCTGGCTCCAGGTTCCTGTGGAAGCATCCCCACTCCCATTCTGCTCCCTGGCCATCCAAAGCTTCATCTCCTGGGGAGGCAGAAAGCTGCTTGTCACCTCCTTGGCTCAGTGTCCCTGCCTGGGTGACAGCCTGGCATGCTGCCACCTTCCTCTCTTACCAGGCCCTGGGGAACCCACCTTAGACCACCCAGGAGTCACACCACAGGGGCTTTGCTCCCAGGAGCCCCCCTACTACAGCCTGGCTCAAGCTATACACACACTCCCTTCCTTCCTCAACCAGAATCTGTGGGCAGAGTGGGGGTCGGGGGAAGGGATGTCTGTCTACAGAGGAAAGGATTTCGTTTACTTTTTTCATATTTCCCATTGTAGGCTATGATTTCTGGAGAGCTTGACATTCTCAGAGACTGGTGCTATGAAGCTGTGAGTACTTTCTTTCTTTCTCTCTTCCTTTCTTTTTTTCTATTCAGGCCTAAAAAGAATTTACAGTTTAGAGATCTGATTGGATGACTGACCTGGAAAGACCATGACAGGGCCTGGCATCCTGGTCAGATGGGGATTCTTACGTCTGACACAAATCGGGCATAGCCCCTTCTGCCCCTTATGCATATTCGTGCAGTATATTGGGTGCCACGTAACCCACAGGACTCGTAACCCACAGGACTCGCCGGGGCCCAGGTGGCTGGTCCGTTCAGGCTAAACTCTTAGTCAGGGATGGTCCTTCTAGCTCACGCTTTCCTCCTTCACTTGGCCTAAAGGATGGCTTGGGGCTGAGCCTGGCTTCCTGCTTTGTCATGCAGGACCCTTTCTCTGTCCTGATGCTGGTTAAAGAGGCTCATAGGGCAGAAGAGTGATCCTGGGGAAGGCGTCTGAGTAAGATGAGGATTCAGTGTGGCCTCTTCTGTTTCAGGTGGCCTTAAATGACAAAAAGCAAGGCCCCATGGCCAGGTGGGCTGGGGGCCCAGGGGTCAGATGGAAAGGGGCAATGATTAATTCTCAGGTGCATTAGATGTTCCCCCAGAGCCCATAGGTGCTGGGGAGAGAGCAGTTGGAGGCCCCAGTGTAACCTCCCTTTTCTGAGCCAGAGTTGTACTGTTTTCTGTCTTGTGGGTACAGCGTGAACACAGAAGTGATGTTTCAGGACGCACACAGTGCTAGGTGAATTCATTAACTACTCTTGCTTCGATACTCCAGAACACAGAACAAAACAGACTGAAACCAGAAAAGACACTGGCGTTTGTGCTGCCCGTCACATGTCAAACCCAGTAAGCAGAAACAGGGATTGAATCTTTATGGGCACTTTATTCAGAAGGCCAGTGATCTGAGAAGATGGTGGGTTTGTACCCTAACAGACCATCTTAACATTTTTTTTCCAAGCCCACATGTAAGGGAATAAACAAAGTGCAGTGAGGGTTTTGAGATTCAGGGAGGATTAGGTGAAAGAGACTGCAGCATCCCTGTCCTGGGCAGTCAGCTGTTCCCAGGGTCAGGTAGTCGTCTGTCTCTCCCCAGAACACAGAGGCCTGCATGCCTCTGGTTGTCCCCAGGCGGTGATCTCTAGCAGTGCCCCAGGAGGTTGGCAGTTCTCCCAGGAGTCAGGACAGGCCTTATCTGTAGTTTCTGAAACAAAAGCTTTAACATATGCATCACCTACTAGGCTTATTAACTACCTTAAACTAAAAATTTTCAGCTTTTGAGTCCCCTGTCAAGATATTGATGACTTTCCTGCCCAGGGAGGAGCCATGGGTCCTGATGAGGCCCCAGTGCTCCCTAGGGTCAGGGCTTGGGGGCCCAGGGCTGCAGGCAATGCTAGACTATGAGCAGCCAGTGAGGTGTCCCCAGTAGTACATTGGTAGCCTCATCCCCTCAGGGTTTTTTGACTCCTCTGGCCACTTCACCTCACCCCACTTGCTCCCTGACCTGTGTCTTCATGGGGTGTTTTCTTCCATCTTCTTTGTATTAAACCCAAAGGCTTTTTTGACTGATTTGATTCTGTGCCAGCTACAACCAACTTGGAAAAAGTAGAGACATTGTCAGATTTTCTTCGAATACTCCCGGACACAGTGACTAATTCAGCAGTCAGTTATGAGTGTTTTTGTTTGTTTGTTTTAACTTCAGGGATGGTCCTTCTAGCTCACGCTTTCCTCCTTCACTTGGCCTAAAGGATGGCTTGGGGCTGAGCCAAGTGGCTTGGGGCCCTTAGGGTATGACGGACTCTTTCCAGAGAGCTGCCTAGCTGGTGCCTTTAGAAATGCACATGAAGCTGTACCTGCTCACAGAGGTGTGGGTTTGGTTTTTTGTTTGTTTGTTTGTTTTTTAAGAATTTATTTATTTACTTTTAGAGGGCTAAGGGAAGGAGAAAGAGAAGGAGAGGAACATCAACTGATGTGAGGTCTCTCCCACACCCCTAACCAGGGACCTGGCCTGCAATCCAAGCATGTGTCCTGACCAGGAATCAAACCAGTGATCCTTGCTTGGGTTTGTAGGCTGGCGCTCAGTCCACTGAGCCTTGCCAGCCAGAGGCACAGAGAAAAGTGTTACCTTTAATGTCCTGGCTTGAGCGCCAGCCTTCGAACCAAAAGGTCGCCCATTCAATTCTCGGTCAGGGCACATGCCTGTGTTGCAGGCCAGGTCCCTGGTTAAGGGTGTGTGAGAGACCTCACATCAGTTGATGTTTCTTTCTCCTCCCTTACCCTTTCTCTACAAATGAATATATAAAATCTTAAAAAGTAAAATGTCATCTTTAAGAAACCTCACAAGAAGTAGAATGGGCACCATTTTTTTTATGTTGGCAAATCAGTTATTTTGATGAAAGTAGATGCTCTCGGAATGTCTTCCTTCGTGCTTGTCTGTTGTAATAATGGGGCTGCACATGTCCCAGAGGCAGTGTTTTGGTCTTGGGAACAGGCATGAGGGGATTAAGAGTGTCATTTGGGGTGCCACTGTCCCTGTAGGGAGAACAGGTTGCCTGTAGCAGTCAGCTGCCTGCGAGGGACTAATCAGTGAGAAGAAGAGAGTTTCAGAGCCACACATGGGTTGGGGCAAATCCTAGAAAAAGTGTTGGATTCCAGGCCAAGACTTGGAGGGAGGTAAATGTGGGGACACTTAAGATCAGCCAGCAAGGCCTCAAGTCTTCCCTGCTAGTGCATTTCAGGTGGCTTTCCAGGGGAGCTGCCTGCTTAGCCCATGAATACCACTCTCGTTGGGCAGTCGTGACATGGCACCATCTTTGTAATGAGAAGGAAGCGGGCCAGCAAATGGGCAGCACTGGCCTCTGTGCTTAGAACCATGCTCCTGGCATCCGCCGCTCCTGGCATAGCACACCACTCACCAGGGCCGTTTCTGGAAGGTGCAAGAGCTGAAATCAGGAAATTTTGCCAGTGAGCTGCCTGCAGGAAGAGTGTCTCAGGATGCCAGCACCAGCCTTCACCTGTGGCACGGTGTCTTGATGTGGCCTGGGCTTGGGTGGTCCTCAGATGGGCATGTTGGCCTCTTGTTGCAGACCTATAGTCAGCTGGCCCATCCAATCCAGCAGGCCAAGGCGCTAGGCCTCCAGTTCCACTCCCGAATCTTGGACATCGACAATGTCGACGTAAGTACCTCTTCCCTAGTGGGCTGGACAGACCCTGGGGTTGGGAATGTGAATCGATGAGGAGTGAGCTCCCCATCCCTGGAGGACTTCCAGCACAGGTGGGCATTTTGATTAAATGACCTCAAGGGTCTATTGCAGTGAAAAATTTCCATAGTCCTGTGGTTGGATTATTCTTTGGCTAGTAGTGGGCCCAGGGGGTGCTGCACCTAGACCTCAGGGCCCCCCAGGGTCCCCCAAAGTGGTGACATACCTGTACCTTCACTGGGGAGTACGGGGTTTTGTCAGGACTGCTGAGGCAACAGCTCTGCCAGTCATCTTACTTTCCTCCATTTGGGGCTGAAGGCATGCCAGTGCCAGCTTTCCTCTCCCATCTTTGTGCCAGGTGCCCGACGCAAGTCCTGAGGCCCCACATGGCCCCCAGTCTAGGGACCAAGGCTGCCAGGGTGTTGGGAGCCCTCACGGGTTCTCAGAAATTCAGACTACATCTCGTAGTGGAGGGCTTGGACTGGTGCATGGGGAGAGTCTCCCAGGAAATCCTTGCATGGAAACAGGCCGGCAGGAGATGACACCTGTGGGGGACTGATTGGGGTGGATCCTCGGGGTCCCTCTAAGGAGATGAGTCAAGATGTTGAGGTGCTCGGGTTCCCTCCTGGCAGCACCCCAGGAAGCAGGGTAGGGGATTGGGTCTCCATATCAGGGGGAGCAGCAGGGGACCGTTCAGTGCCACCCGCCCTGTCGGCTCCCCTCACAGTTGGCCATGGGCAAGATGATGGAGCAGGGGCCTGTGCTGATCGTCACTTTCCACGCCCAGCTGGTGATGGTGATCAAGAACTCCAAAGGAGAAGTGGTCGAGGGTGACCCGGTGAGTGAGGGAGGGGACCAGGTAGGGCAGGCAGCCAGCCCAGGACCAGCTGGATGGCAGTAGCCAGCCACCTTGCACAGGTGGCAGTTCAGAGCCAGCAGGTTCTATGACTGGGAAGGAACAGGGTGGTGCCTTGAGAAGCCCCAGGGTCTATATTGGGCCTGGTAGAGGTCAGAAGGCAACTGACCTGTTCAGTTTCACCAAAGCCTAACTTTGAGCCTCTGCTCTGGACCCCAGGCCCAGGTTGACACCCAAACACTCCTCCTGGCAGCCTCATCCCATTGTGCCTCTCTGCCCCGGGGCTGTCCCCATCCCCACCCCATCCTTGCAGGACAAGGTGCTGCGCATGCTGTACGTATGGGCACTTTGCCGGGACCAGGATGAGCTCAACCCCTACGCGGCCTGGCGGCTTCTGGACATCTCTGCTTCCAGCACAGAGCAGGTCCTCTGAGCTTGGTGGCCACAACAGGGACTCTGAGCTGTATCATGCAGAGCAGCTGCACGGCGTGGGACCGATGTCCACCTATAGCAACAGACCTCTGGGGATAAGACTGTGGACTCTGGTCCATTCTGCCATAGTGGCTACAGAACCAGCTGGGCAGGAAAGGACCAGGGACTGTGGAGGGCTGCTCTCCACAGTGGCAGCCCCTGTACCACCCTCTGCTGCATAGGGGCTGCTGGCAGGCAGGTCACCAAGGCACACAGGCCAGACAGTGCCAAGAGGACCTGGCCCAGAACAACTCAGGATGGGGTGGTGGGGCCTGCTGGACACATTAGTCAGGCTGCTTTAGCTCTATTTAAAACAAACAAACAAACAAACAAACAAACAACGTTAACAGTGCTCTTATTACCTTGTATGTATGCCTGAGATTTGGAAGTGATAATAAAACACCAAAGGGCAAGAGAGCAACTTGGATGATCTGAGATGTCTGTCATTGGGGTGGCTGTACTTGCCAGGTCACTGAAGGAACTGGGGACCTAGTGGGGCACCTTGTCTGGTTGGGACCCTGTACCCCTCAGGATGAAAGGAGACCAGTGACAAGAAAAGCTAGGGAGGATCTCTAGGGTGGGTTTCCTCTAGGGTGGGATCTCAGGGTTGGGGTTCCTCCAGGGCTGTGGGAACTTGAGCGGCTGAGTGGTGCTGGGGGTGGCATTGGGATTCCCCAAACGGGAAGTCTGGGTGAAGGTTCCATCGGGAAGAACGGGGATGCAGGAGCTAACAACGGGGTGGAGGCATCTGGGGTGCTTGGAGGGGTGGGGTCCTAGATACCTGCAGATCCGCTAGGCCTGGGCACCGATCCTGAGGCCGGGCGCGGTGGCTGCCGAGCTTAGCTCCCGGCGCAGCCTCCGCCCCCCGATTCCCGCCACCGCCCCGCCCCCGTTGCTATGGAAACAGCCGCGGCTGCCGGCTTGCTCGCGCCTCGCCCGCCTAGGTCTCTGCTGCTTCCAGGGGCGGATGAGGTGGGCTGAGCACCAGCTGCCTCCACTGTCACCACCACCGGGAGAGGCCGAGAGCGGAGCCGGCACAGGTCCCAGAGAAGAGCGTGGCTGCTGGGCGCTAGGTCCCCATCGCGGTCGAGGCCAGGGTGAGGGGAATTGCAGGGATGGTGGGGGAAGGGGTCTCTGGGACGGCGAGAACAAAGACAGCGGGCAGGGGCCGGGCCAGACTCCACTGCGCACCCGGGCCTCATGGTCACACCTGTTGTGTGCTGGCCGCTGGGTCAGAGCTCCGTCTCCCAGCTTTCAGCGCCCCAACCTGCGTGGAGTTGGGTCCCTGTGTGGCGGTCGCAGCGTGTCTACGGGTGGGGGCATGGGCGTTTCCCGGAGACCAGAGAGGTGGGACAGGCAAGGTCGGGGGCGACGTGGGAAGGCAGAACCTCATTCCGGTGCCGGGCCAACTCCTTGCCCACAGGGCGTGCGGCGATGTGAGCCATGAGCACGACCTGGACGCTGTCCCCCGAGCCGTTGCCACCATCGACGGGGCCCCCGGCAGGTGCGGGCCTGGACGCGGAGCAACGCACGGTGTTCGCCTTCGTTCTCTGCCTGCTTGTGGTATTGGTGCTGCTGATGGTGCGCTGTGTGCGCATCCTACTCGACCCCTACAGCCGCATGCCCGCCTCGTCCTGGACCGACCACAAGGAGGCGCTTGAGCGTGGGCAGTTTGACTACGCGCTAGTGTGAGCCAGGCATCCCCCGGTGGCCCTCCGCCGGACAGGGGTGCCGGCGGGCCGACTGCCCTCAGGATCCCATCCCAGAGCTCAGCCCAAGGGTGGGGCGTAAGAAGTCCAGCCTGCCCCGTCCAGGCTCTTCCCATCCTCAGGCCTCTCCTGTCACCCCTCCTGGCCAGCCCGAGCCCCACTCTGTGCCTTTATCCCTCCCTGTCCTGGCCCCCTAAATTAACCGAGCCCGCATTGTGTAGGTGGCTTTGCTATTGTCCCGCCTCCAGCATGAGTGGTCTGTCCGTTCCTGGATGCGGAGGCTCTGTCTCCTTCCCTTCCCATCTGGCCATCCCCACAACATCCCCGCTGAGTGTTGAGCCCCTGCGTGGGCTCCCTCCTGGCCCCACGGGATGGATGTTGCACGCCCCACGCAGGCCACCCTGGGACCTAGCCTGAAGAGTGACAACGGCTGCTGTGTCCAGGATGCGTGGCGCCTTCCGTGGGGGGAAAGCACGGGCAGGCTCACTCCCACCGGGGCTCAAGCTCTAGTCCAGATTGGCACACCCCTCGCTCAGTCACCACTTCCCGTAGCCCAGTCACTGGCGACCCCGCTCCTTCCCCGAGTCCTCCCACACCCCAAAGTCCTCCCCCGCCCCTCCCCATGCCTTCTCACTCCTACCTGCCTGAGCTGACGGTGATAATAAAAGCTGTTGAGTGCTTACTTGAGCGAGCTGAGTTAGCGCCTTTCGTGCCCAGCGCTGTGAAGACCCAGACCCACACTTTGGGGAACGGATGTGTAACCACCTCAATTTCCCCAGCTCCAGGCAATCAAGACACCCCCCTCTTTCCTGTGGCCTGGGGAGACTCTGGGGGCTGTGAAATGGACTTAGCCGAGTGGGGAGTTAGGGTGGTGTGCCCTCAGCCAGCCCTGGAGCAGGGTCTCCTGCTGCAATGACCACATCTTCAGCCCCAAACCCTTCTAACCCTGCCTGGTCCCTTCTTCCCACCATCGTTGCATGCACTTGGGTACCCATGGGTCTGGTGGGGGCAGGATATGATCATGGAGTGGGCTGGCCCTACTCCACAGCCCGTGTTGTGCACTCCGGGGGAGCTGTGTGCAATGTGTGTGTGAAGTGAGGGTTTCTATAAAAGGAAAGCTGAGTGAAAGCACCCTTGTAATACATTTTAGCAGCTCTCAGAGGACTAGGTTGGCCTGGGGGAATGCCATTCCAAGGACACCTGGTTCCTGCCCCACCCTCCCAACCTGCCCCCACCACACCCTCAAAGACTGGTGGAGGGGAGACCCCTTGCAAGGAAACCTAATGGCATCTCCAAGAATTCAGGGCCTTTGACACAAGCAGCTGGGACTACTGTTCCCTCCTTTACCCAGTTCTGCTCCTCCTCCCCTTGTTTCCACATGTCTGCCTTAGAGACCCTCTTTCTAACCTGCAACATCTGACAGCCCACTGCCAACGCTTAGGTCCCCCAGCTTTGGGCTTGGCTACTGGCTGCCCTGTTGTGAAACCAGAATATCAAGACTTCACTAAAGGAACTTCAGACAGAAGTGGCATCACACAAAAAGGGGAGAGAAGGCATGATATAAACAGCCAAGTGCCAACAGGCCCACCTGTCTATGCAAGAACATTCCTTTCAGGTGATACAGCTCACCCCTCCCAGAGTGCACTGGCAGCCCTGGTGAGGGTTTGGTTTTGTTAAGTGCAATGATTTGCCTAACACATTCTCACTCTGCTGGTGTCGCCCCTCCATCTATCAGGTAAGGTTACTCTGCTCAGAAAGCCTTTCCCTGACACCTGTTGAGCTCAGGTTGGCCCTGACCCTCCCATCAATCACCAAGGGTTGCCTCATAGCCAAACTGAGGTCATCACTCCAAGCAGCTTCAGAGCTAACCTGGCAGTGGTAGCCTTTGGTGACTACACCCCCCTCCCTTGGTCCCTAGGATCCTAAGCTCTGCCTCTCCTACCTCTCTGACATCTCCCTCTGCACTCTGAACCCCCATTGCCACTTTAATTCAAATATCAAGGCAGACTGACAACTTTATTCAGTTGTAGCAATGCTCCCCAACCTTTTGGCACCAGGAACCTGTCTCATTGAATACAATTTTTCCTCAGATGGTGGTGGTGGCGGGGGGGGGGGGAGCGACAGTGGAAAGCAGGAGGCAGAGCTCAGGCGGTAATGCTAATGTGAGTGAAGCTTCACTGGCCCCCTCCCACCTCCTGCTGTGCAGCCTGTTTCATAACAGGCCACCCAGACCAATATAGGTCTGAGGTCAGGGGTTGGGGACTCCTGAGCATAGGACATGGGCCACAGGATACAAAAAGCCAGGAGGACCCAATGCAGGGGAGGTGCCAATGATAGTTTTTAGCCCAGCCACGTGGTGGTCTTCACCTCAGTTCTGTGGCTGGACTTCTGTACAACTGGGTTTCCACTTCTGAGACCCTTGCTGTATGGAGGGTCTTAAAGGCCATTTGGTACTGCATACCCAATCAGGGACTTCTACCATGACCACATCCCCAGGCATACCCAGTGCCAGCCCAAGCAGAATTGAAGGCTAGGGCCTAAGAGATGTTTGGTGTGTCCTCTGCCTGCTGGGCCCCTCACTTTGCAGAGGTAGGCACCTGGCCTATAAGCTCTAGGGGCACCAAGAATGGGTTGAGGGGGCAGACCCCAGCTGCTTGCCAGGCAGATCTTGGTTCATCAGGACTGGCCTTCTCAGGGGTCTGGGGTGTAGCCGGGCTGGCCTCCTCTTGCCCCCTAGGGCCAGTCCCACAGTCCTTAGGCCCTGGCTGCAAGTTCCCAGTGTTGGGGTCAGACTGGGGAGCCATCAGGCGTAGGTATGTATCCATCATATGCTCAACCAGGACTGCACAGGGCAGGTGAGGCAGCTCCTCGGGAAGTGCCATGAGCAGGTCAAGGACCACTGCTGACTCTGGTGATGGACAGAGAGGGGAGGAATAAGAGAAGAGCAGGGTTTGCTGCCTGGAACCCAACCCCCACAGCTCCCACCCCCCATTCTTCTCACCAGCTGCAGAAAGCTCAGGGCCACGGTAGCTGTGGGAGATGGAAGACAAGTACTTGTAGATCTTCTCAAAGTCCACTACGAGGTCTTCCTCAGCAGAGAGGCCAGCCGGGAATTCAGAAGGTGCCTCAGGGGCGGGGCCAGGAGCCTCAGGACTCTGGTCTTCCTGCCCACTAGGGATGCTGAGGGGCAGCAGTTTCCCACGTGCCTGAGTGGGCTTGGAGGGCTTGGACTGCAGGAGGCTGGTGGGCTCCACAGCTGCGATGGTGAGCGCCTGCCAGACAGAGAGATCAAGGAGAAAAAGAGAGAAGTCCTCCCTTCAGCCACTCCCCTGCCCTGCAAACTGCGCTGAACCCTCCACCTCTGCCTGCTCACCCAGGGAAAGTGTCACATATAGGAGACGGCCTCAGAGTGGGGAATACTGAGGCTCAGGGTGTCTCCTAACTTGCCAGAGTCACAAAGCTGGTAAGAGGAAGGGCCCAGGACACACCACCTTATTTAGACTCTTCTATATGACCCTGTCCCCAAGGACACCCCCAGCCTGCCTAGGGGATGGCCATACTTGTGAGAAAGCCAGAGTCAGGGTTTCCTCCAGCGGGCCTGTTATCTTCTCTGCCAAATCAATCCATACCTGGGCAGAACAACCAGAAAGTACATGGTCAGCATAGGGATCACCCCTCCTGAGGATCACCTGACCAGTTTATCCTCCCAACTCTCACCCCATCTTCCAGGGGCTGGCCCTGGGGAACCTTGCCCTAACTCACCTCGATGGGGGCTGGAATCTGTGTTTCCAGGCGTCTCTGACCCTTTGGGACACCTGAACGCACCCTCTGAATGGCTTCCCGGGCGACCCGGCCCTTGAGCTGCTGGAGGAAATCCCGAATCTGGGGAAGACAAATGAGGAGGATGAATGGGCTTTCTATAAACCCAGAGCTGGGGGACAGAAGCCAAAGACCACTGCCTGCTCCAGAGCCGACCACTACTTGCTTCCTGCAACCCCGTCAAGGGCCACAGAGATTGTGTCCAGGGTGCGGGAACAAGGCGCAGCTGCGACCTAACGAAAAGGTAAGGTCCAGGCCCTTGTGACTCCTCCCCGCAGCCAGGGCCCGTCCCCAGTCTAAGCACTACCCTATTCACTTCCTAAGCTTCGTACACTCCGCCCGCCCCATTTCCCCGATTCTTATTTCTACCACATTCCCGCCTAGTCTCGCTGCGCTTGACGCCGCGTCCGTCCAGTGCGCCGGGTCTCGGCCCCCCTCGGTTCTACTTCGAGTGCGCCCCGCCTCTAAATTTTGCTTTTGCCCAGCCCCCAGCTTGTCCCGCCCACGCCCCGCCCCCCCCGCGCCTGTCCCTCCCCCCCCCCCCCCCCGCCGCCGCCGAACACGTCTCAGGTCCTCCTCCAGCCTAGTTATTTTCCCGGAATCCCTCACCTCTGCCTCGCTCCGGTCTGGAAGCTCCCCAGCCAGCTCGGCGGCGTCCGGCTCCGGATGGTCACGCCGCGTTTGCAGTAGTCGGAGCAGCTGCCGCTTTTCGCGAGCGCTCCAGACCGTGGTGCGGGTCACTTCGCCCAGATAGCGCGCCGGGGCAACTCGCCGCCGTTGTGGGGGTTTCATGCCGAAGAAGGCAGTGTTAGGTTTCCAGGCTCACTTCCCTGGAGGGCGGAGCTACGGAGGCCGCTTGGACCAGAATGCACAAAGCGGAAGCAGACGGGGGCGTAGCTCTGAGAAGCGAGTTAGGACTTTTGTGGATGGGTTTGGTGGAGGCTCTGACATCCGTATTGGCTGGGACGAACGTGACACCCCCGCCCCCCCGCTCACATTTTATTTTATTTCATTTGTAAACTGGATCCCAGACTACAGATCTCGTGCCTTTTCTCCATTTCTGGACTGTCTTGTGAAACTCCAACAGTGGGCTTTGCTTCTGGAAGAAGGGTGGGTCCTGGCAGGAACAGCAACTGTCCAGTCAGAGCCAAGAGCCTGGGCTGTGGTGTCGCCCGTCCGTGGGGTCCTTGAGCAAGTGATTTAGCTGTACCCAACTTCAGTTTTCTCGTTTATAAAACAGAGCCCTGGCTGGTGTGGCTCAGTGTATTGAGTGCTGGCCTGGGAACCAAAGGGTCCCCGTTTGGATTCCCTGTCAGGGCACATACACCCCAGAAGGGGGCATGCGACAGACAAACACTTTGATGTTTCTTTCCTTTTTCTCCTTCCCTTACCTTCTTTAAACATAAAATTTAAAAATATTTTAAAATTTACTTTTAAAAGAGGGAGAGAAATATCAGTGTGTGGTTGTCTCTCACATGGCCCCCACTGGGGACGAGGCCCACAACCCAAGCAGGTGCCCTGAGTGGGAATTCAACTGGCCACCCTTTGATTCGCAGCCTGCACTCAATCCACTGAGTCACACCAAGAAGGACTATGAAAACATTTAAAAGATAAATAAAGTCATCTTGTTTTTGTCAATGCTCAGGGGAGGAAGGAGCTTGGACAGGAGAGATTTAAGGAGCTTTGTACCAGACGGAGAGGAGATTGGAGAAAAGGCCAGAGGTAGAGTCCCTAGCTAGGGCAGGGTTCAGACGATAAGAGTGGAGAAGGCCTGGATTTGAGAAACTCTTAAGAGGCAGGTGCTCTGGTGCCGGGATGGAGAAAGGAGGCAAGGTTTATTTAAAACAACCTCTGGACTCTGGCTGGTGTGGCTCAATAGACTGAGCACAGGCCTGCAAACTGAAAGGTCTCCTATTTGATTCCCAGCCAGGGCACATGCAGTTTTGGCAGCCCTGGTCTTGTGAGAGGTAATCAATCAATGTTTTTTCTCCTCCCTTCCTCTCTCTAAAAAATTTAAAAAATACAGCCCTGGCTGGTGTGGCTCAGTGGATTGAGTGTGGGCCTGTGAGCCAAAGGGCTGCGGGCTCGATTCCCAGTTGGGGCACATGCCCAGGTTGCAGGCCAGGTTCCCCAGTGTGGGATATACAAGAGGCAACCAAACATTGATGTTTCTCTCCCTCTTTTTCTCCTTCCCTTCTGTCTAAAAATAAATAAATAAAATATTTTTTTAAAAAAACACAAAAATTTAACCTAGTAGAGTCTGGTGCCCCTTTCTGTTTGGGACAAAACTCCCTTTGGTCTTAGCAAAAGGGCCTATGAGCCCCACTGCTCCAGCCTGGATCTCTTGCAGCCTGGAATCCTCCCAGTCCTGATGCCAAGCCTCCACTTCCTGCCCCCCACCCCAACCCCTGTGCACAAGCATACTTCAGAACTCTAGGTCAGACCAGATGTTTATTTTGAGCCCTGGTGGGAGAAGTGAGGAAGGCTGGGGGCAGGGTCTGGGCCTGTGATTCCGTGGGGTCCGAGGTCTGGTCTGAGGAAAGTCTGCCTGGTACAGCTCTCAACCTAGGAGTGCGCCATCCAGGTGTGCTAGGGAAGAGGATACTATGCATACTACTCAGACCACCTCCTTCTCAGCTGATCATTGGCCTCCCCCATCAGTATACACGCAGGAGTGAGGATGCTAGGTCTGAATCCTGAATTCTCGCCTAGTGTGGTCCTACACAGAGCCCACGGTCCACCACAGCTGACCCACTGCCTGCGTTCAAATCCCAGGTCCACCAAATTTTGTCACCTTTGATAAATTACTTCAGAGTGCCCCATTTTTAATGGGGGCTATAATAGTATCTATCTGAAGGTTTACATGAGGATTAAATTAGTTAATATATGTGAACTATTACACACTTGCCAAAAGGCTGAGAAGCAGTATGTGTTAATATTTAGAATGCTGCCTGGAACAGATCGGTGCTATTAAGTCATTATCATCACCTCCCTCCAGCTCTTTGGGCCCCATGTTACACCTACACCTACACACACAACACACACACTTACCTGCCTCACTGGGGTCTGGTGGGTTACGGGTTGCTAGGCGAAGCTCTCGGGGGTGGGCCAGGAGGTGGGGGCGCTGGACCAGAGAGGCAGGCTGCGGAGCAGTAAGGGCTGCTGAGTACTGGCCCGGTGCAGGGGCGCCCCCTGGGGGCTGCTGAGGGCATAACGGAGGTCTGTGGATCATCAGCCCCCACTGGCTGGGATCGCAGTGACCCGGGTCTCAAAGCATGGGAATGGGCTGGGGGCCTAGCGAAAGTCCAGGAAGGCCAAGATTGGTACCTGAGTGTGCACATACGAGGCCAAACCCGGCGGCCACCGCAGTGCCCAGCAACATGGCGGCCACTACCAGCGCCACCAGTGGTGCGGGCTCCAGGGCCACTGGGGTGGGCACTGGAGGCTCTGGACGTATGGCTCTGCTGGGGATGTCCTTGCGTGGCCCTGCGGAGAGTACAACGCTGAGACTGGGTCCACGCCCCAGCAGTCCTCCCCACCCGTTTTCTGGCCCCAGAGGACCCCCCCTCCCCCAGAAAGACTGCACGCTCACTGAGGGGTGGCCCACTGAGGTGTGGCCGTGGGACCGTGACCACGATGGGCTGCGTAAGCGTGTGCATGTGGGGGTCATCAGTGTCCAGACTCTCGCTGCTGCCACTGCCTGAGCATGCCTCATTCTGAGGCAGACACTGGAGAGGAGGGAAGGGAAGGGACAGGGACGTGAGGACCCTGGGAACCGGAGGCTGGTCACCAGGGCTCCCAAAAGATCTAAGTACATGGTACTCTTTGCAACCAGGAGCCCTACCACTAGACCCCTGAAAATCCAGTCCTTTGGGAGTCCCTGAGTCTAGCCCATAAGATATACAGTCAGCCACCCAGGTCCTGAAGACTCTAAATTTCAGTCCCTTCAAGTTCACACAACCCAGCTCTCTAAGCATCTAACCTGTGAAGTCCAACATTAACTACATAGAGATCTGGCCCCTTGCTGGCTTTCTTCATCCAACCATCTGACCCTGGAGGGGAACTCAAAGCCCCAGGCAAGGGGATCTGAGTGTACTGTCCATGAGGGAATTCAGTGCCCACACCCTGTCCCGAGGAACCCTTATGTAGAGCCCCATGGGCCCCTCGACCACCCTGTGCCCAGCCACCAGCCTGACACCCAGTCCCTACCCCCAGCTCCAAGGCACCCTGACCCCAAGATCCCCAAACTCCAAGGGGCCCTTCCTTCAGATGCTGGAAACGCTCTGGTCCAGCCCCTTGACCAGCCCCAGGAGCCCAGACTCCCTGCTTTGTGTCAGCGCACCGGCAACAGGGGTGACAACGTCAAAGGCACTGGAGTTTGGTGTGCTCCCCAAAGGCAGCGATGGCGGCTCAGCTGGCAATGTAAGAACTGTACAGAGGCATTGAAGACCAGGCGCAGACGGAAGCTGAAGTGGGCAGCCCAGGGTCGAGACGGCAGGAAAGTGACAGAAGAATCGGCAGGACAGCCGCCGTGCAGCAGTGCCAAGGCGGGCCCCGGGGCCGGCCTCGAGGACGGTGTCACCCAGCAGCTGTGCAGAGCCAGGCCCCAGCGCTGGGAGGGACGGGCCAGGGCTGCCTGGATGGGTTTGGGAGGTGTTATGGAGTGAAGTGTGGCGGTCAGGATCAACTGCCCCCACCGACCCACCCCTGGCCCTGGCGCACCCCAGTCCACACCTGCACAAACACGCGGCTGTCCGCCGGGACCTCGAGCGGCCCCACTCGGCACTGGAAGGTATCCTCCGCATCAGACAGTTCTAGTCTGAAAAGGGGTCGGCGCAGCCACGGCCTGGGCGCAGCTCGGAAAGGGGATACTGGCGAGTAAGAGAGAGTTGCAGAGAAGGGAGGACGCGCTGCGCCTTAGTCCCTTGGGTAAATGCTCCAACCTCCTAACCTGCTTTGGAAAATGGATACGGTGCAAGATTTACTCTTAATGCTCTGCTCCTCGCCTTGCTCAGCACCAGCTGGGACAGCATGATGTCCTCCTTGGGGACCCCTGGTACTTCACAGCCCAGCAGCTGAGGCTGGGCACCCCTGGGGGAGGGGAGCTCCCCTTTCTGGACCCTGATTTCCTCCCCCCGCAGTGAGTGAGGAAACTACAGACTGAAAAGGGGGTAGGGGCTACGGACTGCAGCAGGGTCGGCCTGGGGGCGGGAGTGTTGGCTCTGTCCTTCCCTAAGGGCACACAGGTGCTGTCATCAACGAGGGGGGTGTGGAAGGAAGGGGTAGGACAGGCGCTTTCCCACAGCCCTTCTAGCACAGCCCAAGCCCAGCCACCAGGTTCTGGGGCTTTTTGCAGCGGCGCCGGCGGGGAGCACAGACAGGGCTCTCCTAATCCCGGATGGCATGTGCAAGCAGCGCACACACAGACATACGGAGGTCTGCCTTCAGCTGGGTCCTTGTCTCTGACATGCAGGACCACCCCCTGCCCCACACATTCCCTAAAAGCATTTGCACAGCCTTCTCCTCCCCCCACCCCCAGTCTTTGCCCTCACCATGACTGCTGAGGACTTTGAAGAAGCTGGGGATCTTAGAGAACCTGGAAATGGGGGACAGGGATAGACCCCACCACTCACCCACCCCTTCCCACAGGCAAAGTACACGGGAGGCTGAGGAAGGGTGGCACAGGGCTGGTGCACGAAGGCACACGTCTCCCAGCCCCACATACCAGGAGGCCTACTGGGCGAGGCAAAGACCCCATGGAGCAGGACCAGCAGCAGGAGCGTGGGACACGGCATGCTGGACTTGCTGTGTCGTGTGGGTGTTGGGGGGTAGGAAGCTGAAGCACCAGCTCCAGCTGGTGGCACCCAGACCCGGCAGATGGCCCTGTCCTTGGCTGGGCAACCACTCCCCAAGCAGAGCGGGGGTGGCAGGCTGAGGGGCTGACACCAGAGCCCTTCCCCAAGGCCTGCCGGGAATTAAGAGCTCCTCTCCAGCAGGATATGTGGCTACTGGGGGTCAGGCGTCCCTCTACAGTACCTCATTGGTATCAGGCAATTCACTACAAAACCCATCTTGTCAAGCCCCAAATGTGCCTGTTTTCCTTTTGTGTAGAGACCTCATCCACCACCAGCATGACACCACTCCCCAGCGCCCCCACCCCAAAATCAGGGTTTACAGACCCTCTCCATACCACACTCTGCAGAGGCTCAGGTCACACCACAGACCCAGTGGAAGAAAAGGGAGGGGTTTTATTCTCAAGCGTCTAAGGATTTACAAAGGGTGTTTCATTTTAAAAAGGGAAGGGGCAATACTGGCAGCCTGAGAAGGGGTTGTGGGCTGGGCCAGGCTGCCCCAGTCTCCTGCCTGCCTGCTCAAACCTCTGCCTGGTCCACAAGGATGGCTGGTGACTGGAGACAGAGGGAGGAGAGGCTCCCCCAGGGCTCCCACTTAACACTGAAGGGGAGGGGCAGGCAGACACACACGAAACAAAAGTTAAATAAAAACACACCCGGGCAGCTGGCCTCTGGCTGTTGCTGGCCCTTGAACCAGCCACTTAACCTTGCGGTTACAGGCCAAAGCCTCCGGGGCTGGGACCCCATAGGGTGGAGCCCGGCCAGTTGGCCCACCACCCTGCCCCTACCCCTCACAAAGGGGACTTGGGCAAGAGAGGGGCCATCTTCCACCCTCTCGCCTGGAGGGGGGGGGCAGAGAGAAAACGCAGAGTACTTTTAAACATGCAGCCTTTTGTGACTATGTTAGGAGAATGACAGGAATCGATAGGGTGGAGAGAGGTTACAGCAACGTCTAGGCTGAGTCTCAGCTGTTCCAGCCATGTCCAGGGAGGCTCCTCGCCTTGGGTGCTGGTTGGTTTTTGTATGTGTGTGTGTGTGCGTGTTTTGTCCACTGATTTGCATGCATCACCAACAAAAGAAGGAAAACACCCCCCTCCTGCTCTGGCTGCTGCAGAGGGGCTGGGGGGTGGGGCCCCATGGGCCAGCTTCAAGGTGGGCTAGAGGACTGGCCAGCTCTGGGGGAATCAAGGGGCACTGTGTAGGCGGTGACCGCCTTTAAATGCCTGGCCCTCAGCTTGCCCCATCTCTGTCCCTGTCACACGTCCTCAAACCCCCACATCCATTTCCTGTACCCTCCATCCCCACCTCCCATCCTCCACTCTCCCCTCCCTGCTACACCTGCATCTCCTGCCGCCCACCACACTCCATACCCACCCTCCCTGAAGGCCACCCTGCGTGGCCATGGCCCCGTGGGCTCCCTCTGAACTACCTGAGGTCCTCAACTCATCCCAAGCTGTGGCCAGTCTCCAGCCCCAAGGGAAAAGCTCCTGTCCCCAGGACCCACTTTTGGGACTAGTTTCTCCAGGTCAGGCTGACAAGGCACAGTGGCCCAGACCCCTGCCTGACTCCTGGTCCCAGCCCTCCAGTGCCCAGGGTAGGTCGTGGGCTATACCACAAGCAGCTAAACATGACTTTGGTAAAAGTTTCTGAAGGTACCAACAAGCCCCATGAGAACAAACTCTTCTTCCTCCCTCCGTCCCCCAAACACCCCACCAAGTACAATAATTTACAATAAACTCCAAAAAGGACCCCCTGAGTTCAAAGAGAGAGACAGACAGATAGAGCGGGCGCGCACACACGCAAGAGTGCACAGCCTGGGTCAGCTGCAGTCAATGCCCAGACTGCCTTCCTGGGATGAGGATGCCAGCCAAAAGACTCATTGCTCACCACAGACCTAAGAGGACCAAGGGGTCCTATTGTGGGTGGCAGAGCCTGGTCATGGGCCAGGAGAGAGGCAGGAAAGGAGACAGGGAAAACCAGAGAGGCAGCAAGGGATGTGAAAAAGGGAGGTGGAGACAGAGCGTGTGTACCACAGAAGGTGGAAAGGGCAGCATGGGGCGAGTGCGGGACGATGCAGGACAGGTGACTCTCTCCTGGCCCGTGGTGGCCACCCCAGCCCAGAGGTTACGACTGAATAAATAGTGAGTCTGCTCTCGATCTGCTGTCTTCCGTTCACAGTGTCTGTAGGGGGACTCGTACAGTCGGCTGACCCCCGGACTGGAGGGGTTAGGGCCTGGCGGTCCCATCTGTCCATGGCTGCTGGGTAGGGAGTCAGGGTTGGGTTGGCATCCCATACTTTGTCCTCAGCCCTCAGCGGCCTTCCAGTTCCCAGGTCTCCCCTGGTGGGTAGCTGGGTGGCCAGGTAGGGAAGAGGGGGCCTGTGGACACTTCCCCGGCCCCCATGGTGGGACTGGCTGCCACCATGCAGCTACCTGAAGAAGGGCAGGTGGTGTTGGTTTAGGACTCCACTAGTCCTCGGTGACTCAGTCTTCGCCATGACATCCTTGAACCAGGATGCCACATCCACCTCCAGCGTCTCATAGTGCTTGATAAAGCTGTGTTCCTGCAGTGCCCAAGAAGGGTGCTTAGGACAAGGGCAGCTTCCCTGCTGGCCCCACCCAGGCCCTGGGTGTCCAGAGCAGTGAGTTGTGGGGAGTGAGGCTGGAACAGGGTAGGGAGGGGCTTCAGATACTCACAAGTAGCTTATTGTACTTTGGTCTCTTCCTGTGATCTTTAGTAAGGCTGGAAACAGAGAGGAGAGGGAGGTGAGGAGCTGGAGACAGGCCCCGCCAGGCCACCCACTGAGCCAGGGGTCTGTGAAAGCTGTGGGAAGGAGCTTCTGTGTCCTCCCAGCCCTGTGCCATGAGCTGGAACACCTCAAAGGACCCAGGGCCTGCACTGACCTGGGTGGGGGCCTGAACTGTGTCATGAGGTCCCAGTAGGAGGAGTTCCCCAGAGAGAGAATCCAACATGGACATCCTGCCTATGTAATTCTGCTTGTTGGTGCAGAATGCTTTGAGGCCTCTGACCTCTGCTTGTTTTCAACCTCCTGAAGTGAAGCCCATGGCCATCTAGCCAAATGCTCTGGAGCCAGCTGTCCCCTCATGACCAGTCTGAACCTGGGTCATGGCTCCTAGGGCTCCAGCCCCTGCCCTAAGCTCCTTCTGGCCCACAGCTGCCCAACCCCCATGAAGGAGGGCTTGCCATTCCCCTTGGGCCCCATGGCTTCCCCACTGCCCTGAGCTCAGGCCACCCCTGACCTGCCCACCTCCTCCAACAGAGCGCTGGGGTAGAGGCTCCTCACCAGTCTTTGACGAAGGACTGAAAGTCCCCTGAGAAATCCATGTGGCTGGGCAGGAGCGGGGGCTCTTCCTGCAGGACCTTGGTGAGGACCTCAAAGTCCGTCTTACAGTTCTTGTAGGGAAACTGTCCTGTCGCCAGCTCCACCTGGGGAGAGATGGAGGGCTGGGTCTGCCAGGGATAGGCCTCTGTCCCCCCAGCTGTCCTGTACCCCAAGAACGGGTCAGCCCAGCTCTCAGGAGGGACGCCAACTCACCAGGGAGATGCCCAGGCTCCACACATCAGCCCGGATGTCATAGTCTGGCTTGGTGGGGTCTGGGGGGTCAATGCGCTCAGGCTATAGGGAAAAGATGGGAGAGAGTAAACAGGGAAAGGGGAGAAGGAACCCCTGTGGCTGGGGCAGGTGCACCGCCCAGGCCCCCAGGTGGCCCGACCGCCGGACCCCCACTTACTGCCATGTAGGCAGCACAGCCAGCGCTCCGTGTTTTGGCCTTGGAGTCAACAAGGCGGCCACTGATGCCAAAGTCGCAGAGCTTGATTTGGCCCCGCTCGTCCAACAGGATGTTGGAGGGCTTGACATCCCGGTGGATCACCCCGTGCTTCTCTTTCAGGTAATACAACGCCTTCACAATCTTTGAGGAAAGGAGAGGGTGCTGTGACTGGGTCAGGAAGGGGGTTAATGGGGCCCGGGCAGCCAGCCTCAGCCCCTGCCCATCTGGCTACTCACCGCTACCGTCATCTTGCCCAGGATCCGCTCAGGGATGGGGCCCTGCATCCGCTTCTTGAGCTTCTCAGCACAGGTGCCCATGAGCTCCATGGCAATGAAGACATCTGTCTGCAGGGGCAGCAGGCATGGCTTTGGGGCAGCTGTACCCTCTTGCCCACCCCCATCAGAGGAAGAGGGCGGTGGCTCAGGGGCAGGCTCAGAGTGGTAAGGGAGACTCAAGGAAGTGGGCAGACAAGCTGGGACACGGCAGTCAGGCTCACGTTAGTTATGAAGGTCCCAAAGCACTGCACGATATAGGGGCAGTCGTGGCTCTTGAGTACCACGTCCAGGTCCATGAGGATCCGCTTGTTCTCTTCCTTGTTCCCCGAACGTCGCATTTGCTGTACGGGATGGTGTGGGGAGGAGAGGAGACCCTAAGCACCAGACCTGAAGGGCACGGAATTTACGTGGGTGGGGTGGAGGCTCACCTTCACAGCAATGATGTGGCCCGTCTTTCTGAAGCGCATCTTCCACACTTGGCCGCAGGTACCACTGCCCATCTCCCCCAAGTTCTCCAGGTCGTTGATTTCCGCCTGGTAGCGCTGGTGAGGAGAGTTGCGGCTGGGGGTCTGCCTAGCCTCTGTCCCACCACACAGACCCAGCCTTGCTGAGACCTGCCCACCCCCTGGAGGCTGGGGGGAAGGGTGGTACCTGGCCCCCGATGGTCAGGTAGCCTGTCTGCTTCATGATCTCCTGCAGCTTCTGGTCAATCTCAATACTGAAGGAACAGGGAGCACATGTGGGTGGAGGGGTGTCCTAACCAACTTGAGGCCACCCCAGCTCCCAACAGGCAGGGATTCCTACAGATTTCACCACCCCCTCCCTGGGGCCAGCCCAGAGGCCCTCCCCCACACTGAGCTCCTACAGGTCAGCTGGCCCTGCTCTGAAGGCTCACCTCTCCATGCTTCGGGGTGTGAACAAGGTGGACGGGAGCCCCAGCATGTGGCGGGGCCGTGTGGGGGGCGTAGGTTGCTGCGGGGAGCTCTCGGAGGATGGTGAGCGGCTGCCGCCATCATTGGCCAGTGGGAGCTGTAGGGCTGGGAGGAGGTGAGAGCCAGGGGCACGCGGGGGGTTAGTATCCAGCTGGCCCCACCTCCGGTGCTGACACTCTTGGGGGCTAGGGACCTTAATCTTCCCCTCCCAGGCATCTTCACATTGGCTAGCACAGCCTCCTGCCCAGCTGGGTGGGAAGAACTGGGATCTGCCCCCTTGGCACCACTCTCAGGGTACCTCTTCCATGCCCCTGCTCTGGAAGTAGATGGAGTGGGCTGGTTGGGAATGGTGGCCCTCAGAGGCTGAGGGTTTATGCCCAAGTCTATGCTGCTAGTGTCATGAGGCCTGACGGTGGAGACTGATGGTATCCCTCAGCCAGGCACCCTCCCTGGCATGCCCCCTTTCCTCCCCACCTGTGCCACAGTGCCCATGCTTGGGACCATGTGAGGAAGGACTGCCTGCTAGGATCGGCCTGAGATTTGGTCTTGTGGGCTGAAATGAACTTGGCTGCCCAACCAGAGTAAGGCAGGCTGCCTTAGGGAGACAATGGGTGAGGGACCCAGACTTCCCATGTCCCATGTTCTGTTCCAGAGCCAGGGAGGGCCACCCTCTGGGCAGCAGGTTCATCTTTGAGCTTCCCAACCTGGCCTTCAGAGCTGGGGCTGACAGGGACGGGACGGGGACAGGATCCCAGACTGGGCCTGTGTGTTGATGATGGAGGGTTCCGGCTGGTGCCGCCCCTACAGGACTGGTGGGATTTGGAAGGGGTGCTGGGCCAGGCAGGGGTTTGGTTCTTTCCAGCAGCCTGCATGCAGATGGCTTGAGCATGCTGCAGGCAGCCAGGCAGGCAGGCAGGCAGGCAGTGGGCAGGCAGGGGACACCCCAGGACAGGCAGGGAGTGTTAGGGGATGGGATGGCAGGAGACAGACAGACAGGAGCCAAGACTGGGGCCCAGCTGCCCAAGACTTGGGTGCTACAGAGACAGGCCAGAGAGGCCCAGACAGGAGAGCATGTTTGCTGAAGGGCTGGGAGCCTCCCTTGGCTGGGCTGGCAGCAGGAAGGAGGAGCAGGGGCCACTGTGGCCCAGAGAGGAGACTGACAATCCTCCATTGAACCTTCATCCCCCCTGACCCGGGGTCCTTGGCTGGGAAGGGTACTGGCTACAAGTGCCGTTCCAGGTACACCTTGCCATGGAGAGCAGGCCTGAGGCCTGCTCCCAGCTGATCCCCCTCCTCTCTCCACACCTCCTGCCACAGCCCACAAAGTCCTCTGGCAGTTCTGCAAGCACCTGGTAATGCGGGCCAGTGACCAAGGGGTGTACTTGAACTGCTGGCAGTTGGGCAGTTTCCTTGCTTTGTTGGTCCAGGTTCCTGATCCCAGCCAGAGTGCGGGGGCAGGTATATGACCTTGGCCTGCAGGTTCTAGAAAAGGTGCGGGTGCTGCAAGGGCCTGGCAGCAATAAAGAGCTTGGGGGACCACAGGGACACAGCCAAACCCAGCATCCTTGACTTCCATGCCCTGCCCCATCCCGGAATGTCCTTGTACCTTGGCTCTGCCATGGCCCGAACCATAGCGCTAAGCCCCTCTGCCCCACACTCAATGGCCTCACCTTGTACTCCTACACCTGGATCCTCTTGAGACACTTCCAGGTTCTCATCCCAAGAGGTATCTCAACCCCTTTTCTGACCTGCACTGTCAGCTCTCCGGGGAGAGGACCACATTCCTACTCTTGAAACACTTTCGTGCCCCATGTGTCTCCTCCCTTTGCGAGTTGCCCCAGAGCCTCAGAAAGGGCTGCGGGCAGACAGAGGCTATCAACAGCCCTGCAAACTGAAGCACAGTGGGACGTGAAGTGGCTCGAAGGGAGGCAGGGTGGGGAGAGTAGAAATACATAATGTCCCAGCGTGGTCACTGAGCTGGTGATGGGCCAGGAAGCAGATCAGGAGAACAGAGGGAGAGCATGAAGATAAATGAGAAAGACAAAGATAAATGAATAAGAGAAAAGGTGGGGACACGAGGGCATGCGGCTATCTGGAGCCACAGGTTGTCAGTCAGCATACATGCCCACGCACATAAGTCATGGCAAAACCCCCACAGCAAACAAGTAGACGGTATAACATGGGGCCCCCACCACCATCTTACACATACACACGAGGTTGTACACATACAACTGTCCAACCTAGTCCCACTTACCAACAGGACCAGACCTCCAGCCTGGTCAATCTCACAAAGACCCAAGCATGGGCTCGCCCTGTACACATCCATTCCCAGTCCCACTGGCACCTGCACTCAGGCCTTGGCAGGGCCATTCCTCCACCTCCATTTGCACACCCCTCACCCTCGATGAGACTTTGCTCAAACCCTCTCATCTCCAGAGGCTTGCCTCAACCTCCCTACTACAGCACCTTCGCCCCTGCTCTATTCTGCCCTCAAGGCTCATAACCTCCTCTGCTCTCCCTGACCAGGAATTCGCTCATTGTTCCCACCCCAAGTCCACCCCTAGTGCAGCGTCAGCTGCACAAGGAGAGGAATCTGGTTCATTTTATTCATTGTTGTGTCCCTGGAGCCTGGAGCAGGCATAGCACATAGGGGCCATGTTCCCTGAATTGTTGAAATGGATCTGTAGGCACAGCTGATGCACTGATCCCATTTTTCTCTCCTTCTCACCACACACACATGTACACACGTAGATTCTCTCACAAGTGACACACTACCAGTCAGTGAGGGAGCCCAGTTCCTCCTCCAGGGAGTCCAAACCTGCATCCAAGAGGATGGGAGAAAGGCGAGGTGAGAGGACACAGAAGAGGAGGAAAGGCAGGCCTGATGTGGCTCCCGTGGAGGGAGAGTGAGAATTCAAGGAGATGTGTATGTGTGTGTGCGCGTGCACACACACGTGCATACACACAAACACACACAGCACAGAGGAACGGGGAGATGGGATTCTGCGGCCAGGGCAGCGGTTAGGTCAATGGTGCAGATGTCCAAGCAGCAATGATAAAAAGGCTGGTACCTGCTCGTTGGGACGGGGCAGGAGCAGGGCTTAGAGTGATCACAATAACTGGATGGGGAGAAGGAAGAAAAAAAAACAACACCACGATAAATCACAACAGAAACAATTGATTTGTCCAAAAGAAAAGAAATCAAATCATAATGAGGAGAAGGGGGAGGCGCAAGGCACCAAACTGCAAAGATGGGTAGAAACCAACAGATGGGAGGATGGAAGGATGGATGGAGCTGACACAGACACAGATGCCTAGAGTGGGGCTCCTCAAGGGCCTGCCTGCCTTGGGCCTTGCCGTGCCTCACTCTGCACCTGGGACAGCCACCCTCATAAGGCACACCAGGCCCCATACCCAGCCCTGTCTTGTTCACTTGGGCTGGGGTGGGGGGAGGGAAGGGCGGCACCACAGATCCAGCAGGGACCTTCCAGTCCTGGCTGGGCTTCCTGCCCCAGGGTGTGTCCAACACTGGCATTGCTATGGGCTCCCAAGAGACCCCCTAAGGGAGGAATTCAAGCTGACCCAGAGAAGGAAGGAGGGAGGGAAGGGGAGTGGGCCCTACACACAGACAGGTGGGTGTCAGGCTATGAAAGTCGGGCTGGGGGAGTAGGAGGTAGTCTGAGTGCCCAGATATCTTCCCCCTCCTGCTGGGCAGACCCCACTGGAACCACATAAGTTACAAAGTCAATGAGAGAGAATACTGGGGAGGGCAAGAAAGACACTGAAAGCATGTGGGGTGCTGTCCATCAGGCCTGCAGGGAAGGGGGAAACTTGATGCCCTTCAGCTGAGAGGATTTGAGAAGAAAGTTCTATGGGACATAATAAGACGACTAAATGTGGTCATGGTGATCCCAAAGCAGGTGGGTGTGTTGGGAGAACCCTTGATTTCGGATGCCAGGAAAGTAGACGTTGAGATGGTGGGATGAGAGGATAGGTGTATGAGTGCTGGGATGCTAGATATCACCATACTGGCCTCAGGTGTCCCCAGGCCAGGTGGGTGAGTGTGTGGGGAAGAGGAAGTCACCTGAGTCCAGATGACAAAAACTCCAGGCTAGGGGTTGGGTGTGTATTTTTCAGAGGCTGGACACAGTCACCAAGATGCTGGTAGTGAAACTGGTCAGAAGAGTATAAAGAGGCCTGGGGTATGTGAATAGAGTGGGGGTCTGCTGAGCCCAATGACAGTCTGACGGTAGAGTAGGGATCCCCAATCACAGGCAGGGAGTGGGAGAATCACTTGGTCAGAGGAATAAAGAGGGGTTACATGTGGTCAAGTAACCTCAGGGGTCCCCAGGCCAGGTGTTGAATGCATGAGTGGATCATCCCTTGAGCCCTGGTGAGGACCCAGCAGTGGAGAGGGTAGGAGCTTCTTAACAGTCACTAAGATGGTGAGAGTGGAACCAACCGAAAAGGGTTGGTGAAAAGGGTTGTGTGCGTGTTTCCAGGGGACCTGGATGTAGTCAGGATCGAGTGGAGTAGGGTGATAGAGGCCGCAGATCACGGTGATGGGGGAGGGTCACCAGGTGGGGGTGGTCCTCACCTGGAGCCGGGTAACTAGCCTCCCGGGACCCATAAGGGGAAATCCCCCAGGCCGGGAAAAGGCCGCCAGGAAGCCCGCCAGCCCCACGGCCCCGGGGTCACCGTGACCCTCTCCACGTAGGCCGACAGCTGGCGGGGGCGGTGAGGATAAGCAAGCGCGCCCCGGAAGCGGGGGCGGGGCTTAGGGCGGGGGCGGGGCCTCCCCCGGAGCGCGCCCCGCCCCGCCCGCCCCCTCCCCCACGCCGTCGTGCTTACTGGGCCTGGGCCGCTGGGGACTGATATCTAGGTTGAGGTCGATCCTCCGACGGGCCTCGCGGTTCTCCTGCTTCAGCTTTGCTTCCAGGCGGGACAGCTTCTGCTCCAGGGAGGACGCCGCCATTTTCCCCGCCGCCGCCGCCACCGCGCACCTCCCCACCGCCCGTCAGCCCGGCAGACAAACACCGCACTGCGCTTGCGCTTGGATGACCCCGCCGAGCCGCCGTCTTGTCCCGCATGGCGCATGCCCGTGGTGCGCACCCGCTAGTCCAAGAGTGAACCTCCGCGCGTGCGTGCCTCAAGCCAAAGGGATGACGCCACCTAGAGCTCGCGGCTGGCAACACGCAAACCACCAGCTGAGATGCAAATGCGCAAATTTCCAATTGCGATGATGAGCCGCTCAGTGTGAAAACCCTGTTCCCGATTCTGCAGAGATTAATAGTTTGGGAAAGTGACGCTCCAGTGTTCTGGAGGGGAAGACGAGGTCTCACGCTTGCTGTCTGCTGCGCGTGTGCTGGCCGTTTCCCACGGCGGTGCCCCGAGTGGCTGCCTCGGTTGTGTTCTCAGTCTCCTCTTCACTGCTCTTGGCTGGGCCCTTTCTGGCCCCTGCTCCCTCTCAAGACTCCTTTCTCACTTTGGGCATGCTTCATTAGGATCTCTGTTTTGCTTAATTGCTCCCTCCTCATCCTAATTAAGCACCCATGCCAAGGCATTCCTTCCATTTCAGAAATCTCAGGGTTGGCCGAGGACAGGGTGGAGAGACGGGGTAGGTCTCAGGCCACTGTAGGGGCACCGGGAATCCTGCAGCATTACCCCTGACCTCGGCCACGGGGCCAAAGTCAAGGCTAGAGTTTGAGGTCATATAGGCCTGGGACATTTTAAGACTTTTCCGCCCCAAGACGCCCCGCCCTCAGAATGTGAACCCAGCTCCCGGGCGATGCAGATTGACCCTGGAGTTAGGTGCTTTGGCCTGGTGTCCCTGCAGCCTAAATATTCCTTTAACAGGTCTTAAGGGTGAATGTCCCCATCTGAAATCCTGAGTTCCCGAAGAGCAGCGTGCCTCTGTTCATAGGTGCCTAGAGGAGAATTGCCTTTTGCAGACACCTGGGAGGTGGCCAAACCCAGGAGGTCAGGGTCAGACCGGTTGTGCCTAGCTAGTGCCCTACAGGCTACTGGTCCTGCCTAGGGGACCCCTCTGGTGATTACTTACAAATGAAACAGATAAAACAGTATGGAGTCAGGAGGATAACAGGGAAAGTATAAGAAAGGGGGTTCTCCAGAAAAAGAGCTAGAGAAGAGATGCCACCTAATTTCTCCTGATTGTCTGAGGTCTCTAGGACAGAGACACCCTTGATTGTGGTACCTGTGGCCACTTGCCTATAATTGGTCTGGTGAAATGGCTTAGACAATGACAGGGGTGGACACAGATCAGAGTGATAGTTTTGATAATTAGTATTGTTTATTTTTTTTAACAAATATACCCTCCACAGCAAATGTTCTTAACCTGGGATCCACAGCCCTTAGGATATTCATGAATAGCCCTTAGGGATTGGGGGAAATTTGTTGACTGCCTGGAATTGTTTGCAGAATAGTGCACGAATGTATACACAAGCATTTTCCTGAGGAAGGAGGTGCCCCCAGCTTACATCAGATTCTCAAGGGTTTAGGAATCTAAAAAGGGTTCAGAATCCCTGCTCTAGGTATCCAGATATCTCCTCTGTAGGTCATCATTTTCCAACATACAGGCCTAGGACCACATGCATCAGAATTACCTGGATTGCTTATTTACAGGCAAGTTTCTGGCCTCCAGCCAAAGTTCTTGAGTCAGTCTTTCAGGGTGGGGCCTGGGATATTTTCTGGGAATGTTGATTTTGATGCATAGCCAAATAAGAGAACCCTGTTTCTGAATTCACATGTCGGTATATAAGGGCTTAAGGTCAAAGTGGGGGCAGTGTGTGCTGGTCCTTTGTGTCTGTGTCTCTTCTTAGGAGAGAACCCCTGAGGTAAGCTGTTTGGTGGGGGGGAAAGAATTGAAATCCAATTGGTATGTGTCCCGCCCCTTTTTGTGGCACTGATTGAGCTAGAATTTTTAGGGGGAGGGAAGCAGTTCTAGCCCAGGGCTGGGGCAGGCAAGCCATGCAAAGACAGAGGTGTGGTTTTGATCTGAGAATCTTATGCCTGAGTTAATCCTTCCATGACGTTCCACCCCAAATCCACAGCCTACCATCTCACCAGATAAACCAGTCCTAGGATCTTGCCTGGGCCCCACAAGCTGGCATGTCTGCTCCTCCTCCCTGGCCTGGGCCCACCTTCCTTGAAGACAATGGTAGAGATTTTGGGACTGAAGCATCCAGAAAGGCTCTACCTCAACCTACCCCTCCCTGGCTTCACTCCTCCTCCAACTTTTCCCGAACCTCTGCTGGCAGGCCCTCATAAAGGGTGTCCTCCACCAGAAGCCCCGCCTTCTTGAGCCCTCTACAGTTGCCCAGTTCTTCTGGCAGTGCCTCCAACCTGTTGCCCTTGAGCTCCAGGCGGCTGAGGGCACTGAGGTTCCCCACCTGGGATGACAGCTGACTCAGGTGATTGTGGCCCAGGAGCAACGTCCGAAGCTTACAGCAGAAGAAGAGCTCATCGGGCAGGGCCTCTAGGGCATTGTAGGAGAGAGCCAGGTGCTGCAGGTTCTGGAGGAGAGCCAGCTCAGGTGGCAGGGAGTGCAGCCCATTGTGAGTGACATCCAGCAGGCGGAGGCCAGAGCACATGCCCAGCTGAGGTGGCAGGGCCTCTAGCTTGTTGTGGCTGAGGTAGAGCTGCTCAAGGACCCGCAGCTTACGCACATGTTCAGGGACATAGGCAATCTGGTTGTGCCATAACTTGAGTGTGACCAGCTTGCGACAGTGCTGAAAGCTGAGGATCTCCTCAATGGACCGCAGGTGGTTGTCCTTGAGGTCAAGTTCCTGCAGTGCACCCAGGCTGAAGATGGCATGGGGGATGCGCTCCAGCCCACAGGCCACCAGCTCCAACTCCCGCAGTACCGCTAGCTTCTTGAGGCTGTTAAGGGCCAACAGGCGGGACCCATCATTGTGCAGGCTAAGCCGCTGCAGGTGGCTGGCTACATCAGTCACGCTGGCTGGGACCTTGCCAGCATTGCTCCGAAGAGACAGCACCTTGAGCTGCTTCAGCTCCCGAAGGCTCTCAAGGGTGGCTGCCTGAGCCAACTCTGGGGGAAAGAGCCCCTCAAGGTGCAGCTCCTCCAGGCCACGCAGCCCAAACACCCAGAGGGGCACCTCACGGAGCTCCTCGCACTTGATTCGAATGACCTTCAGGCGGTCCCGCAGAAAGATCTGCAAGGAGAAGGGCAGCCTGGCAGGTGAGTGGACCAGGGTGAGCTCCTGCAGGTGCACCAGCTGTGACAAGCTTGGGGGGAAGGTGATATCACAGATGGCCTCCAGGCGGAGTGCCTCCACCTCTCGGAGCTCAAAGATGGTGTCAGGAAGTCCTGGGAGCATGCAGAGCGCCAGCTCCAGCCGGCCCTTGCTGTTGCACTGCAGCTTCTGCCGAAGTTTCTCAGGTGTCCACTCGTGGTTGAGGTTGAGCTGCTTCAGTCGGCTCTCACTGACCTCAGAGAGGAAGACAGCAAAGCGCTTGGAGTAGAGTGGGTCGTACTGGTCGATGAGGTGCAGCATGAAGGCAAAGTCATTCTTTACATCGGGGATATCATTCATGCCGGTCTCCTCCCGCACGGAATGGAAGGAGTATTCCTTGAGGGGCCGGTGGAAGAGCCAATAGAGTGTATAGAGGCAGGTGATCCCATAGACACACACAAAGGAGATGTAGCAGAAAGCCAGCTTGGAGAAGAGGTGGGCCTTGGTGTGGTTGCAGCAGAAGCTGGCATAGCCTGTGAACCTTGAAGTCTCCACTGTGCAGGCCACCACAAAGCTTATTTTCTCCACGTAGACAAGGTTGTAGACCAGGATGGCAAGGAACTTGCAGACTTTGAGCACTGTCTGCCTGATGTACATGGTGTATAAAATGTCCCCCTCTTCCACATGTATGCGGAACTTCTTGACCTTCTCAAAGAGGGCTTTAGCCTGCTCACCCTCCTTCTTGTCTAACAGGGTGACAGCTGGTGGCTCAGTCACCACTTTCTCAGGCTCTGTCAGCACCTCTTTCTCACCCTTCCCTGCTTTTCCTGGCTCTGCCTCAGCTACCACAGTCATAGTTGCTTGTCCAGTGGTATGGCCTTTGCGGTTCTCCCCTGAGACCTCAGACAGGGCCCTTGTAGTCCATGGTGAGTCAAAACACTTGCCCAGGATGGAGGTGAAGTGTTCAATCTTGGAGCTGGTGCCAGGGAACTTGAACCAGAAGCTGGTGCAAACCATGAAGATGAGTGTGTGAATGACAACCAGGTAGGGGAAGTACTTGGGGTACCAGTGGAGGGCTTTCTCATAGCAGAGCTGGTTAATGAAGCTGTACTGCTGCAGGTCCAGGTTGTTTTTGAGGCCACTCACTTCATGGAGACCCCCCATCTGTTCGGGGACCCCCTGCAACAGCAGTTGCTGACATGGGGTCTCAGATAAGTTCTCCCGGAGTTCATGACTAGGTAGACAAATGATCTTGTCCTGTGTCACCTGGGGATAGGGAAGAGGGTGAAAGAGGGTACGGGAACTGGGGAACTGGGAGATAAGCAGCCTGAGGTAGGAGGCCCTGATCCTTGACTGTCCCCAGCTGGCTGTGGCTTTGGTAGAGTCATTAAGCCTGAGCATTGGTCTGTCTGAAAAAAAAAATAGGTTGACTTGTGTCCCCCCTCAAAGACGTTGAAGTCCTAACCCCCAACACCTGTGAATGTTGTGGTGTTTGAAAATAGTCTTTCCAGGACAGAGGGAATGCAGGTAAGATGAGATCATTAGGGCATGCCCTAAGCTAATATGACTGTGTCCTTTTAAAAAGGGGAAATCTAGACACCCACAGGGAAGATGCTATGCAGATATAGGGAGAACATCTATGAAGCAAGGAATGCTCACGGCCATCAGAATCTCGGAGAGGCACAACACACATTCTCCATGACAGCCCTGGGAAGGGTCCAACCCTGTCAATGCGTTGATTTCATAGTTCTAGGTTCCAGAACTGTAAGAAGTAAATTTCTGTTTAGGCTACCCAGTTGGTGATACTGTATGGCAGACCTAGCAAACTAATAAGGTAACTGCAGGTATTTCTAGGTTCTGGGGACATAAGTATTATACTGTAAAAGTATGGCTGTCATAGCTATGCAAAGGACTTCAGTGCTGCTGCCAGTGTTAGAGAGAATGGGAAGGCATCAGAATTGGTCTGGAGTGTAGGGGCCTCTGGTTTCCCCCTCCTTAGGTAGGTAATTTCCCAGTCCCCTCTCCCATCCCTCCAGACAACGCCCAAAACCCTGCCTCTATATAGACTGCTTCTCCTGCCCCTCACTCAGCCTGGCCCCTCCCCTTACCTGAAGGGTGCAGCCAAAAACACCGATCATGAGCATAGCCATCGTGAGGTATTCAGCCAGCACATCCCACCAGGGTTTGAGCAACTTGAAGGCAGGTTGCTGCTCTGAGAAGTGCTTGAACTCGGCCACCGGAATCATCCTGCCTACGGGAGAGGAGGAGGCGGAAGTGCAGAGACCTCAATCACCTAGGGCCCAGAGGAGCCAGACCAACGCCTCTGCTCTGGGTCTGTGCTCCGCCCTGTCAAAATCTGGCAGAACCCAGGAGCTGTGCGTCCCCCTCACTCCTCCCAAGATCTCACCTCCTTCCTGGAGCCAAGCCACCACCATTCTTACCGTTTCTGCTCCTGGGACCTCTGCCCCAGTCGGAGCCTGCCTGCCCTCCCAGAGCTCAGGAGGCACTGTCCATCCCCAGGGCTGCTGTCCCTGAGCTAGCCTGTGTGTCCTTTCAGAACCAGGGCATCTCTTCCCACCCCTAACGCTAGTCCTGGAAAAACTTCCTCTGCTGCTTTCTGGACTTGAGACACTGGTGTCCAGCCCGACTCTCTCCACCACTGGACCAGAGGATGGCCCAGGACTCCGGACTTCCGGGGCGTGGGCCGCCACCTCCTTGAGGGGAGCTTGGGGCACCACCTCCAAACTCCAACTGGAAAAGCCGGCTGGTGCCTGGCTCTGGTTACAGGCCTCACGGGCAGGGAGTGGCAAAACTGAGGGTTGGTCAGCCCTGGGGGTGTGTGTGACTAGGACACCTGGGTTTCTAGAGGGCCTAGTGTCCAGGATCTGAGGCAAAAAAACAGACACCTGGACTCTGAAAGGCAGGAGCAGGGGGTTGTCAGGGTGGATGAGGCTGTGGCAGAGGATCAGGAAATGAAAAACACAGAGAGAAAGCCACGACCTACGACCAGGATAGGACTGGGCAGCCAGCCCACTGCCTGTCCCTTGGTTTCATTTTAGACCAAGGTATCATTATTCTAGGTACAGATGGCCAGGTGTAAGTCAACTTGGACCCAGGAGTCTCCCTCTTCTCTCCTGGAGGCTGGAGGTGGAAGGAGAGGGAGGCAGCAAGGCCCTCGCTGCCTGAGGGTGCTCCTAGGCCACCTTCCCCTCCCGGCACCCATGGTCCCCAACATACAGCTCTCATTTCTCCCAAAGAGTTTTTGGAACCTGCTGTCCTCATCCTGACAGCTGAGTAAAAATGCCCCAGTGCATGCCAGTCAGTCTCAGTCACCAGGGAATCACATGGAAACACACCCAGAGCACCTTTACAGCCCCCAGTGCCCCAAATCACAATGCAGCCACATAAAGGGTCCCTGGGATGATATTCCAAAGTGTGCACACTGGTGCATTTGGGCCCAAGTGCACACACACTGAGCAGAGAGGGGTCCAGGACCAGAGAGACACCACACACTTTCTGTCCCTGCCACCCACTGTTTCCCTGCCCTGGCGACCTGTCCCTGCAGGGGACACTTCTCAGCTGCTTAACTGAAGAACAGTAACTGGGGGCTGTCGCAGAAATGCCACACGCAGAGTCAGGCACTAACTTCTTACCTAAGTGTCTGCCACACTTCCAGATCCATCTCAGTGGTGGAAGCTCACTTCTGGAGTCCACAATCAAAGACAAGAAGGCAGAGACCTCCAAGTTGCCCAGCAGATGGCCCAGTGGTTCCCATGGAACAAGGTGTGTACATAACACCATCAGAGGCAGACATGAGACATTATCATTATGTGTCTCCATGACTCAAGCTTGATTGTCAAAACCTACCATTAAGCTTTCATAGACACAATGCTGCCCCCCCCTCTGTCTGAGTAGGGCTAGTGGGAGGGTCCAGAGAATGGGGCTTTTGGGGTGGGGAAGGACCCTAAGAAAAATAACAATGGGGCCATGAACTCAATTTACAGCCACCAGATGCTCTCAATGCCCCGGTGAGCATGAGTGTTGGAAACCCTCTTTCTGCAGACTCAAAGGGAGGGAAATAACTTGCTCAAGTTTTTACAGCCACAAATGGCATTTGAGGCCCAAGTTCCATCTGTCTGATTGCATCCACTCTGTTCCATTTTGGGAGAAAACCTCTCGCAGACACCAGCGTCTTTGCCAAAAGAACCTCAGTAGGGAGATGCAGGAGTGAGATGTAGGGATTGCTGCCCTGAACTCCAGGTTGGAGAGGCAGTCTGCCAGCCTACAACCAGGTACAGGCCCCCTACCCAGCCTTAGCTCTGCCCAGCCACACCTGCCTCTTGCTTCTCCTCTCTCAGGCCCTCCCCAAGCCCTCACATTGTCTCCAAAAACATGGCAGTGGTGGGTTCTCCTGGTCCAGCCCTGTCCCCACAAACAGTCTATATTAAGGGTCAAGGAAGACACAGCAGCAGTCATCACCCTGGAACAGGCCTTGGAGGGCACAAGGGCCAACCTTTGACTTTTACACAAGGGAGAAACAGGCCTAGGTTGGGGAGGATGCCCCTTAGTAGCAGATCTTGGTTGGAGGTCCTGCGCCTGGGAACTCTCAACCTAGTACTTGTCCAAATTGCCCTGCTAGGACTTGGGGGTCTGGGGAATCTTTAGGTTCAAGAGTCCTGGAGGGGACAACCTAGTAAAGACCCCAAGTGGTTGGCTTTGCTGCCATAAGGGTCTCACAGAGTCAAGTTGTCACTGTTGTCTCAGTGACCAAGGAGAGAGGAACATGATGAAGATCAACCTGCCCCCTCGGGTCACAGCCAGCCTGTTGATCTTCACTCTGTCTTTGTGGGGCCCTGTGTCCTGTCCTGATTAGGGCCTAACCTCTTACTGCCCCTACCTCCTCCCCAGCTGTACCCAGGACTGTGGCTGTGGGCCGCAGACACAGTACCAGCTGTACTTGGGGCAGTCCTCCCTCCCTTGGGCCCGACCCTCACCCTGCAACCTGGTTCCCAGCGGAGGAGAGAGGCACCTACTCACCGCTCAAGGCGGAGCCGGGCCCAGCTCCTGGGTCCCTGCTCCCGCAGAGTTAGTCCGGGGCCAGGCTGGGTGAATCAGAGCGGGCGGAACAGTAACCCGCCCGCCCTGGGCCTCCCTGTCCCGCCCCGCCCACCTGACGTCTCAGCCCTGCCTCTCTCCCAGGTGTCTCCTGACTCCAGGCGCTCCGGGACTATAGAGAAGTGTGACCTAAATCCTGCTCTACCCGAGGTGGTCCGAGAGCCGGCCCAAAGAGCAGGGGCCCTGAACTCAGAGCTCCGTTGCCATCAGGGGGGACCTGGCCTGGGCCATACGTATGAGGTGGGTTGGAGGCACCACGCCCCCGCGGAGCGCTGGCCTTGGAGCCAAACTGTGTAGACGGGGTCAGAAACTGTGGAAGGGCCTCCTCCTTCACCCACTCCAAGGTGTAGCCACCTGGCTTTGAGGTCTAAGCAAGGAACCAGTGACCGAGGTCCATGAGAGAGAGGAAAGGGGTTTCCCATTCCTGTTCCAACCACCCAGCCAGGGAAACCCAGCAGAGTGGGAGTGCTCACCTGTCTGGCCCTTCCCAGCCTTGAGGCTGGCTGTCCACTGAGGGTAAGACGGGGAGCAAGCTTCTGCTGGGTCCGTGGGTGGTCTGTGGGTGAGTGCAGGGAGCAGAGGGCTCTAGGAGATGGGACTAGAGTCCAGTCCGAGAGGCTGTTTTCCAGAAAGAATGACTCTGTCTCTGTGCCCACCCTGTCTCCCTGCCCAGGGTCTTAGACTAGCCAATTCCCAGTTCAGCCTGGCGGTGTGGGCAATTGAACCGAGGTCTGTTTTGTCTACAAAACAAGGAAGGGGATCCAGACTAGAATGAGAGGGTGAGACTCGGCCCCACTGGGACAAAGAAGCCCCAGAGTTCACCAGATTAGATGCCTCCTGAGACCCTGAAACCTTGAAGGTTGGAACTTCCTAAGCTCAGGTTCCTCTGTGAAACTGCAGTGGGTGCCCCTTCCAGGACTCCACCTCCATGAAGCCCTGGGCTCCCTCTGAAGAGCCATCGGAGGCAAAGCACTTTCTCCCTTCCCTTCAGTGGACTCTTCCTGCTCCAGAGAAGCTCCCTGATATCCATGCTCTGGGTTTGTTTCCAGCTTTTTTCTGGAATAAGCTTCCAACTTGGCACACTTATACAAGAGTCTGAGGTCACTGGGCTGGAAGCCTCATTAAGCCCAGGCAGGGGTCTCTTCTGCTCTCTGTACTATCCCCAACATTTGGAATGGTACCAAGAACATAGTTATGGGCACTCAGTTAATCATGGATGGGTAAATGATTGAATTGTTATCTTAATTTGGGCTCTTCTAATTGCAGATTGTGAGACAAGGAACTGGATGCAAATAGTTATCTGAGTAGTGATCCCTGCAAGCACCGATGATGGGGTAGTGGGGAGGTGATACTGGACAGGGAGGGAAGCCACTCTCCCAGTTGGAGTGTTGATGTGCCAGGTCTTGTTTGTCTTGGCTGAGGGCTGCTCTGGAAAAGGGACATGGAGAGGCATTAACTCCCTGGTAATTTTGAGTTCCCTGCAGTGGGAACCATGGGTGCTCAGGTGATAGGGAGGGCCCTCAAGGTATCTGCTGCAGATATTGACACTGAAGTGGTATGGCTGGGTCACAGGACACACGTACTCCCAGTGCTTTCCAGTGGTTCTCCAGAAAGGTCTCCCACTCTGTCCCCATTGGGATGGGGAAGTTTTCCCACATGAATAATACCAAACTTAAAAAAAAATTGTTTATTTATCTTTAGAGGGAAGGGAAGAAGAGAGGGAGAGAAACATCAATGTATGGTTGCCTCTCATGCATCCCCTGCTGGGAACTAGCCGGCAACCCAGGCATGTGCCCTGACTGGGAATCAAACCATGATCCTTTTGTTCGGAGGCCCGAGTTCAATCCACTGAGCTACACCAGCCAAGGCCAATACCGAACTTTAAAAAAAAATTGTGGTAAAATACACATAACAGAACTTACCATATTAGCCATTTTTGAGTGTACAGTTCAGTGGCATTAAATACATACACAGTGTTCTGCAACCATCCCCACTGTCCATTTCTAGAATTTTCTCACCTTCTTGAACTGAAACTCTGTCCCCATTAAGCATTAACTCCCCATCCCCCATCCCCCTAGCCCCTGACACCCACCAACTACTTTCTGTCTCTATAGATTTGACGCTTCAAGGGACCTCTTATAAATAGAATCGTATGATGTTTGTCATTTTATGACTGATTTATTTCACTGAGCATAATATCTTCAAGTTTCATTCACATTGTAGTCGGTTTCAGAATTTCCTTCCTTTCAGACTGAATAATCTTCCATTGCTGGGATGGACCATTGTGTTTATCCATTCATCCATCAATGACACTTGAGTTGCTAACATCTTTGGCCACTGTGGATAATGCTGCTATGATGAGTGTGTAAATATCTGTGGGAGTCTCTGTTTTTGATTCTTTTGGAATTGCTGGATCATGTGGTCATTCTGCTTTTACCTTTTTGAGGACCCTCCATATTGTCTTTCACAGCAGCTGCACCATATTTACCCCTGTTTTTCATTTCTTGATACTGTAGTTTGTTACTTTTTATTGCTGAGGCATATTCCATGATAGGGAATGCAGGATATGTCTGGTTTGTGTAATGCATCCCCTTGTTGATGCACCAAATTTGAGGAGTGTTCTTATGTGAGGGCAGAGTCCAGATCTCAGTGAAATGCAGGAAGGATTCAGTTTGGCCCAGGAGGGACCCTTGTATCATAGAAGACAGCAGGGCAGGCTTCTGGGCAGGCAGCTGTGACTCAGGAGAGCACTACTGGTGAACGAGTGAGCAGGCAGGCAGGGGAACCAGGCTGCTGCCACACCAGAAGGAATGCACATGGGTGGCCCTCAGTAGACCTGGGGATGAGATGAGGCCCAGAATGATCCAATCCAGAGCAATGCCCTGGGGCTGCAAGGAGCACCCCTTCCAGGCAAGAGGGAGGGCTCCTTGAAAAGATGGGTTTTCAAGGTTGACTTCCATTGCCCAGAGCAGGGTATTCAGTTCTGACCCTGGCCTCTCTCACTTCCATTTCTTGAACCTCAACTGTGGATACAATTCTGGAAATGAGAAAACACAAACCCCTGCTTCTGGCTGCACCCAAGTGTTTGGAGCTGGTCTCAGCCTTTTAAACAACCAGTGTTGTGACTGGCCCAGCCCTGGTGGTTCTTATCATGATTGCAGGATTCCTTACAGGATCTGGACATCACATGAGGTTATAGGGGGCAGGGAGAGAAAGAGGAAGTTGCCTGGGGTTCTTTCATTGGGGTAGAGGTTGGGGCCTTGGGTTTCATGAGCTCATAAGCACATTCTTTTTGGGTGGATTTAAAGTGTGGAAAGAAAGAAAAAGGTCAACCAAGATCTTTAAAACAAAGAAGACTCAGTGCGGGAGGCAGCCTTGCTTTTCATGTACAGTGTGGCTGGCAAGGTGTTGACTTGAGGTAGCCATCCTTGAGGTGGATGCCTCTGCAATCAAAGTTTAATCAGGTCTTTGCATTTCAAAAAGAAAAACAAACAAACAAAAAACCCACAGACTTGCATGGCTCACATACACCTAGTTAAGTTCACTCTTCCCTCCCCCAGTGCCAGGCTCACCAGGGTGCTAAGTGCCAATCTTCCTGTTCCTGTGGTTAGAAGCCTCCTGAGTTTCAGGCAAGGATGAGCTTGCTGTTCCTGTAGTGTGCTGTGTGTGTGTTGGGGGTGGGGGCACATACACACGTGATGGGCATATGGAGCTGGTTCTTTGGGATGGGAAACAGAGTGGCTAAGTGTTTGGGCAGATAAGGCATGGTGCAGAAAGCACAGTATATACGTGGGGGGAACACAGAGTTGTGGGAGGACACCTGGCCTCAGTTGGCCTGCACAGGACACCTGAGGATGGCCACCTCCCTCTAGATACTCCCATGCCACAGTACCCTAAGTTCCTCCACTGGGACTTCTGCATGAGTTGAAGTCACTGGAGAGTCTGACGCATCTCCATCCTACTGGCTGGGCTGGTAAACCTCCAACAAGATCTTCTCAGCTCCTTCATGGCCCTGTTTTGACACCTCCCAACTTCCCACAGTCTTGGGCTCCGAAAGCCTGGCTCTGCTGGGAAACCTTTACTGACCTGACCTTGCTCCTTCATGGCATTTGGGAGGATGTGCAGGGTGGGGGTACCTTGCCCTGCAGAAGGCTGGGTCATCACTCACCATACTGTTTCTCTCTCCCTTTTGACCTTCTTTTATTCCCCTCTTCCCCCAAATTCAGGGTTTGTCCCTTAATCCCAGGCTGCGTTCTCCCAATAGTCCTCTCCACCACCAGGTAGGCGGTTTCCTGAGGTCTGGGAAAGCTTTTGGGTATGAGAGGGGTAGATGTCTCTGGGGACTCTAGGGGACCTGGCTTCCTTGGTTGCGAAGGCCGGAACAGTGACCAAGGAAACTGAACAGCCCGATTGGCCGATGGGGCCCGCACAATGGTCCCGCCCCTGGTTGCCAGGGGTGTGTGTAGGGGGGCGGAGGGGGGGGTGTTGTGGTGGGGAGGCCCCATCAGTGACCTCAAGGGATTCCTTCCTTCTCCCAGTCCCCTCGGGTTGGGTTGCCGGTACTCAGGCGCAGCCGCGGAGTAGCCGCCCCTCCCTCCAGTGCGCTCCACCGCCTCCTTAGTCTGGATGCGGCGCCTGCGCCCCCAGTCTCTCAAGCCCGCGGTCGAGGGGCGGAACGGCTCCCTGCGCCACCTCCTGCAACCCCCTCCCCTCGCCTGTCGGTTGCTTTTGGCCGCTAAGGCACTGCCACACAGCCCCACCCCAGGCCACCCTGCGTGGAGCAGGAGACTCGAGACGGAGGTGAGCACGGCACTAGCAGGTGGAGTGGATGGCGCGGACTGGGGCTCTGCTGGGTGAGGGGGATGTGCTCCCGACACCACTCTTTGTCTCCCTGAGCCCGCGGCTGGCAGCTGGGGCTGCTCCTCCTCCCGGCAGGTGCCGGCGTCCCTCGAGGCTGGTGGCTGGCGGCTGGCGAGGGGACCCGGGCGTTCGCTGCCGCCCCCCAACCGTCTGGAGCCTGTAGCAGTCTTCTGTCCCCGAGGCTGGTGGTTTGGGTCCCTACGGGTCGGGGGGTAGTAGGGTCGTGGATCTCAGGTGCTGAAAGGAAGCAGAGACAGGACAAGGAGGGTGGGTTGGGGCAGGCAGGGTCTGTAGGAGGGTGATGGGGGTGGGACTTAGGGACAGCCGTGAGCAGCTGGGCTGGTGAGTGTGTGGTTGGGTAGGAGGGAAGTGGATCGAGGCCGAGGTTTATGTGCCCATGGGTGGCGACGCTGGGGAAGGGGCAGCGAGGTGGCAGGACCCAGGTCCTTGCAGGCTGGGTATGGTGCAAGACCGGGGATGCTGACAGGTCTGTCTCCTCATCAGGTGCGGGATGGACAAGAGGGACAAGGCCAGGGCAGGGACTGCTGTGCAGGCCGCGGCTTCTCGCTCTCCGGGCCTTCGGAAAACCTCCAAACTTCCAGGGTCTGTTCGACTTCCTCCCCCAGTAATCCCCACAGCCTCCCGAGTTCTTGGAGCTGCGGGGCGAATGCCCCCAGCTGAAAGATCCGGGGACATTCGGACAGCCGCCCTCCTGGAAGCTACTCCTCGAGTGGGACCCACGCGGAGCGCTGGGACAGCTCCCAGAAGCCCAGGTATCCCAGCCTCTTTTCCTGATTCCGACCCTGTTTTCCCTCTCCTCCTGGCTGGTCCGAAGGTAGTGAGTTATCTCAATTGATTGTCACAGTCAGTTACAGATTCAATTCCCCTCCCCTTCTGAGGTACCAACTTGCCCTGCTTTCTGGGGCAATATTTTGGCTCCGTCTCCTTCCAACAGCCCCCAGGCTCCCAGCAGCACAGAGAGGGGCACCTGCCAAGACCCCTGGCCCAGGCTCTGTCTCTAGCCCCGGACGTGTCAGCGGGACCACCAGGTAACCCACACCAAGGGTTAGTGTCACTCTGTGGAGTCACTTTACATGTGAATTGGGGCGCGGAAACACTTGCACATCACTGGATACAAATTGGGGGAAAGCCATTGTTATGTGCAGAGTCCATATGCCCCATTTCACAAATGAGAAAATGTGAACTTTGGAGGTTGAACAAGGAGGGGGGGGGACCTCTGCACTGAGCATTGCCCCTCCCCAGGCTTGGCCCTCTTGGGCAGAAAGGGCCCCGGCCCCCAGCTGAGGAACCTATGGGCAGAGGGAAGCCCCCAGAAACTTCCAGAAGGACTGCCCTGAGTGCGGGGGCATGGAGAGGTACGTGACCTGGGGAGGAGTGGGGCTCCTGGGCAATGAGGGGCACCAGCCTGGAAGTATCCGTGACCCTTTGGCCTTCTGCTTTGTTCCTAGACTCTTCCGAGCCCACTCCAGGCGCTCCTTCCCCAGCTATCTCCCGTAGGTCTCGGGGTCGGGGTGCTGGTGCTGAGGCGGGGCTCCCCCGGGTAGCTGTGAATGCGCGGCCGCGACCGCTGATCGAAGTCCCCAGGAAATCAGTGAGCAGTGTCGCGGAGCGTAGTACCACAGAGCCGAGCCCCGTGGCCAGGAGGCGACCCAGCTGCGGTGGGAGCCTCCAGAGGCCAGCCTCGCGCCCCCTGGGCTCCAGCGCCACCCTTTCGTCCTCTCCAGCCCGCTCCCGGGCCTCGCTGGGTGGAACATCTGGGGCCTCGCTGGGCAAGCCAAAAGCGCTGCAGGCTCCACGTCCCCTGCAGGCCTCATCCTCAAGGAAGGGCACAGCCATTCCGCCAAGCCTTTCTCCTCCTCGGGCTGTATCACCTCCACCGTATTTGACTGCACAACTGGTACCGCCTGTCCATAACACAGGCACTCCTCTGAGGAACACGTCTCCTACCTCTTCACCAACTGCAGCTCCTTCTCAGGCCCTTACCTGTTCGTTGGCCACACCCTTTCCACTAGGGCCTGTTCCCTCTGCTCCGCCCTCTCCGCAGCCCCTCCCCTGTCTGCCAGACACACTTCCTTTGCCAGCCCCACTCACACACCTGGATACATCCTTTCCTGAGGCACCTGTCTCTCCCACAGCCAATTTTCTGGCTCCATTCTCTCCTTCAGGTTCACCCCCTCTGCAGAATTCGTCCCCTACCCAAGTTTCTCTGGCTTTGCCCCCTCTTCCAATTCTCCCCTCTCCCTTGACCGCACCTCCTTTGTCGACTCCTCTGCCACCTGCCACGCTCCCTCTACAAGCCCCTGTTTCTCAGGCAAGGTCTCCGCGAAACTTACCCTCTCCCTTAGCCATAGATGCTCTGCAGGACTTTTATGCCCTGACCGCGCCCCCACTGCTGGCCTGTCCTCTGTCTCCGACGCATCCTCAGGCCACTCCGGATATACCAGCCACACCTCCCACGCAGCACCCTCTTCCCCTCAAGTCTGTTCCACAGGCCCCTCCTTCCATGGCCACGCCCCCACCAGAGACCCGGCCTCTGACCAGCCACCCTTTTCAGACTATGCCCTCTCTGGTCCAGCCTCTACAGGCCCCACCTTTTCTGACCTCAACTGTTCCGCAAGCTCTACCCTCCCCCCTGGCCACGCCCCCTCCGCAGAGCCCCTGTTCTCTGGCCACACTTTCTTTACAGGCCACTCTCTCCTCTCAAACCCCGCCCCTTCTACAGGTCTCACTTTCTCTTGCCTCGTCCCCCCTGCAGGCCACTCCCTCACCGGCCCTGTCTTCTTTGCCAGCCATGCCTTCTGTCCTGGCTAGGGCCCCTGTGCAGACCCAAACTCTGACTTTGTCTCCTCTGCAAGAAGACCCCGCCTCTCCCATGGCCACGCCCCCTCCCCCGGCACCACCTTCTCTGGCCTTGCCCCCTCTGCAGGCCCCTCCCTCTCCTCCCGCCTCACCCTCGCTTCAGGCCCCACGCCGCCCCCCGACCCCGGGTCCCGATGCCCCAATCTCGGGCCCACGGCTGGCGCTGGCGCTGGCCTCTGCCCCGCCGCCACCGCCCTCGCGCAGCCCGTCCAGTACACTGAGCGGCCCGGACCTGGCGGGCCACAGCAGCAGCGCCACGAGCACACCGGAGGAGTTGCGTGGTTACGAGAGCGGGCCCGAGAGTGGAGCCCCAGCCTCCCCGCCCGCTGACGCGGAGCTTGCCGCCTGCCACCCAGCTGCCTGGAGCCGAGGTCCCACTCCGCCACTGGCCGTCTGCAGCACCCCAGGTAAGCAGCCCTTCCGACCGGGTGGAGCTGTGCCGAGAGCCAGGTGCCGCATGCGGTGGGCGGGGTCGAGGGCGTGGCCGCGGTCGAAGGCGTGGCCGCACTGGATCTATGGGGCGGGGCTTCTCTCCCCGCGCGCGCCTAGCTTCCGGCTCTCGCTGCAGGAGTGCCCCTGCCTTGGTCTCCGGTTGCTGGGTCCGGCTCTGCAGAGGGGCTGTGCACAATCTACGAGGTTGAAAGGCCCGAGTCGGCGACCTCCGACCCGGGACCGCTAGATTCCGGGCCCGGGCCCGGCGTGGGTAGTGGGAAGGAGGGGGCTGGGGCGGGGTTGGGGGTCCGGGGGGCCTCACGCAGCGGGAAGCCTGCGCGCCTGGGGGAGTTGCCGTTGGGGGCTCTGCAGGCGAGCGTAGTGCAGCACCTGCTGAGCCGGACCCTGCTCTTAGCCGCGGCCGAAGGTGCCGCTGGCGACCATAGCGGTGGCCCAGGGACCACTGGGAGTGGCGGCGGCGGCGCTGCAGGTTCCCGGACTGCGCTCAGCGATGCCGAACTGGGTCGCTGGGCCGAACTGTTATCTCCCCTGGACGAGTCCCGCGCCAGCATCACCTCGGTCACCAGCTTCTCCCCGGATGACATGGCTTCCCCGCAGGGTGACTGGACCGTTGTGGAGGTGGAGACCTTCCACTAAGCCAGACCATAGCCTGGCTCTCCACACTCCAACCCTGCCTTTGCATCCGCCCCGCGGTTACACCTCTTTGTCTTAGATGCTGGTCCCCTCCTCCTGGAGTCCGGATCTCCGTGCATTGGTCTCAGCCTCCTAGAACCCTACCCTAGAATTTTGTCCCTGTTTTGCCACCCACCTACACCTTTGGCTAAGGTCCTCCCTTGGCCTAGGACATACCCGGGGTTCCCTCGAGCCCCGCTCCCTCCTTCCTCAGCCTAGGCCCCATCCCGTGCCCGGTGTATTGTCTACCGCAAGGAATAAAGCTGGGACACTCTAGCCTGTTTGCCTTTGCTTTCTCGGCCAGGGATGGGGGTGGGGCGGGGCAAGGATAAGATCATTACCAGTGATGCCTAGCATGGTCTAGCGTGGCATACCCACCCACATGCGAGAAGGTAGGTTTTTTTACTGTCTGACTTCTGGTGGAAACAAGGTGCAGGGGGGACCCAGGTGAGTCCACACCGCCAAGTGGGTAAGCTAGTGCATAGCCAGCATGGATGAAGATCTCAAGCTTTTCCTACACTGGGCCAGGGGAGCCGGCGCTCCCTGGGAGAGGTAAAAGAAGTGGTAGGGTCTCACTGAGGGTCGGAGTGAGGGCCTCACCCTCCTCCCAATGTGCACCCTCCTACCTTGGGAGAGAGGGATGGCCTGAGATCCTTGGCCTCTCTCTTCCTTCCTGGGAAGGAAGTGACCCAGGATGCAATGCCCTCTGCTTACCAGGAGGCTGCAGTGGAGGGAAGGCCTGAAGCTGGGCTGTGATCCCCTCAAAATGACCAGACAGAGGGAGTAGGGCCCTCCTGGGACAGGATGGGGAGTGGACCTGTAGGGAAGGAGCAGCCTCTTCCAAAGCTGAGTAGGGAGACCAGGGTGTCCTCATCATGCCCCTTTAATGGCTCCCAACCCATGGGCCTCACCTTTCATCCCAGCTTAGGGTCTTTTCCCCAAAATTTTCCAGCCAGGCACCTTTGCCTGTGCCTCACAATCAGGGATCCTCACCAGAGCCAGCCAGCTCCTGGACTCCTTTAGCCCCTGCCCAGGCCCTTCTTCCCAAGTGCTCCTTCAGGAAACACCCCCAGGCCTTTCCTCCATAAGGGCATTCTACTTCACACCAAGAATGATGGAGGCCTGGTAGGGACCTCAGTCACCAGGCAGGTAAAAGAAAAGAGCAGGACTTCTCTGTTGTGCCCTCAGCCCTGTTTCTGCCCCTAGACCCAGTTCTCATAGTCCACCCTGTAGCCAGGTTCCTGTGAGACACGGACTGCCCAGTCCTGCCTGTCCCTGCCCCAAATGTGGTGGCCTCCCAACTTAGGGTCTGAGGAGAAATGAACCTGGTCCCAGCTGAGCACTCCTTCCACCCTTCGAAGCCAATGTGTGCTATGGCAAACCAGAATTTTTTCTAGTTGAGCCATGGCAAGGACCCATGGGTCCTTCTTTGTAGCATGTGAGACATGCCCAAAGGTAGGGATTGGCTCATAACCTACCAGGCAGCTGGGGCCTCAAGGCCAACCCCAAGAGCGAGCAGGGCAGAACCTTAGACAGTTCCCCCTGGGGCCCTGTGCCATCGTGGGGTAGGAATTAACCTGTGGGAGCAGGGGAGATAAAAACTGGTGGAGTCTTAAATCTCTGTGATGGGAATGATGCATGTCCCAAGGAGCTGTTGAATGATGGGACAATATGTGGAACTTGGCTGTCCCAAGGCATAACTGGCATCCTGCCCTGCTGTTCAGAAGGCCCCTTTCACTTGAGGGGAGCCCCCATTCACTCTCCCCACTGCCCAGGTCAGTTTGGTCTTCATCCTGGCCTCCTCACTAACCCCCAACGCTGTGGGCTGTCTGATGGTACTCCCCTCACCTAAGCCCCCCATAGCACCCCTGTGTCCTCAGTTCAAAAGTGCAAACTGGCTCCCAACTGCAGAAACCCCTTCCTGGTCTGGCCATGCCCACTTTCTCCTGTTCTGTCATGTTCTTCCTCTGGTCCCTGCCATGTCTTGCCTTCATGCTTTTGCCTTTGGATCTGGCTCTGGCACCCCTCCTCTAGGAAACCTTCCCTATCTCCTGCGCATTCACCTACTGGGCACTTATCACATCAGCATGAAGGTTCAGCCCCCCTGCCCCCTGTCCCTGCACCAGTGTCTGCCACCTCGACTACCCTGGGGATCACTTAGAGCCAAGAATGGGGCAGAGCCCCTGGAAGGCCTCAGGAAGTATGTGTTCAGTGAACACAACCAGACCCTAAGACTCCAAATTGCTCCACTTGTCTCAGGGGAGGCCCAAGCTGAGTCACCCAGAAGGGAAATCATGCCCCTTGTTCTCACCATCTCCAGGGCCATCCTTCGGAAGATGCCAGGCTGTCAGTGTTCATCTGGGAGCCCGACACTGAGAGCCTCTCTGACCTGTTCTCTGCAACCTGTCCATCTCTCCCCAACCTCACACTCTTTCTCACACTGAACCAGCAAGTGCTCTTCCTTCCTCATGCTGCACCCCGGCCTGGGCACCTCTTGGACCCCCTGCTGGCCTGCTCTGACCTCTACCTCTCTGGGATGCTCCCAAAGACAAGGGTGGTCTGCTCCCCTCCGTGCTTTGCTGGACAACCAGCTGGGGCCCTGAGGTTCTTTGCAGTCCCTTTATTCCCAGGCCTGCCCCACTCAGTGTGTCCCTTGTCTGTCACTGTGTAAATACACTTTATTTGCTATTCCCACCTGGGCAACATGTGGAGTATGAACAGGCAGTGTGCAAAATGGTGGTGGGCAGTGTGGGAGGCACATGGGAGAGCCCTGCGATGCCCACCCTGGTCCCCAGGCTTTGTAACACTGAGAAGTGGGTAACTGGGAAGCGGGCACTGAACATGAATTCCCCACTCCAGGAGGCGCCAAGGAGGCTGCTTGTGAGGCTGCTCCAGGCTCCAGGAGCCCCAAGAGCATCAGAAGTCCTTTGCAGGGAGAGGTCTGGGGAACATAGTTGGACTTTGGCACCGTTCTTGGCTCTGACTCTGCAGAGACGACGGGACCACCATGAGGAGGGAGGCATGAGGACACCACTCCTTTGAGCAGCCTCCTCCCCTGGGGCCTGGCCCTGGCTGGAGGGTGGGGCTGGGAACCCAGGGAAGGAAGGGAAGTGGAGGCTGGGGACCCCCTGGAGAGGAGGCTAGACTGGGTGGGGAGCCCCTCCATCAAGATGGGGTGATAGAGTTGTCTCATAGAGGGGTGCTGGGGACAGGGTTTCCTGACTTCTGTACTGCTGCTCTGGCCCCAAGAAGCAGGGACAGACATTGCCCCTGTCTGGCTCCCTGGCTGTGTGCACCCCAGGTGGCCCTGCACACAGTAGGGGGCACTTTGGTTTCTGCTCAGGGGCCACGAGACCTGTATTAGGCAGGAAAGCCCAGCTTGGCCATCTGTACCTGGCTGCCAAGGGTCCCAAGGGGCACCATGGGGTGTTGACATCCAGCCCAGAGGGGCCCCTCCTTTCTCAGGCCTCCTCCAGCTCCTGGGCCCTTCCCAGCAGGGCCCTCCTTGTTCCAGAAGGAGGCTGGGTAGGAAGAGGGAGCTTTTTGCTCTTCAGTCCTGGGACCTCTGTGTCCTCTCATGCCCTTGCATTCAGAGGGGCAGACCCTCCAGATAACTGGGCCTGGAGGGGTGCAGACCATGATGGTTAAACAGTGCTGGGGACAGTGAGTGTGACAGGTAGGTACCCTGAGGATCCTCAGGCTCCAACTCTACCCTCTGCACCCTGCCACACCCCTTGGGTTGGGTGTGGAGTTTAAGTGTGGCCCTGGAGGCCCAGGGAGGTGCCACCAATCCCCCACCCCAGGCACTGGGCTCAAGGACAGGGCCTCAGTTGTCCAGGCCCTGACTGTAGGGTGTGGCCAGCTCGTCAGCATCACTGTCCGAGCTGCCCTCGCTGTCCTTGGCGGGCCGCTCCAGATGGCGGAAGAAGCGTGCATCTTGAGGGGACAGCGGGTAGAGTGCGTCCTGCAGGGCTGCGCCCACACCCACGCCCAGCAACTCCTCATCTGACGATGGCAGAGAGTCCTCATCCAGGTGTCGCGCCAGACCTAGCCCATCGAAGGCCAGTGGGTCCTCAAAGGGCGGCGGGCCCTTCAGTAGCCGCACCTGAGGCAGGACCAGCACGTTGGAGGCGTGGACTCACGTGGTGCTGGGCACCCTTCTCTCCCACACCCCAGACACTGACTCCTGGCTTGTCACCAGCTGAGGACACGCGGGGTCTCAGCCCCTCCCGCGCTCACCTCGGCCTTTAGCTCCTCGATCTGGTCCTTGAGCTCGCGGATGTACTGCGAGGAGTCCGAGTGGTTCAGCTGGCCCTGGATGCGGCCCTCCTCCCTCTGTGGGAGAGCCAGGGTGCAGGGGTCAGGTGGTATCCTGTCCCCACGTGTCCCCACGACACCCTGCCGTGCCCCACCCAGCACCTGGATTTCCAGCTCCGCGATGCGTTGCCGCATCTCAGCCACCGCCGCCATGCTGTCCGCCTCTCGCAGGCGCACGGCCATCACCTCCTCCTTGCTCTGAGGGCAGTGGGGAGAGGGCGGGTCAAGGGCGAGGCAGGCCAGGGTGGGGGTGGGAAGGCGGGATCCGGGAGAGGGGCACCTTGCACTCGGCCTCAGCCTGCTTGCGGCGGCTCTCGCTCAGTTGCGTCTGCAGACCCTTGTTCTGCGCCGCCAAGTACTGCAGCTTCTCCTGCAGCGCCGAGCGTTCTGCCTCCACACGGTTCAGAAGGTTTCGGTGGATGTGGTCCTGGGGGATTGAGGACGCACAGGCGGGGGTCATGGGCTAGCCAGGGGGCCGACTATGGACACCAAGTCCCTCCCTGAGAGGGCGGCTGCAGCCCACCTGTGTCTCCAGCTCTACTACACGCTGCCGCAGCTCCCGGCCTTCTGCCAGGGCCTGGGCCTCGCGGAGACGTACACTCATCAGCTCGTCCTGCAGCTCGCTCAGGACCAGCTTCCGTGGGGACTCCTTCCAGCGGCCCCCGCGGGACAGATGGGCCTGCGGACAGAGGCTGGTGGTCAGCCCAGGGGCTCTGAGGCCCCCTAGGCCCAGAGGGTGTCAGACCTCGTGATTGCAGGGTTGCTTCCTGCCCTCTGGCCAGGCCCTCACCTGCCAGGTGTCTGAGAGCTCCTGCAGCTGTAGCTTCAGCTCCCTTGCAGAAGCCACTGCCTGGCCCTCTCGCACCTTGAGCGCCTTCAGCTCCTCTTGCAGCCGGGCCACATTGTTCTCATCAGGCAGTGAACTGTTCCTCTGAGGGGGACGAGGGCAGTCAGAGCCTAGGGCAGCCGGTAGCTGTGCAACCCCCTCCTGAGGGCTGAGATGCCACCTCTCATTTCTTGTGGGCTGTACCTTGGGCAGTGGCCAGGAGAGGGTGCACCCTGAACCCAGGATTTGTTGGGAAGGTGGACCAGGCCTGTGGAGAGCAGATCTTCCTCTATGGCCCCAGCTGCAAATCCTCACTTACAAAATGGCTCTAAGAACAGCACCTGCTCTTTCAGAGGACTGGCTTAGGGCAACCCCGTAAAGTGTAAGGCCTCTGTAGTATTACTGTTGAGGACACCAGACAGGCTGGGTGAGGACTGGCGCCTACCCCCACCTGGGAATCTGAGACCACCCCCATGGTGCCCATGACCAGAGCTGGAACCTGTCCCAGCAGAGGCTGAGAAGACTGAGCCTCCAAACTCTGTCCCCTGTCCCCTCCCAGGCAGCCCCTCTTCCTGAAAACCCACTGAGGGTCGGTCTTGGCCCTGTCCTGGCCTCCCAATGGCTCAGGGATGGGAGATTTATGTTCTGGCCTCCTGGAACAAAATCCAGCTTGCTGCCCTAGGACCTCACTGACCCTTGTTTGGGTCTGGGAGGCAGGGTCTACTCGTGCACATTTCCCTCTGAGGTGGAGGAAGGTGGAAGGAAGCACAGCTCTGGGCTGGGGGACTGAGAGGCTGTGGCAGAGACACCTGGCAGGGGCAGGCTCCAGGTGGCTGGGGTGGCTGCTGCTCTCATCTGGAAGCTCTGTGGAAGCTGAGTCAATACTGAGTCAGTGTGAAAGAAGCTGGGGAGGGCCCCAGGAGGCCTGGGGCCCCCTTCAGGGCTGCAGGCAGAAGAGGGTGGCCCTTAGTTGTCCCCTGGGTGATGTCTCTTTGGAGGTGGGGGTTGGGTGAGCAGCCCTGCTGGGCTGGGGCCTTTCTTCCTTTTCTCTCCCTCCTGGAACCTAGGGACTGAAGGGACACACAGGTGGGGCAGGCTGTCTAGGAAGCCCATGGAACCATTATAGTGCTGGTACATAGTACACGAGGGTGGGGGTGCCCTGATGTGTGTGTGTTTTTGTGTTTCCCTCTAGGACCTGAGAGGGTTTTAGAGGTGAAGGACCCACTTCCCATCTGCCCAGACCCTCCTAGGGAGACCATGGGGGAAGTGGTCTTGGGTTCCTCAGGGACTACTGACACAAGGGAATATGACGCCAAAACACTCTCCCCTGACCCTCCTGGCAGCCCTTCTCCTGGGTTCAGGCCTGGTCATGTACCTCCTTAAACACATGCAGCACCCCACCTCCCCTTTCCCAGAGTGCCCCCAACACTGGCCTGCCCAGTCCCACCTTCTCCATGTCTAGAACCTTGTCCTGCATTTCCCGCAGGGCTCCCAATGTCTCTGTCTCCCGAAGCCGTGACTGCTCCAACTCAGTCTCCAGGTGGGCCACAAAGTCCTCGGTGAGGCGAGGGTTATCCTGGGGGCAGGTGGAGGGCTGCATCAGGTCAGGCTGCAGCTGGAGGGTGGGGAGCCTCCTGCCAGCTGGCTGTGAGCCCAGGACTCGGCCCCTACTTCACAGAGCCCCAGGGCTAGAGGAGGCTCAGTGTGTGGGCAGATGGAAGGGGGGTGAGGAGAAACCCTGGATCCTCTTCCTGTGTCTCCTGCCCTCTTGGAAGGAGAGCTGAATCCCATCATGGGGACCCTGATGGCCAGACTTAGCCTCCTTTCTGGGAAAATTACACAAAGGGAACCTTCAGAAGGGGACCTTCCATGGCCTCAGGACAGCCCTGAGGGGTGCTATTGGCTGTACCCAGGATCGCTGGACTGAGTGTGGAGGATGGGTTCTCCAAGGAGGGTGGGTTCCTGCTGTGTGGCTTGTGGCCTAGTCATGCGGTGGACTGCAGTAGGGCAGGACTCAGGGCTATGGCGTTCATGTCCCTCTTTCTTCGTCTTCTTCCTTTCCCCTCCTCCATTTCAAAACAGGAAAGGATGGGAAAAGAGTTTGCTGGGATACTTCTTTCTCAGTGCTGAGGCTTCTCAGACAGGTGCCACCTGGGCCCAGTAAAGGAGACCTGCAGCTAGAGCTGGGTCCCCATCTCAGTGCCCCATGGCCTGGCAGGGTGCTTCTCTGGAAGATTGCCTCAGCCCCACCCACCCAGACCCCATCCCTGCCTGCTACCACCTACTTCCCCCCGGCCTCCTGCCCAGTACCCGGGTCTGCTTGCTGCCCTCTACCACTTTGTGTCTCTGAGATCCATGGGTGCCGAATTCCTGAATTAAGGCCTGAGCCAAGGTCTCCGGGCCTGGTTGAGGGGGTCTCCCAGGGAACAACCCTTCCTTCTCCCCACCCATTTTTTCTTGGGCACCCGCAGTTTCTGTAAATCAGGGACCCCACCTCTGCTGAGATCAGGCCTGGATCGCAGGGGTCCGGGGAGCCTATAGCATCTTTCCCTGCCCCTCCAGGGCATGTGCCCCCATGAACACTCTCAGCTTGGGGGCTGCAGCTGCTGGCAGGTCATCAGGTAAGGAAGGAAGCCTGCTGGGTAGAGCTGAAGGAAGGTTCTAAAAGCCACCTTAGGGAGCAGATCCTTTGCCTAGTGTTCTAGCCCTGTGAGCCCCATCCAACACTACATTCACGACCCCACAACAGACTCTCAGGGTTGCCTCATTCCCACCCTGCCAGCTCAGGGCATTGGGCACAGACCAGACTCTCTTCTGAGTACCAGAGGAGGGCACCTCCTCCTGTCCTTCATCCTAGTTCCTACCCTGCAGGACTGCCCCCTAGGGAAGCCTAATAGCCCTGAAGGCTTTGGAGAGACACCAAGAAATCACAGTACCATTTGTTAAGGTCGAATGCCTGTGCCAAGAAGGGAGCCCTACAGGGACAGCCTGGTTCCTACTCTGAGACCAGAGGCAGAAGAGGCTGGCTGCCTTGGTCTCAGTGAGGAGAGCCACGCCCCCAGACGGGTGGTGGAACATGGAAACTGCAGGGGTCTCCCTCAGGTCAGGGGCTGATGGCTGGGAGAGAATATGCACTCGGTTCTGGGTGCTGCCCCCGCACACTAGTTAGAAACTATAGGGCTGACTCCCCAGCCCGAAGTGGGTGCTGGTGAACAGCTCCTGGTACCTGCTGCTCCTGCAGCTGCCGGATGGTGCTCTGTGCCCTCTGCAGGTCCTCTGCCGCCGAGCTGCACTGCTGCCGCACCACCGCCAGCTCCCGCTTGATGACATAGTTTTCCTCGGCCTCCTGTGCCCGTGTCACCTGTCCCTGAGCCCAGTGAGGACAGGGGACAGTGAGGGGGAGGCCGGAGGAGAGCCAAAGCGGTGTGGGAGAGGGAGAGGCCTCCTTTACTTAGAGTCTGGGATGGGTGCCCCGCAGGGCCTGGGGACAAGAGTGAGGGGTAGGCAGGTACAGGACACCAGGAGAAGCCTGGAGAAAGACACGCACCACCACCTAGGCCCCAGGCTCCGTGAAGCCTAAATGGAGACCCCAGGGCTGGGGCTGCCGACGGCTCCATCCCCTCCCAGCTTCTGGTGTTCGGCTTCTGTCCCACAGGAGGAGAAGCAAGTCCTTATCCATGGACGATGGCACACCAGAGGCTGGGCTCTGCTGCTGAGGGTGGGGACAGCTGAGCACCGGGGGGCAGGGTGGGCAGGTGGAATACACCTGTTCCCCGGCTTTCCCCATCCTGGACCTTGGGACCTCTACCTGCCAAGGGATAAAGATCTACTCCACCAGCCTCATCCCACCCAGTGTGGGTCCCCCCATTCCAAGCTCAGAGCCACCAGGCAGCAGGCAGAAGCTTTCAGATAAAGCCATTCAAGATGAGGCAGCAGAAGCAGGTGATTGAGAGAAGCTGGCAGGCCTTGCAGGGGGTAGCAGAGAGGAGCGTGAAGGGCCAAAAGGGATGGGGTGGTGTGTGTGGGTGGTGGTGGGGGGCTTAGCACATGGCAAGGCCTGTTGTAGATGCACCCTCAGGGTTTCTGACTCCTCCTGTGTCCTCTGGAGGGAGGGGGCTCTGTCCCTGTGCATATATTACACTCACAGACACACCCAGATGCCACATTTGCATACGCACAGCCCCCTTCTCTAGAAGGACACCTCCGTCTTTGAGAAGCAGTCCCTAGCCACCCTCATGCATGGTACCAGTCCTTCACCCCTCACCCCTGGGATGGCAGTGACCAGGGAAGAGCCCATTATTGGCTGTCAGGTGTAGAGACTAGGAAGAGTGAGATGAAAAGCTACAGTACCTGGATTAACCTATCAGCCAGAGCAGCGCTCTCCTACCAGGCGAGGGGGTTTCCAGCAACAGAGGGAGGAGGCAGAGCGGAAGGCACGGGGACAGGAGAGGGGGAGAGACAGACAAGAACCACTTGTCACTAATGCAGTGGACTATCTCTAGAAGCAGGGGAGACAGGAGTGAGACCCAAGAACCAGAGAACCAGCAGGAGAGGACCTGGAGGTGGACCAAAGCTACAGCCAGCTCCTTCCAGGAGAGGGGTCTGTGTGTGTGAGCTGAACTGGGAGGCGAGGGTGCCCACAGCTGCCCTGTCTAGGTTCAGCCAGGCTTAGGCCAACTGGGAAAACTCAGAAAGTTTCAATTAGAGGCTGAACAAGAATGAAGGTCTTGGGGCAAGGGCAATAAAATCCTGTGGACAACCTGTGGTCAGTGGAGGATCAGGTGAAAATGAGGTTGGAGCAAGAAGTGGGGGCCTCCCCACCACCACTTCCATCTGTAAAAAAAAGTCTGGGCTGGTCCTGGCTGGTGTAGCTCTGAATTCTGTGCCAGCCTGAAAACGAAAGTGTCTTTGGTTTGATCCCCAGTCAGAGCACATGCCTGGGTTGCAGGCTAGGTCCTTAGTAGGGGTTGTGCAAGGGGCAACTACACAGTGAAGTTTCTCTCCCTCTCTTTCCCTCTAAAAAATAAAATCTTTAAAAAAAGTTTGGGGCCAGGATCAGGGTTGTGGTACCCCACAATGGAGCTGGTGGCAAGACTGCCCCCTACCCCTCCACTCCCATCTTTTTTCTTTTGAGGGCAAGGCTTCCAGATTACAGGATGGGTGGGGTGCTTTATGGCCCAGTTCCAGCCACCACAGTCAAAGTAGCAGTTCTACCTCCTCCTTTCCTCCCAGGCAACCCCAGAGGGCACCAGACACAAATGGGTTGTGGTGTTTGCATGTAACCAGGTTATAACTCAACCCTGAGCCCTAAACTAAGTTTTCCCTTGGCCAGATTATATGGCAGCTCAAATCTCAGTGGGGCTCCTGGCGGGGCCTGGGCCTGAAGCAAGGGGCTGGTTGGGCCTCTGGCTGCTGGGTCCTGCCTGGGTCCTGGAGGGTTCAGTGCCACAGACTGATGGCCACCCCCCTCACCTTCTCCAGGGTCTCAATCCGCTGTTTCAGGAGCCGGTTCTCCGTTCGAAGCCTCTATGTGGGGAGAGGGGAGAGCGCATCAGATCCTGCCTCCACTTTTGTACAGAGGCCTGTCCCCCAGGGTACCACTGGGCAGGACAGACCCAGAGGCTTACATTCTGGGCCAGTGATCCCAGAAAACAGGGCTAAGTCCCATTTAGATGGCTCATTAGGTTTTGTTTGTTTTTTAAATAAGCCTTGGTCCAGTAAAAATAATGTGAGTAGTTTTGTGGATACACACTGTGTGGGATGCATGCATGCCCTCCTTGGGGATCTGTTTCTATCCCATGCCTGGGGCCTGTCTACCTCCTACAGGGCAAAAGCTTCTGTGTTTTGGGAGAAGCTGCTATCAGACAACCCCTACCACTCACTGCTTTGCCTCCAGCCCCCGGGTTCAATCTTAGTAGACAAACTCCTCTCAAAATTTGGGTCCAGGAAAAGGGGTCTTGCCGAACACCCATGCTTCCTTCAGCTTGACAACTACATCTCTATGACCAACTGAAAGCCACCTAGCTGTGCCAGACAGTTGTCACTTACCCCCCTCCCAGCTAGGGGGAGGCCAGCTCCCTTGCTTTTACTTTGCATCCTGCCCTGGTGGATTCTGGTTAGATATTTGTGGTTTTAGGTTTCCCTAGAGCAGGTGAGGTTTTCATGTGCCTTGTATTTAATCTCTACCTATGTGCCTGTTAAGAAGTAGGTACACAAATGGTTTCGATCAGCAGATTAGTGAGGGCTCTGCCTCCCTGTAGATCACATAGAACAGTTCCTGGTTTCTTCCAGGGAGAAAAAGATGATAGAAACATCCAGAACATTCCTAGGAAGCAATTGGTCAGAGAGGTTGCAGACTTAACTGATGCCCATTGACTCATATCATGGATGGGAAAACTGATCAGAGGGGGACAATGTCTTGCCTGAGCCTCCCAAGCTGTTTCAAGCACAGTTCTTTACCCCTCACAGTGATCTGGAATCCAGAGTCTTGACCTATGACCTTTGGATTTCTCTGATGTCTCTTTGGCATAAGCACAGGCCATCCTTGGAGGAGGTGGGTGGGCCCTACCAAAAACTCATCTCTCCTGCTTATTCAAAAATAAAAATGAGGAATAAAGAACACAAGAACTATGGGGGCAATGCTATGTAGTAGTGGGACTTTGAAAAAATTTTTCTGTATTTTTGATGCTTTGACATCTTGCGGCTTTGCTAATCCTGGAGAGACTGCCCCCCCAGGACCGGGGAATCCCTACAGATAGTAAACAACCTGCCTGCCAAAGCAAACCAGCCAAACCAGAGTGACCCCCTTTCTTATTTAACTCTCACATACCAAGCCAATATTTCCCTTGTCCTAAATTGACATAGGACAACTAGGGACCACTCCTATAACCCATGAAATTATTCAAATTGGTCAATCCTGAACTCACTAAACTTGCTTACCCTGCTTTGCCCATGCCTTTGCTGGAAAACCGCAAAAAAGGCTGTGGCTCCTGCTCTCCCCTTTGATCCCACTATCTCCTGACTGACCCTGGTGCTTCCCCATGTGGCCTGTATGGCGTGGTGGTTCTGCTTCTTGGGAACCATGAGCAACAAACTCTTCTTTCAAAGGCAGTTGTCTCTGTGTTGGCCACCCTACCATACCTGGCTAAAACAAATCCAAGGTACATTTAAAACAGGCTAAAGATGAAAGAGCACATAGGGCAGGGCCAAGGGAGAAAGTCTGCCTGAGTCCTGTAAGACCTGTCCAGTGCTAAGGGTCCTCTTGTGGGAAATTTTCAGGCTGGGCATGTGGTTGAGGGTCTGCTGTGTACCACCCCATTGCTAGGCTCTCATAGTCACCAGATGGGAGCACACCCTTGTCTGTGTATGAGCAAGACATGCGTGCACACATACACACACACTTTTGGACAGGTGCATCAGTCAGGTTGCCACTCCTGAGAAAGATAGATGCTTAAAAGTTCAGGACACAAAACTATTTCTGGAAGCCTGACAAATGGACAAATGATGCCCTCTCTCCCCCTCAGATATGGGTGGCAGGTGACCTGAACTGTAATCTAGCTTCTGCCTCTGCATTTCCGGAGGAGGTTGGGATGATAATAGCAGTGGTAAAAATCAGTGATAATAATACTGATTTGAACAGCAGAGCAAGTGTCATTCCCATTGTGCAGAAGGGGACACTGAGAGGTGTCAGAGAGGTCCATTCACCTTCCTAGGCCACACAGCTGGTCTGTGATAGAGCTGGGATTTCAACCCTCATCTGTGGGACTCCAGTGCCAGCCACTGTGGGATTCTGCCAGTCTGTAGATAGGACAGAGCAAGGCTATGTTGGGGTTTGTGTTTATATTGGTGCCTCCATCCCCATTGGACTGGGGGCTCTCAATCCCTGCTGTGATTGGCACAAAGTAGGTGCTCAATAACTGTTTGTTGAATGAATAATTAAAATCATGTTTGGAGGGATGAAAGCAGAGGGAAAGAGGGTGGGAAGACTGGGTTCCGGCCAAGATGGAGGCATAGGTAGAAACACTGTACCTCCTCGCACAACCAAATTTAAGGACAACAAAGATTTAGAAACAAAATGCAACCAAAACAGACAAAAAATTGAACAGTATGGAAGTACGACAATGAACAATTCATCCAGACTGGTAAGAGAGGCAGAGTCAGCAGCCAGTGGAGAAGGGTCTCAGCAGGGAGGAGAAGGGTTGCAGCAGGGAAAAGCGGTGGCTGCCAGACCAACCCAGGCACACAGAAGGCGGTTGGCAGATCCCAGGCGTGGGGTGGCAACGGGTGGACCCAGTTAGGGTGCAAGGCGGCTGGCTGACCACAGTCACACATTCACACACAGATAAACTAGGTAAAAGAACGGACAGTGACACAGACTATGCAACACAGGGCCCCAGCACCAGGAAATAAAGCCTAAAAGCACCAATTGAAAAAAACTTTTGGGGGTTGAGGTGCTGGGAGAGGCTCCCAGCCTCACAGGAGAGTTCACTGGAGAGACCCACAAGCCCACCCATCAGGGAACCGACACCAGAAGGGCCCAATTTGCTTGTGGGAAGTGGCAGAGGGGACTGAAATCCAAGAGAGAGTGGAACAAATGCCATTTCTCTTTCTCTGACCCTGCCCCCAGTCACAACCCAGTGACTGGATTGACTCGCCCTGGTGAACACCCAAGCTTTCACCCTTCACACATAACAGGTGCGCCAAGACCAAAACATTATGGCTCAAGCAGAAGAACAACTCAAAGCCCCAGAGCTAATACTTCTAAACAACCAAGAGATAGCCAACCTATCAGATGCACAGTTCGAAACACTGGTGATGAGGATGCTCACATAACTGGTTGATTTTAGTCGCAAATTAGATGAAAAAATGAAGGCTACACTAAGTGAAATGAAGCAAAATACACAGGGAACCAATAGTGATAGAAAGGAAACTGGGACTCAAATCAATGGAGTGGACCATAAAGAAGAAACATCCAACCAGAAAAGAATGAAGAAATAAGAATTCAAAAAAATGAGGAGAGGCTTCGGAACCTCCAGGACATCTTTAAATGTTCCAACATCTGAATTATAGGGGTGCTGGAAGGGGAAGAGGAAGAGCAACAAGTCAAAAACTTATTTGAACAAATAATAAAGGAGAACTTCCCCAATCTGGCAAAGGCAATAGACTTTCAGGAAATCCAAGAAGCTCAGAGAGTCTCAAAGAAGGTGGACCCAAGGAAGAATACACCAAGGCACATCATAATTACATTAGCCAAGATTAAAATGAAGGAGAGAATTCTAGAAGCAGTAAGAGGTAAGGGGACAGTCACCTACAAAGGAGTTCTCATCAGACTGTCAGCTGATTTCTCAAAAGACATCTTACAGGCAAGAAGGGGCTGGAAAGAGGTATTCCAAGTCATGAAATCCAAAGACCTACAACCAAGATTGCTCTATCCAGCAAAACCTTCATTTAGAATGGAAGGACAGACAAAGTGCTTCTCAGATAAGGTCAAGTTCAAGTTCATTATCACCAAGTCCTTATTCTATGAAATGTTAAAGGGATTTATCTAAGAAAAAGAAGATAAAAAGTATGAACTGTGAAAGGACAGCAAACTCACAGTTATTAAGAACCACTCCTAAAACAAAAGCAAACTAAGAGGACAGCTAGATCAGGAGTGAAACCATAGAAATGGGAATCACATGGAAGGTTAGCAACAGGGGAGTGGGAGGAGGAGAAGGGGGAAAAGGTACAGAGAATAAGTAGCATAGATGGGAGGTAGAAAATAGACAGGGGGAGGGCAAGACTAATATGGGAAATGTAAAAGCTAAAGAATTTGAGACACATGGACATGAACTAAAGGGGGGGAATGGGAGGAGGGGTGTGCAGGGTGGAGGGGCATAAAGGAGGGGAAATGGGACAACTGTAATGGCATAATCAATAAAATATATTTTAAAAAAGACTGTGTTCAGAGACTCTGCACACTCAGGAAACCCCTTGTGATATTTTGATTTACAGCAAGAAGTATGTATTTGGTCTTCCATGCAGTCCTGGCTCAGAGCGCCTAAAATCCTGGGAATTCCTTAAGTGAGGAGAGGGATAAAAGCGTCTTTTGTTATGTCAACAAGGTGACTTTGGAAAGCCCCCAGTCACCTAAGGATGGGGGCTGGTTGCCAGGGGACCCAACCATTTGTCAGAGGGTTGGATATTTCAGTTCTATGCCTAAATCTCTAGGGAAGAGAGATGGATTGGAGGTTGAATCAGTTGTTGATGGCCGATGATGTAATCAGTGATGTCTGTGTAATGAAACCGCATAAAACTGGACAGGACAAAGTTTGGAGAGCTTCCAGGTTGGTGAGTGGTTGGTGGTGCTGTGAGGGTGGTGCACATAGAGAGGGTATGGAAGGTCTGTGCCCTTCGCCATACAGGCCCCGCACATCTCTTCCATCTCTAAGTCAGGTTGTTCCTGACTTAGACCCTTTATAACAAAGCAGTGACCTAGCAAGTAACTTTTCTATGAGTTCTGTGGGCCACTCTAGCAAATTAATCAGGCCCAAGGAGGGGATCACAGGAACCTGTGATCTATAGCCAGCTGCCCAGCAGCAGAGGTGACAATCTGGACTTGAGAGTGGCTTCTGAACAGGGAAGCAGCTGTCTTGTGGGACAGTGCCCTTCACCTGTGGGCTCTGACGCTGTCTCCAAGTAGATAGTGTCAGTTGAACGGAATTGTAGGGCACCCGCTGCCGTTGGAGAATTGCTGGGTGTTGTGGGGAGAAACCCACATAATGGAGTTCGTGACAGAATTGTACCCCCAAACCTAGTAGGGCTGGCTGGCCAGGCACCAGGGGATCCAGGGGCCACGGGTGAGTGCCACAGCCTGGCCTGTCCTCCCGGCACCTGGTCTCTGCCTGCCTCAGGGATCCCCACTTGCCCCTGGCCCTGGGGCTCCCACAATCGAGGGCAGCCTTCCTGATGTCGCGCCAGCCCCTCAGGCCCACAGCTGGTTGCCAGGGGACCCAACCTTGTGTCAGAGAGTTGGAACTTCAGCACTCGGTTCCCTGGGCCTGCAGCAATCTGCCCTGAACATTTTGCGCAGAGCATTTTCTAGTGTGCATACTCTATACTTACTGGTTCACTGACTGTCTCTCCACTGCAATGAGAGCCCCATAAAGGCAGGCCCACCTCGACCACTGCTGGGTCCCCAGCACCAAGTGGGTCCTCAGACTGGTCAGGCAGTAAGTGAGGGGCAGCTGGTGGAGGGACACCTCCAGAGCCCAAGGACAGTCTGGGGTGCCCGGTGTATTGGATAGGGTCACCCCCAGTGGCTGCCTGCCTCTTGAGTGGGGAGGGATGCTCCCAAGGGCCTTGGTCCCTGTCCCCTGTCCCATTCCCCAGGGACTCACTTTGATCTCGATCTGCTCCTCCATCTCTTTACTCTTCATAGCAGCGTACTCCTTCTCGAGCCTGCAGAGGAGAAGGCCGACGTGGACACTGTCCCACTCTTAGAGACCCCTTTCCTTCTAGCACCCTGGCTACCAGGTACTGACCTCTTCATCTTCTTAGGATTGTACTTGACCTGGTAAGCCTTGAGGATCAGCTTGTCTGGGCAGCTGTCGAACTGATGGGGGATCACCCTCTGGAAGTACTGTGGGGACACAGATGCTCAGTGACTGTAGGAAGTGGGGAGGGGTTGTGGAGACCCTGCTGTGCCTGCTGCTCTGGAGGAGGGCCTGGGTGCTCCAGGAGGGAGGGCGGGAGCAGGTCTGCCTGGGGTATCACCATGTACCAAGGGCAGTGCCCAGCCTGCCTGTTGTGGGTGCTCCGTCATTGTGGAGCAAGTGAGTATAAGAAGCAGGCACCTGGGGAGAAGCTACCTGCACCCACGACTTCAGTTTGCAGGGGAAAAGCAGGCTGTAGGAGCTCCTGAGGGCAAAGGCCCAGGGGTGGGTTGAGCTGGGGTCTGAGCACAGGGTACCTTCATGGAAGAAGGGGGAGGCACATTGTACCCCATGGCAGTCAGAGGAGAATGAAGAGGTTCTAGAATTGGGGCAGCGAGGAGCAACCTGGAGGGAAGACCCCTCAGTGGTCCTGGGCCCCCCCAAGGCCTCCACAAAGGGTTAAGTGTGAGATACCAGTGGACACAGCTTGCTGTTGGCTGGGGCCAGGCTGGCTCCTGCTCCCAGCCCAGCTGACCCCCTCTGGCAGCTGGAGACAATGAACACTCGTGTTTGTGGACACAACCATGGCCTTTGTGTATTCTTCCCTGAAGTACCAGCTGGAGGATACTGGGAGGGGGCAGGGGCTTGCATGGGGGAGCATGGCAGTGAGAAGCAGCCAGGAAAGCTGGGGGTGGGGGGCAGGCAGGCCAGACTCCTCACTCCCTCCTGTGCCCTTGCTGGCCCAGTTGCTGGGGCCAACAACCACACCCAAGGCCTTGTGGTTGGGCTAGTATAACTATATTTGCCACAAAGGCTTTGAGGGACAAAAATCTGGGGCACGAGGGAGGGGGTGAGATCTTCCAGAGCTAGGGCCTGGACCTTCATCTCTCCCTACTGCCAGGCTGCTGGCCCTGGACTGTGTCTGGCAGAGCCTAGGGCTCCTTAGGGCCTAACCTGGTCCTCCACAGAGGCCTCAGGGGTCACAGCGGACAGGGAAGGATCAGGCTGCTCAGAGCTCCAGGCCTTCTCATCTCACAGGAGGACTCACTTGTCTAGGTACCCCTGCTGGGGGTTGGCAACCTTACCTTTCCCTGGGTGCTTGACCCACCTGAGACATGCCCTCCATGTCCAGCTGCATCAGCTCCACCTGGTTCACCTGCAGCAGGGCGAGGCCCACCCGGAACACGATCTCCAGGCCCTGCAAAGGTGGTGGTGATAGTGCTTCTCTGGTCCTGCTCTCCTGGGGAGCTCTCTGACTCCTCCCCAAGCCCTGGCCTTTTCCTGGCCAGTATTTGTTTCCAGCATTGGGCTTTTAGGAGAAAAAGGGGCTGAAGGGGTTCTGACCTCATACATGAAAATGTCGAAGACACGAGTGGCGACGGATAGTGGGAAGGTGGTCAGGAAGAGTGTGAGGAACCAGGATGAGGCATACATGGATGTGTGGAAGCTCTGGGAGCGGAAGTGGGTGTTCAGGTCCGGGAGCTGCTCCTGAGGGTAGGCAGAGGTGGCCAGCACTGTGAGGCCAGCACCAGGCACAGCTGTCCATGCCCACAGACTTCCTGGATCTTGGTGCCCCTGCCTTCAGGAAGGCTTCCCTGATCTGCCCTTGGCTCCCTTCCTCTGTGTGACCTTGGCACTGTGTTTGGGTGAGGCTGAAGCATCCCAGAACACTGAGCAGCATGAGGTGGGGACACAGGCAGGGGTAGCAACAGCTCACGGGTGCTTGGTGTGCACCCTGGGCAGGAACTGGCCCGACTGCTCTCCTCCCAGCTCATGGGATCCTTACGACTAGCCGACAGGGAGCTTCTGAGGCTTGGGGTGGGTTTGCCTAACTCCTCAAGGTCACCCAGACAGTGAGAGGTAGGCATGGCATGAGCTCACTGCAGCTCAACCTGTATTCAGTAACTTGCCAGTTGCTATGTCTCCCCACAGCCTCCTCACAATGCTCTATGCCCAGCAAAGCTCAGGGGATGCCAGTCTGATTGGCTGAACTTCAGACTGCTGAAAAGTGACAGAAACTGGGGAAAGAGGCTGAGGAAAGTGTTAGGACCCCCTGGATGTTCTTCACTGGCAGAGGGACTATGGCACCCCCCTCCCTATAACCTGCCCTGGCTACTTCCCTGCAGACCGAGGGGCTCCATGGTGCTGTTTAGCTACTTTGCTGTGGGAGCTTGCAGCTACCCTGCCTGGGTGGGGCCACTTCTCTGCTGGCTCTGCCCCCTGCTTATTGGCATTACCAGGTCCCTTTGATCAATAGTACCTTCCAGTCCTCCAGGCCTGAGGAGTGGGGCTTTAATGACCAGGCTCATCCCAGGGTCCACCTTCTGTCCCCCTTCACCCCTGACCCCCAACTGCTGTGCAGTGTCACAGCCCCAACTGTGACAGGCTTCTGGAGCAGGCCAGGTATATGTGTGTGCACATGTATGTGCATGTGCATGTTCTTCTCTTACGTGAACCCGCTCTGCCTGCCAGCCAAGAGGGGCTGCTGTTTATCAACAGAAAGATCTGCAGCTCTCCCCTAATCATCTAAGGCAGGCAGACAACGCTTTCCCTCCTTCTGCCACCCTGGAAGTAGACAAGGGGGCTGTGGATGTGTCTGGCAAGAGCCAGCCTAACCCCTCTGCCCTCAGGCTCTGGGAGCCCAGAGCACTCAGGAGCCCCCACCATAGATGGCTGGCCCTGCTGTGTCCTGGAAGTATGCTTGGGGACAGTGCTACATGGCCCTCTGGAGACTAGAGCTGCTTTCTGAGCTGGGACATCTGGACCTGATTTTTCAGCCCTGGAATTTTCAGTTAAAGAGACCCGCTGGGGCAGCCCAGGTTGGTGTCCATGGCTGTGTGCTGCAGAGGAGTGGGAGGGGCAGGGCCACCCTGGTCCCGCTCACCTGCAGCATGTACTCGAACTGGTAGATGCAGAGCCCCAGCTCAGCCATGCTGGGCTTGAAGAGCTCCCGAAGGCGGTACTCCTGCATCAGCCGCACAAAGACACAGAAGGCCTCCTCCTCAGGCATCTGGGGATAGCAGGCCAGCAGGGGCTGTGAGTGTGGGAGGGGTAGGAGGGGACACTTGCTGCTCTTCTCATGTCCCCAGAGTACTGTGCTTGGCCTGTTTCTATTCTCTTTATGTCTATTAAATGTGGACTGTGTGGGCTGCCCAAACTCTCACAATAAACTTCTGGTCACTCTTGTTTACTGATGGGCAACCTCCTGAGACAGAAGTCACTTGCCAAAGGCCACTTGGCAGGGACCAGTGGGGCTGAAACTTGAGCCCCTGGTCTGGCTGCCTCCAGAGCCCATGGTTGGGACATTCTCAGTCCACTCATAGCATCTCTGTTCTCCCCTTCCTAAGCCTCCTGGATTCTCTGGATAAAACTGGGGGTTTTTATCAGCCCCATAAAGTTCACACTGGCCAACTTAAGTTGCCTCCTGGAGTTCCCTGTCCAGCCCTGGGAGGTGACTGAGTAGGACAGCCTGACCCTCCAACCCCTGCACAGTACAGTAGACAGGACAGGAAGTCAGCCCCTCTGTGCTCACCCACTGGGGGTTTGGCTTGGGGACCATCAGAGGTCACAGGTGGAGGAGGATGGAGGCTCTGACTGTAGAGTTCTGGATAGAGAGTTACATCCTACTTCTGTCAACCTTCTGGATGCAGAGCCCAGATGGGCTGGCCCTTGCCATAGCCCAGCCCCTGCCACCTACCTGCATAAGAAGCAGGCCCACGATGAAGGCACTGCCCTGGCAGTAGCCCACCTCCCGGTCCACCAGTGAGTATGCCTGTAAGGGGACGTCAGTGTAAGGGTAGTGTCCTGCCAGGATCCTGCCAGGGCAATCACATCAGGCAATGTGGACAGTGCTTGTTCATGTGGGGTGAGCTCACCTTCATGACATTGAAGAGGACTTCCTGGCCCAGGCTGTCCTGGCCCTTGAAGAACTCGTGCTCTGGGTAGGTGCGGGCAATGTCTCTGCGGATCAGCTTCTCGCATGGGGAGGACATTTTGAGCAGTTCTGAGTACTGGTTCTTGACTGGCATGTTCGTGGCGCTGCACAGGAGCTGCCACACAATAGCCCGGAAGTGGTGTGGGATGCCCTTGTGGATCAGCTCCTGGGGACGGGGTGGGCAGCAGGAGGCTGGGCTGGACACTGTCCCAGTGCAGCTACCCAGTCCAGTCCCCAAGACAAGGCTTGGCTTGCCCATGCCATGCATGTGGCTTAGAGCTTGGCTGCATCTTTGCACTGCAGACAGAGTTTTCACTGCTTAATGTACTATCCCCAGCCCCTGAGATGTCAGTGTGATAGCTACGTACCTGGTCAGATCTCTCTCCCCTCTGCCTCTGGTAAAGCCCTCTGAAAGTGCCCACACACTTCCACTTCCGTCCCTCTGCCTGGGCCGGGACCCTGCCCCTGTTGGCCGCCCAGCTGCCCACCCACCTCCACCATCCCTTCCACCTTAAGCAGCTTCTCCTTCCTGCGCCGCCACTCCTCCCACTCGTTGGCAATTCGGCCCCACAGGATCCATGTGTCCTCCTCCAGGTGGCTCAGGTTGGAGGAGGCTGAGGAGCTGGAAACCAGCGAGGAGCCACTGTTTCGCCGGGAGCCATTCATGGAGCGCATGGACTTGGAATCGGCCTCTAGGAGCCTAGGCAGAAAGGGCCGGTAGAGGCAACTGCGGGGTGTAGGCACCTCCCACCCAGATCTCTGGGCTTCAGTAACTCCCTAGGGACAGGAGGCTGCTGAGGAGCCTGGCCTCTCCTCCTGGGGATTCCAGAGGCCACCAGGGATTGGGTCTAAAGTGTTCTTGCTGTGTGGCACTTTAGCCAGAGTCCTAAGCTCTCTGAACTGTGGTCCATCTTGGGTCCTTGCAGAGGCTGCCATTTGTTTGTCCCATTCTGTGTCCACTGGGCTGAGAAGCATGTGGGTTAATTCACTGAGTCTTGTACCACCCCTGAAGGGCAGATTTTTGTTCAGATCCATGTTTTATAGATGAGGCACAGAGAGGGTGAGCTGCTTGCTGGTAGCACTTAGCTAGGGAGAAGCTGTGTGAAACCTGATGCTTCGACAGCTAGGTTCTAGCTGACTCTGCAGGGTCTGCCCCTCCCAGTTCTCCCTAAATCCTAGATATAAGGACTCACCTCCCAGTATATCTTTCATGTGCAAATCACCGAATCCAGAGCCCATAAAAGTAACACCCCTCCTTTATCAAACTCTCACACTCAGGGCCACTATCTCTCCACCCTGATCACCAAGGGGCCAGGCGTCAGGCAACCAGAGCCACCCTATGCCCCAGAGCCGGTAGAATTATTCCAGCTAGCCCAACCAAGGCCTACCTCTCCCATTGCTTCTCTCCAAAACCAAAATGGAGGTACTTTCCCGAATTTTCCCCTGGCTCAGTCCACCTTCTGACTGACCTTTGTGCCTCCCTGTGTGGCCTGCATGGTATGCCCTGCCTCCTGCTTCTAGGGGACTGTGAGTGACAAACTATCTTCTCAGTGGCAGTCCTTTTCTGATCTGTTGGTCTTGCCATAGCTGAATGATAAGGAATCTATGTTTTATCTATCTATCTATCTATCTATCTATCTATCTATCATCTATCTATGTTTTATGTTTTAATATTTGAAAGATTTTTCCTTTAATTCAAAGCTATACTTTGGGAGAAAAGGGGTAAGTTTTGGAAATGAAAAAACATAATTGATTAAAATTCTAATTACAATTAAGTGAACATAGTAATTTTTATACAAACTTCTCTTGCTATATGACACAGTTTGTGAAAAAGGACAAGTCATATAACAGGTTCACTTCAAAAGCTCAAAAACCATAATTTGAAAGTTCAATTGTTGCCTCTGTTCTGCTAGAAAGGTTCACTAAGCGCACACTGAGAAAATGTTACTATTTTTAGTCACCTTTCATTTAATAAACATTCCTGCTCATGAATATAATCCTATCCTTCTACAACACTATTGAAAATTAAAAGTACTTACATGCCAAAGGAGGAAAGCCAGGGCAGATTTAAAGGGCTTCAAGGAGTACTTACCTGTTAAGTACGTAAGACTCCTTTTTTAAAATTGTTGTTTTTTCAATTAGTTTACATTCAATATTATTGTATATTAATTTCAGGTATACAGCATAGTGATTAGACAATTGTATACTTCAGAAAGTGTTCCATCCAAAATTCCTAGTCCCGACCTGGCACCACTCACTGTTATCACATTATTGACTGTGTTTGCTGTGCTGCGCTTTACCTCCCCATGACTGCTTCGAACTATCAATCTGTACTTCTCTATCCCTTTGTCCTTTTCACCCAGTTCCCCAAACCCCTTCTGTCTGGTAACCACCAGATATTCTCTGTATCTATGTGTCTGTTTCTGTTTTGTTTGTTTACATTGTTCATTAGATTCCACATATGAGTGAAATCATATGGTATTTGTCTTTCTCTGACTGACTTATTTCACTTTGCATAATACCCTCTAGGTTCATCCATGCTGTTGCAAATGGTAAGATTTCATTCTGTTTAATGGCTGAGTCATATTCTATTGTGTAAATGTACCACAGCTTTTTTATCCATGTACCTATTGATGGCCATTTGAGCTGCTTCTAAATCTTGGCTATTGTAAATAACACTGCAGTGAACTCAGTGGTGCATATATTCTTCAAATTAGTGTTTTGGGAATAAACCTACATTTTAAAGCATGGGAGGGCCAGAGGAAAAAGGTGGGAAGCCTGACTCTGGAGTCAGAGGCTAGACTCTTCTGTCCAATAAAGGCTTGAGAAACATGGCCAGGTTCACAGATGAATTCTGTCTCTCGAAACCTTGGTCTCCTCATTTGAATGGGGAGCTGTCTGTTCACCTGGGGTTAGGAGGATGACATTGTCTCTTCGAGGTGCTATGACTTTGTCCAAGGCCATACTCAGAAACTGCTGTTTGGGGCCCAGGATGTACCGTGCACCGCCCCCCTCATCCCCAGGCTCCAACTCACCGGTTCTGTTCTTCGAGCTTGGCCAATAGCTCCAGCTCATCAGGGCTGAGGTTCTCAGAGTCAGAAGTGGGGGAGCAGGTCGGGGCAGACAGGGCTTCCTGGGATGAGGAGTCAGGACTTAGAGTGGGGCTTGCCATGGTGGGCAGGTTCATCAGCTGTAAGCGGCGCCAGGTCACAGATCTGTCTGGGGGCCAGAGACAGCAACACATGGTCAGCACTGGGTAGGGTCTCCACCCCATCCTGCTGGCTCTAGGCTGCTGAGTCTGCTGCTCACTAATGAACATTTCCTCACTCTGAGCTCCCACTTCTGGTTTGTACACTTGGTGCACCCCTCGTTCCCCAAAACCCCAGCCCCATTGACAGCTGCACCAGCACCTTCTACTCAAGACTCTGGCTACCGGGACCTCTGACTGTGTCCTCCAGATGCCTGGACAGAGACAGTAGGACGGGGCCCAAGATGTCATGCTGTCCAAGGGCATGAAGGCCAAAGCTCCAGCCACTCAGGACCCCTGGGACCTTGATATATAGCAGCCCCTGCTTTGGTGGCCCTTCCTGACAGCCTTGTTGCCTGTCCCCTACTGTGGCCTGCCCTGGGAGACCTGTCTCAGCATCTGACCTTCCCTGTCTCATCAACCAAAATGGGCTGCTGGCACAACCAGAAGCAGTTATTCTCTACTGTTAATTGTCTAGTGCTGCCAATTGCCAGAAGAGTGGACTCCTCTTGGGCTGGGAAGCCAGGGAGGAACACATCAAAGTGCTGGGCATCTATACCCTGGTGGACACAAAGTGAGAGCTACAGGCTCTGACCCGTAACCTAATCTTGGCCTGCCATGTGTCTGGCAGGTGTTGGCCCTGTTCTTCCTGGGGCTGGTCTGGCCCTGCCCTCCTGAGGGGCTCCGAGGACATTGGCCTCTTGCCTCCTGCCAGTTGCCTTCCATGAGAGGCAGCTCAGCACCATTCCTAAAGCTAAGGCTTCAGACTCAGACAGACCTGTGTCCAAGGTGTGGCACCCCCTCAAGCAGCAGTATGGCCTTGAGCCAGGGCTGAGGGACTATGCTTCTTCTCTGAGTCTCCAGTGACCTCAGACAGTAACTGTGAGAACTGAGCATGCTACTGCAGGCAAAGTGTGCTAACAGTGCCTGATACTTAGTGGTTACGCCACACACATCAGCCATTGCTATCCATCCTGGGACCAGGGCTGAGGGCTAGCCAGGGCTCTGGGGCTGTGCTTTGCCTGGTGCAGGATACCTGCAGGGGTTGGTATTCCCTTGTGGAAGCTTCTAGGGGTCAGGAACTGCTAGGAAAGAGAAGGCCACTAGGAGCTGGGGATGGTGTTCCTTCTACTCAGCCACGCTGCTTCTGATGAGCCCAGGTTAGCACAAAGGGTCTAAGAAGATTGGAAACCCCAGGGTCATAGAAGCGGGAAGAAAGTCCTGCTCCCCACCAACCACCACTGTGGGAGGCTTCTTTATGCCTACCACTTTCCTTGCATGCTCTGTACCAGGAGTCCACCATGTGCCCTTGCACCCCACCTGACCTGGTTCTGATAGCTCAGCCTGCACAAGAGCCCATGCCCAGTCCCTGAAGAGGGAGAAACTGGTCCTCTAGGAGCAAGGGGATAGTGAAAGTATGAGAGCAGACCCTTTCATACCTGCCTTGCCACCTCAGGTCACTTGGTACCTTCCTGCAGCTTGGACTTTGTTCTCAGTCAATACCCAAGAGCTGGCTGGACTTGACCCTGGCCATGCACTTGGTTCTGGCCTCCTTCCCTCATGCCACCCTGTCATGGTGGGGTGCTATTTGTCTTTCACCTTGTGAGAGGGTCCAGCACCCTCCCTTCCCAGGGCCACTGGTTCTGTCTCTGGCTCATGAGGGCTGTCCTAGTCTGTTGGGTGCTGAGGGCTCTGGCTTTTGGTGAGTGGTACAAACTCTAGGTGGTGGCTCCTGGCAGAAGCAGAAGACCTTTCCATCTCATTGCCCAGCTGGCCAGGGACAACCTGCTCTAAAGATCAAGCCATGTGTACCACCTAGCCAGGAGTTAATCATTCCTGAGAGAGGGACAGTGAGGGCTGCTCCAGGGCCTCCTGTAAAGTCAGAAAAGTGTGTGGGCAAGAAGTGCTGATCTGGAAGGATCTCTATGGGTGGGGAAGAGCTGGAAAGGCCTCATGGCTTTCCCAGCTTCAGGGTTGAGAGATGGGAACGTGAGGATCAGCACCTCAGAAGCACAGCTGGATTTGGGGCCTCAGAGAAAGAGCTCACATGTGGCCAGGGTCATGACCTGAGACCACTCTCTCCTTGCTGAGACCAGAGGATCCAAGCCTTAGAGCACATTGGCTTACCCCCTCCCATAAAGAGCATGAGAGAATGGTTCAGTTCTGAGTTTCTGGTAAAAAACCAAAATAACAACAACAAAAATACACAAAAAAAACAGGAGCCATCAGCTAAGCAGAGTGTGTTCAGCCATTTATCACATAGTAATGTGTATTTCATTCAGGATATAAAATTGACTCAATGCACAGGGCTGAAATTTGCAGTCTGACAGGAAGAAACTTCTGATCCCTCAGGAACTTTGCCTTGACCCATCCCCAGACTCCCTAGAAACACTGCTTTGCTGTGGTCGATGTACACAAACTCACACACACAGCCATATAGGTACACACACACTCATACAGGCAGACACACACTCCACACAACTTATACACTCAGAAAAAGAGACAGACACACACTCCACATTCACACATACACACCATCTCACATCCATAGATACCCATGTATACTTTCTGCACCTCGCTATCCTGAGAATCAAGTAGATTGGGATAGATGCTGCTTGCTGCCATCCTAGCTTTGTGGGCAGTCCCTCCTCCCTCTCCAGAGTGCCATGACTCTTACTGGCCCAGCCATTTCTTCCCTGGCACTTACTGGGGGCCAGGTGCTGTTCTAGGCATGGGAAATGGAATAGAACAAGGAGATGAGAACACAACTCCACAGGGTGCTCACCATCCCCTCCTGGCTGCACAGGCACAGAGATGCAGACACGGGCGGCTCCCCTCCAGGGCTGATGGGCTACGCTTCTAAAGCCCACACACAGGACCCCTCTTAGTCTGAGATCCTAGCCTCTCAACATACCTAACTTCAAAACACTTTGCCTCTGCTCTACCTCAGCCACCCGAAGCGGGATCCTGGCTCCTGAAGGGTAGGCCATGGGCCACCTAACCCTGCTTTTGCTGCTACCACCATCCACCTCACTCCCATAGGGTAGCCCATGGTTTAGGAAGCTGAGCCAAGAAAGAGGGTGGGAAGAGACTCTGCTGGTAAGCTGGGGCAGGGAGCGTGGGGGCAAAGCCCAGATGCTGGACATCTCCCCCTCCTTCTCCCTTCCCTTTTCAGGGGCATTTGTATACTGTCAGTCATGCCTCCTCCTTCTTGAAGTCCTCTCCCATCTAGTTCCCAAGAGGCTAGGCTTTCTGGCTTGCCTGCTTCTCTGCCCAGGGCTTCTCAGCTTCCCACATGGTGCCTGTTTCTCTGTAGGCTTTGCCTTGGCCCTTGATGCCCTCGGTGATTTTACTCTCACGTCTTAAATGACTAAATACATGCCAGAGATTGTGACACCTCTGTCCTCAGCTTTCCTTTACTCCTAAGCACCAACCAAGATCACTGACTTGGCTGGTGCTCAGGCTCCCAAACATCTCCATCAGACCCCTGGCCAGGGCAGGAATCACCATTGTCTGGGTTACTGCTGAACCTAGTACAACCTAAGAGTCAAGAAATATTTGTGAAACAAACAAGCAAGCAAGCAGAAAAAAAAAAAACAACAAAGACACTGAAATAGAGAACAAGGGGACAGTGACCAGAGGGGAGAAGGAAGGGAAGTTAAGGGGAAAAAGGGGGAGGGATTTGGAGGAACAAATAGGAAGGACACAGGGATGAAAACTAAGGGGGGTGGAAATGGGAGGGAGGTGGGGAGCAAGGGGCTGGGGAGGCTGGGAAGGGAAAAATAGACAAAAAAAACTGTACTTGAAAAATAACTAAATAAAATTAATTTAAAAAAAAAAGAAATATTTGCGGAATTGAGCCAACCTGCCCACCCACCAATATTTATTGGGTGCCTGCTAGGTGTTAGGTACCAGGCTGAGGGCTGAAGGCTAGTGGGCAAAGAGACAGCCCTGCTCACCTAGAGCACACAGGGGAAAAGACCAACAAATGGTCATCCAAACTTTCTACTACAGATTAGACAAATACTCAGCATAAAAGAAGGCAGAGTGGAAAACAGTCTCGCATTCCCTCAAAATGTTCAACCAAGTTACCACATCACCCAGCAATTCTATTCCTAGGTGTCTACCCACGAGAATGGAAGACACACATCCACATGAAAACTTGTACACGAGTGTTCACAGCAGTATTATTCATAAGAGGCAACAAGTGGAAACAACCCAAATATCCATAGATGGATGAATGGATACACAAAATGTGGCCCGTCCATATAATAGAATATTATCCAGCCATTAAAATGAAGGAAGCTCTGATATATTCCACAACATGCAAGAACCTTGAAGATGTGATGCACAGTGAAAGAAGCCATACACAAAAGACCACAAGTGACATGATTCCATTTACATGAAATGTCCAGAAGCCTGGGGGTGGGGCGGTGGGAGGAGTGGGGGAGAAACTGCTAATGTGATTTGTTTTTGGGGTAATGAAGTATTCTGGAATTAGTGGTGGTAGTTGCACAACTTTGTGGATATACTAAGAACTACTGAGTTGTTTACTTTAAAAGGGTGACTTTTATGTTATGTGAATTATATACATCTCAGTTAAGAGAAGGCAAGGGATGGGTGGGCTGGCAGAGGAAGCTGGTACAGAAGCAGCGGGGAAGTGTGGTTGAAACTCCAGAGGTGAAAGTGACTAGGCAGTTCTGCAGCAGCCAGAACCCCAAAGGGCCCTGTGGGAGAAGGCAGGAACCCTACTGGGCCTGTATTTTTGGAAAACCCTCCTTGCCCCAGTCAGGAGACATTCCTCCAAGTTAGCTCTGTCCTAACTAAAGCCAGCCCCTCCTCCTGCCACAGGTGGGTCTTCCTGAGCCCATGATACTGCCATCTATTGGCCCAGGCTAGGCTTGGTACCCTCATGGTGCTTGCTCCAAACCCTTTGGCCACTCCCTACTATGACATGAAGCTCAAACATTTTTGCACTGTGCACACAGCCCTGCCAGCCTCACCTCCTTGTCCCTCTACATTCGGCTTATCTGGAGCACCTCCTTTTTCCCACCTGTCTTTGCACATGCTGTTTTCTCTGCTTGGAAAAGCATTCTTCAAGACATGATTTGAGGTTTCTTTTTTTCTGTGAATCTTCCCTGTCAACACCCTGCCTCCAGTGTCCTGGCTGGCTCACTTCTCTGTCTCTCTCTGAAAATACCTATCCCCTACACCCCAGCCCAAGACGTATTCTCTGGCAGTTATATACTTCTACACATGCCTACCTGCTCTACTGAGTCTTCGTGAACATTCTTAGCGCAAGGGTCTGTTTTTTAAATTTTCTACTCCAAGCCTATAATGCAGCACCTGGCATTTAGTTAGGTGCTCAATAAATGTCTGCTAAATAAATGAAGACCAAAATTTCTGTGCTGCTCAGCCAGGTGATCAAGGTCAACACTGGCAGTAGGAAAGTCAGCCAGTTTACTACTGCCTGACTTTAAAATAAAATTTCTGTGCTACTCAGCCAGTAGTAAAGTCATGTTGAGAGCATGTGTCCTTGATAGGATGAGAAGGGCACTTCACCCCTGCGTCTTTCTCCCCAAAAACACATCACTCCAGTTTAACTATGAGAAAAATATGTAACAAACCCAGAATTTTAGAAAATTCCTGACCAGTCCTCCTCAAAACTGTCAAGGTCATCAAAAACAAGGAAAGTCTGAGAAACTGTTCCGGCCAAGAGGAGCCTAAGCAGATGTGCTGATGAAATGTCACGTGGGATCCAGGATGGGCTCCTGGAACAGAAAAAGGATATTAGGGAAAAACTGAGAAGATATAAATAAACTGTGGGCTGTAGTTAATGGTAATATATCAATGTTGGCCCATTAATTATAACAAAGGTACCAGATTAAGTTGGGATGTTATTGGTTGTGGGGTCTGTGGGAACTCTCTGTACTGTCTTCTCAATTTTTCTGTAAATCTAAAACTGTTCTAAAAAATAAAGTCTATTTTAAACATAAAGAAGTGATTCTATTATCAGTATAGACAGAAAAGTAAAGGATAGTTCTAACATATGAAAGGTGTTACCTTGAGCAGAAGGTCACTCAAAGGGTCCCTCAACTAGGCTAGGGGAAGAAAAATTCAAACTTGGATTTGTGACTCCCGAACCTTGGCCCTGCAATGATCCACTGTGCTGCCACTCTCTCTGCCTTCTTTTACTTTAGAAATAATATACGTGAGGCACTGAGTGTAGTGAGCAGTCATTATTTTTTAACAGGGAGAGCATGTAAGAGTCATCTTTCAGAGTTTGGTATTTTCAGAGGAAAGAATAAAGTTCCCAAAGTTTCCTTTAATTCTGGCTCCCTCGTCGCCTCCCCCCGGCTGCTGATCTCCCACATCTAATGATTCTGGGGACACAGAATCATTTCTGAATCTGAAGCCTTGAAAGATGCCAGCTGACCCCATTTGCCCAGCAGACCACCATGGCCTTGCCTCCTGGCTCCAACGCTGGGGAAAAATGGCCTTTTTTTGGCAAGGAGTAGGCAACTGATGGGCCAGCTGCCCCTGGGGTAACAAGGACAGCAGTTAGAATTCAGAGGTCACTATCTGCCCTCTTCTTGTCCCCAGTTCTAACTGCTCCTCGTTATCCTGGGTGTTTCCACATCCATGTGTCATGGCTATGTATGTGGCTAACTGATCCCAGACCTCCTGGCTTCCTGTGAGAACTTCAGAGCCAGTAGCCAGGGTTCAAATCCTTCCTCTACTACTTTCTATCTGTGATCTTGGATATGATGCAGTTTGCCTCAGTTTCTTCACCTGGAAACAGATCTAATAATAGCAAATATTTCACAGGTTTTAAAAATTAAAAAAAATTGAATTGAGAGAGAGAGAGAAACATCACTTTGTTGTTCCACCTTTTAATGCATTCACTGGTTGATTCTTATATGTGCCCTGACCTTAATGTATCGGGACGACACTTTAACCAACTGAGCTACCTGGCGAGAGCTACTTCACAGGTGTTGGTGAAATACCTAAGCAAAAACCAGTCAAGTGATTGAGACAGGAGCTGGCCCATGATGTTTATTCCTGCTGGGGAGAGAGTTCTATGAGAACAGGGTCTGTCCAGCCTATTACTGGATCAAGGCATCTAGTGTACTGTCAGGCACTCAATGTTTGTGGATCAATAAACAAACCTCCCCTCCTCCGTAGGCCTAGCCCCTATGTGGTGACCCTGTTTAAACATTAAACTCAGTAAAACTATAATCATTGTTATTGATAGTAGTTGCAACAGCAGCAAATACCTTCAGGCTAAAATCTGAGGTGGGGACCATTACAACCTGTGGAGTCCCTTCTCACCTAAAAAAAAAAGTTTACTACTCTGTATTGTCACCAGCTTACTTTGTTACCAAAACAGGTTCATTCCTAGCAAATCTCTCATTTTCTTAACATCTAGGGTCCCTGAGAATAACGAAGGAAAAAATGTGAAGCCCTCATAAGCCTTCCAGGAACAGATGAATAAAAGAAGCACCATCTTGAGAAGGTTCTCAGCTCTTCAAGACCAAAATGGTATTCATGCTACGAAGGCTCACTGGTGTGGGGCAGAGGTGAGGTGGGGATCTGCCCTCCCTTTGGAAACTCTCCAAGGCTGATGGATGGAGCTCTTTCTGCGGAAGAGCTCCAGGCCCTTTTTCAAAATCGAATCAGTAGAGAAGACTGTCAGCTTCTAAAACCAACCAAATATTTACTGAGCATCTCCTATGTGCTCTAGATTCAACTGTGAGCAGCTATGCGCCTGCCTTTGTGGGGCTCCCCACCTGGTATGAGAAACAGACACCAATAAAACAATTTCACAAACACATCCAGAGCACTGAGAAGTGGGAGAAGTTTAGTGAGTCAGTCTCTTCCTAACACCAGTGGGTTAATTCTCCTAACTAACCCTCTTCCTTCCACTGTCTCCATTGGGCTCCTAGAGCACGTGTGCTGCAGATTTCCCTGGACGGTGGGGTTTGCTGTCTTTCTGAGTTCTGTCAACTATGGATCTCTATGACCAGGAAGTGTCCTGGTGTGTGCCCTGTGAACTGCCTTCGAAACATGAAGGTTTATAGGATGAGGCCCACCAAAGAGGCATGCTTCCCTGAATGTACCATGCTTGCTGCTGCTTGCTGGGCCTCTGTCCAAACACTCTGGCTGCCTGGAACACTCCAGACATCATCCCTGCTCCACCTTCCCTGACACCCTAGAAATGCACAGGGCCCTTTCTTGTGTTCTCACAGCAGCATGCCATACATAATTCTGTCTCATGCTTCCACACGGGAGGATGTGATGGTAAGGGCATGGTGCCAGAATCCCAGTACCTCAGGTAAATGAGATACTACGCAAATAGTGCCTGGCATAGGGCCTAGCATGTGGCATGGGCCTGATCAGTGTGCACTACTGTTGCCAGCTTGTCTCACTGCATAGAGAGGGTCCTTAGATGCAGAGCAGGTACCACCTTTGATATTCTTTCAGACCCCGGAATCTAACTTGATTCCTGGTGTGGGGCTTCCCCAAGAACAATCAGCATCTATATTTTGCATGAGGAAGTCGAGATCACCTTCCCACTTGACCCCTGCACCCATCAAAGCACACACACACAAACACAGACCTGTACCCCAGTCTAGGGTAACAGTGCATTAGTATTGTTCATAAGCCCTCCTGGGGAGCCTTCTCCTGTTTTCCTGAGGAGTTCACAGTCTCTCCTGGGAGCCCTCTGACCCCACTGCCCCCATAGAAGATCCCACCCTGGGGAGGCTGTGGGTTGTGTTTCTTGTTGCCTCATGACCTTCAATAGTCTTCATTTACTTTCTCCCTTGAGCAAGGAGGCAGAATAAACTTCTCCCTACCCAGCATCAGAGGTCCATTGTGGGTAGGGGTGGAGGTGGGATGGGCACTGCCAGCAAGCAGGCTCCCTACTGTCCTCTGTCTCCCAACACAATAGACCATCTCTCACCCCTGATTCAGGCTGGCTTCCTGTGGGGCAGCTTGGTCACAGAGAGACAATCATTATCCAGTGATGTATCAACTAAGTACAGCCAGGGTACAGGATGGCTAGTGATTCTGTTAACACTCTTAGATGGGCAAGTGCCCTCCTGGACTCCAATGACTCCTTCTGCATGGTGCCCAGGGGATATTCAAAGCCACATTGTAACCTCATTGGCTCCCCTGCAGTACAAACTACTGTTCTAAGAATTTATCCCCCCCCCCCCCCCCAATTTTCCAGATGGAGAAGTTCAGGCCCTAAGCCAAGATGTGCTTTTTTCCAGGCCATCTAGAATCCACTTGTGAATATTCACAAAGAAGCCTGGTCTTTTTTACCTAGGATTTGCTAGGGATGCTCGAAGGAGCCCAGACAGGCAGTGCTGGGACAGGACTGATCTGGAATCCATCCAGGGGAACCTGGGGCTCCTCCTTATTCCCTGCAGTCTGGTCGTGCCAGCTTACCGGTTCTGTTATCTGCTCTCCTCTCTTGGCTCAGCTCATTCCTGTGCCAGGGCCAAGCCAACTGCAGTTCCTTCCAAATGACCAGCAGTCAACAGCAGAAGCTCAGGGGAACCCACAGGTTTGACCCAAGGGTGAGGTTGGTGGGGTAGCAGGACAGGCAGGAAGAGCCAATACAACCCAAAAAGATACTTGGACACAGGTCCTCTAGTTCCATCACTGCCCAGCTGAGGGAAAAACCAGCCCACATTTTTTCTTTTGAAAAGAATCCTTAACAAAGAGCTGTCTGCTTCTGGCAGGCCCGAACCCAGCCCCACAGGGTCCCAAATGCCAGGAAAGAAGGAAGCTGTTTCATTTTGGCATAACATATGGGTTGTGGGTAAAAGAAATTACATGGATTGTCAGGGGCTGCCCCTGGACAGTAGCACTGGCCCTGACATCTGAGGCCAGTAGGCGTGATGGGGTCAGCATGCTGGTCCTACCAGTCTGGGCAGACTTCAGGCCCAGGGCCGCAAGCAGTCTGAACTTCCCCTCCCTGCCAGGGGTGGCATACATCGGGGGGCAGGCAGGGACTCTTTGAGGGACACTTCGGTGTAGGAGAGAGAGTGTCCTTCCCTTGGAAGAAGGGCAAAGTGGGGAGAGATACGTAAAGGGGAAGAGGCCTGCAGCAGATTTCCACAGGGTGCAGGGAGATTATGGGTCACCTCACCACCTCCAGGTCCCAGTGGGGGTGCCAGCTCAGGGAGGTTGCTGTGGCTGGGCAGACTGGCTGCCTGGGGCAGGGCAGCCAGAGTGTCTGAGTCTCAGCCAGAGCTGGGAGTGCTGTGGCCTCTAGGAGGACCTGGGAAGTTAAGGTCCAAGAAGGAGTGTTGAGGAGACCTGTGTGAGTGTGTGTGTATGGTTCCAGCTGGTCTGTGTTGGAGGTCCTGAGTTTCTCTGTGTATGTTGGGGGTCCAAGTGTTTGATTGTGTGTATGTATGTGTACGTGTGCATATCAGGGGCTCCTGAATGTCTACGGTGGGTACCAGGATGCCCATCATTATGCTTTTTTTGGGGGGGATGGTGGTGGTTCATGAGTATCTCTCTGTGTGAGACCTGTGTGTGTGTGAGCTATGTGAAGCTCTCAGAAAGACGTGTCTCTGGGTGGGGAGGGGGAGCTCATAACAATTGGGAGGTACTGCTGAGCAAGAGGTCAGTGTGGACTTCCAGGAAGCAGGGATCAAGATGAGTCAGGGTCAGGTATGTGTTTGTGGAGCTACTGGAGCGTGCTGGGAGGACCTCAGGAATGATTTCCAGGGGTAGTGAGGTGAGGCCTGTGGACAGGAATCCTGGTTTATAGAGGCTAGGCAGGGGTCCTGTGGGGTTAGAAGTGAGGGACAGGGAAGGCCCTGAGGCTGGTATCCTTGGGGGTGGGGGCAGGTGTAGGCCGATAGGATGAGGAATGAGAGGAGGGACATGGTGGAAAGGGTTTTGCAGATGGGAGGGATCCTAAGGGATCGGAAGGGGTGGTGTTGTCCTGGGCCTGCGGGGGCAGGTCTGCGAGATAAGGGATGGGGGAGGTCCTGAAGGGTCCCAGGAGAGGTCCTGAGGGTCGGTAAAGAAGGTGGGCGAAGGTCCTTGCCCTGAGGGGACCCCTCGGGAGGGACGGGTGGGGGTGGGGGGACTCTCGGGAGGGTCCGGGGAAGGGCCCTGAGAAGTCAGGAGGCGTCAGGAACAAGGGTGGGCGGAGGTCGGAGCCCGAGGCTGACGGCCAGGGTCCGTGCTGGGAGTGCAGAGGGCTCCCCGCGCGGGTTCCGGGACGAAGCGGCCTGTCTCCCTGTCTTGCCCGGCCCCGGTGGGCCACAGCGCAGAGTCGCCGGCCTGAGAAGGCACCCAGGAGGCCTGGCCCGCGCCACCTCCTACCTGCGCTGAGCGTGCCGCCATTGTAGTGCCGACCCTCGCAGTCCCGGGCTGCGCCGCCGGATCCCCGCCGCGCCGCTAGCACCGCAGCACGGGCCCGGCCCCCTCAGCCGCCCCCCGGGACCGCTGCGGCCGACCGCTCAGCCGCTGCCATTTCACCGGCTGACAGGAGCCTCTGCCCCGCCCCCGAGGCCCAGTCAGCCAATTCACCGCCCCTAGTTACCCTGGCTCCGCCCACACAACAGGAGTGACGGGATGTTTGGCCAGTCCATGGCCATTCCGTGAACAGTGTTCTGGCTACCGCCAGAAGGTTGCCTCCTCCGAAGAGAAAAGCGAATTGAAATTAGGAAAGCAGTGAAGGACGGGTGCTTTTGCCTATCGAAATATGGAATTCTGTTGATCAACACCTGGAGAGACCAATAAGAGGGAAAGAGGGGTGTGTCCCTGAGAGAAGGCTGGGGCCTTGAGTAACCCCAGACTGAGGCAAGAAGCTTTTGGCACTAAGCCCCGCCCAGAGCCGGGCTCTACGCCCTATAACGAGACTTCCTGAGATGTTCATTATCATCTGCCCTTCAAACCAAGCCATGACAACTGTTGGGGGAGTCTATAAAGAAGATTGACAACTGAAGGAGGGCGGTGAAGTAACACTCTGTAGCCAATGGGATCGTGATATTAGCGTGCGGGTAGCTTGAAACCTATGCTGAATGACATAGGAGAGGGGCTTAGGGGGCGTGACCTAGACAGCGGTGGGGCGGGGCCAGATAAGGGAGCGGCCAATGATTGGGTCTGGTAAGGGGCGTGGCCAGAAATCCCTCAGGGTGAAGACGAGTTGAGGGACGCCTTTTCTTTGAGCCCTGCTCTGCTGGAGGTAGGGCCACTGGGAGTGGAGATCACACCGAAGACTAGTCGGTCCCTTCCCCTAGACTATCTAGTCTGGATCTTCTCTGGGACTCACAGTACCTTATGTTCCCTCATTAAAGCTCTGATCAGACTGTGTTATCGCTGCTTACACGGCCCTCCCTCCCATTCTCCACCCCTGATGGCTGTGGTGGGGTAAGCCTAAATCAGGTCTGGAGGGATTCTCAGCATTGTTGAGTAGAGGCCCGGCACATAGGACTGCTTATAAATGTTTGATGAACGAATGACTAAATGAATGGTGGGCCCAAGGCTCAGGACTTGTAGGGACAATGACTGACAACCTGCAAGACTTAGCAAAACAGGCAAGTACCCACCCCAAGTTGCAGGGATGGGTCCTACAGGGGTGGGTCAGGGAAGCACCCTGTAACAAGAGGGTGACATCATAAATTCAGAATGGGGGCTGAAAATTGAGAACAGGAGGGCTGGGACCCAGAGTGGGCATTCCAGGACCTTCTAAGGTCTAGCTCTCAACCTTCTAAATAGTAGGGAGTTCTGTTTGGTTTGGGGAGCAATGGCTGACACTTCTTTGCTCCCTGTCCCTGTCCATCAACCTCTGCCTTTCCCATCTACATTTTGTCCCTGTCTGTACTCTCTGCTGCTCTTTACTCTCCCTCTGTCTCTGTATATCTTCTCTGTCTTTCTTTATCTACATCGTAGCTATGAAAATTCTGGAACTGTTAAGAAAAGCCTCAAAACATTATTTCTAAAAACTCTGGTGGTAAAAATACATATAATATATTCTGTCTCCCTCACAGCTTCTCCTTCATTTTTCCTTCCTTCCTTCCTTCCTTCCTTCCTTCCTTCCTTCCTTCCTTCCTTCCTTCCTTCCTTCCTCTCCCTCCCTTCCTTCCTTCCTTCCTTCCTTCCTTCCTTCCTTCCTTCCTTCCTTCCTTCCTTCTTCCCTCCCTCCCTTCCTGCCTTCCTTCCTTTTTTCTTCCCTTTTTTTCCTTTCTTTCTTCCTTGAAAGAATAGATCTTTATGTCTCTCCTTTAAATCTCAGCTATGGCCCTGACTAGAATGGCTCAGTGGGCTGAGTATCATCTGGCAAACCAAGAGATCTCCAGTTCAATTCCCAGTCAGAGCACATAGTTGGGTTGCAGGCAGGTCCCCAGTTGGGAGTGTGTGAGAGGGAACCAATGAATGTTTCTCTTGCACATGGATGTTTCTCTCCCTCTTTTTCTCCTTCCCTTCCCCTCTCTCTAAAAATAAATAAATAAATAATTAACGAGATACAGTGTTTAAAAGTCAACTTAGGTGTTGGGCATTCTGTAGTCCCAACAAAGTTAAAGGTGACTTTAGAATTGGTGAGCTTGAGGCTGAAATTAATTTAAGGACATTGTCCCCTGATTTCTGAGTAGGCCTAGGAGGGGGTTACAGATCCTGTGGACATGGTTGGAGATGAGATGCAGGGTGTTGACTCAGGAAGGCAAGGGTGACATCAGGATGTAGTAAGGGCCAAGTAACCAGCATGGGACAACCCCTGAGCATGGAGGACTGAAGAGCCATCATAAGCGCCAAAGTCTCAGGTTTGCTCTTGTTTCCAGAGGTTACCTCTTAGGAAAGAGCATTTTGGTGTGAGCCATAACTTCAGAGGAACAGAAAAATCTAGGTGTGGGGAGGTACAAGCCTGGGTGCAGTCCAGGGCCCCCCAGAGAGAGGTCTTGAAAGAGGTTGTTTTGGGGGCCTTGTGGGGAGAGAGGGACATCTGGTGTCTGGGGGATCAAGTGAAACACCAGGAAGATGCACAGGACATTCAACTCTCTCATTCTTATACTGGCATTTCCACACAAACGATAGTTTCATTCTGGGAACACTTTGATTCCATTTTTATAAACACAGTGGGAAAATTTTTGTTGGAAAAGATGTTTGAATCATAAACTGCATTTAGCCAATTAGATTCCTGGGTCACTTTTCTATTCAGTGGGGTTAAACTATTTCCAAATTTTTCTCAAAGTTCATTTTTACTTGACTAAAGTCTTTTATTAGGAATATTTTCCCCCTGTGACTTTTGCAGTAAACATTTGATTCATTAATCAGGCTCTTTTTGTCCAAATTTTTACCAACTATTGATTTTATCACTGTGATTTGTGTGTGTGTGTGGCTGTCATTTCTTTGGAGTCAAACTTTGCATATTCAAATTTATTAAAAGACTTTTTTCTCCCAGTATTTAGCCATAACAAATTTTTAGCACAATCAAAAATTTTTTATGGATTAAACTTTGGACTAAAAATTCATTTGTTGTGAATATTGATTAATGTGAGCTTAGACCTTATATTTGTCTTATAGAGAGCAAACAATGTGATGATATTTGTGGCTCTCCTCCAATAAAGAGGCAGAGTCTGTTTCCTCATCACTTGTTCTGACCAACAAAATGCATCAGTGCTGTTGGTGAGATAGGTCTGAGCCTAGGCCTTAAAAGGCATTGCAGCTTTGGCTTTTTTGAGTACAATTTTTTTTTTAACTTTTTTTATTGATTATGCCTTACATTTGCTCTATTCCCCCCCATTCCCCTCCACCCTGCATACCCCTCCCCCACCATTTCCCCCTTTAGTTCATGAACACGTGTCTCAAATTCTTTAGATTCTGTATTTCCCCTACTATTCTTACCCTCTCCCTATCTATTTTCTATCTACTGTCTATGCTACTTATTTTCTGTACCTTCTCCCCCCCTTCCCCTCCTCCCACTCCCCTGTTGCTAACCCTCCATGAGATCTTCATTTCTATGGTTCTGCTCCTGATCTAGCTGTCCTCTTAGTTTGCTTTTGTTTTAGGTGTGGTTCTTAATATCTGTGAGTTTGCTGTCCTTTCACTGTTCATCTTTTTTATCTTCTTTTTCTTAGGTAAGTCCCTTTAACATTTCATATAATAAGGGCTTGGTGATGATGAACTCCTTGAATTTGGTCTTATCTGAGAAGCACTTTATCTGTCCTTCCATTCTAAATGAAAACTTTGCTGGGTAGAGCAATCTTGGTTGTAGATCTTTGGTTTTCATGACTTGGAATACCTCTTTCCAGCCCCTTCTTGCCTGTAAGGTCTCTTTTGAGAAATCAGCTGACAGTCTGATGGGAACGCCTTTGTAGGTGACTGTCCCCTTAGCTCTTGCTGCTTCTAGGATTCTCTCCTTCATTTTAATCTTGGCTAATGTAATGATGATGTGCCTTGGTGTGTTCCTTCTTGGGTCCAAATTCTTTGGTACTCTCTGAGCTTCCTGGATTTCCTGGAAGTCTATTTCCTTTGCCAGATTGGGGAAATTCTCCTTTATTATTTGTTCAAATAAGTTTTCCACTGGTGGCTGTGCCTTTCCCCCTTCTGGTACCCCTATAATTCGGATGTTGGAACGTTTAAAGATGTCCTGGAGGTTCCTAAGCTTCTCTTCATTTTTCTGAAATCTTATTTCTTCATTCTTTTGTGTTTGATCATTTTTTTCTTCCTTCTGGTCCACTCCCTTGGTTTGAGTCCAAATTTTCTTTCCATTACTATTGGTTTCCTGTGTATTTCCCTTCATTTCAATTAGTTTAGCTTCCATATGTTTCTCTAATTTGTGACTAAAATCAACCAGTTCTGTAAGGATCCTGATAACCAGTGTTTTGAACTGTGCATCTGAAAGACTGGCTATTTCTTCATCGCTTAGATCTATCGGTTCTGGGGCTCTGAGTTGTCCTAGAGCCATTTTCGGTCTATTCATGCTGTTAAGTAAGCAGAGCGAAGCCTTAGTTGTTTACCAGGACGGGGAGACCCAGGTCGCTGGTTTGTGACGCTATGTGTGGGGGCGTGGTCAGAGAGGGAGCAATGGCGGTCCTCTCCGCTAGCCCAGCCCGTCCAGTCACACTACACGCCTCGGGCTTATTTATCCGATCGGAATTGTGCGAGCCTGCTGCCCCGAGCAGGCTTCCCTTCTCACTGGTTTCTCTGCACGCAGCTGCGCGACCGACCGCAGACAGCCCTCCGTGCCTCTTCCCTGTGCGCTCCCGTAGCTAGCTCGCTCTCGATCAGCGCTTTCGGCTGCTTGCGCGCTCACC